AGCATGCCTACATCTATGTGAGAAATGAAACAGAAAAGCTCTCTGCAGAGTAAAAAGTAAGAAACTGAAATTAATTTCTCCACATGCTGAGCGTCTTTAAGAAAAAACAATGTCCCATTAAAAGTGTTAATAATCATAAATATTGTGATGTTAGCCAGTATATCAAAGATAGAAAAAGTCTAAATAAGGAAACGGCATAAAAGCAGGTCTTTTGTTAAATTACATAAAATAAGGTCTTATTTGTAGGGTAAAGCTGATGGTCAATAACTATCTGATACTAATAATAGTAACAAACAAGTCAACAGTGAGGCTGATGTCCCCGCCGCAAGTTCAATTAAATACATGACACATATTAATTAATTGCACATTCATCTTTTTGAAAAGTATTAAGCAATTGAACTGATTACCTATACTTATGTCAAGGTTTTGAAATACTTGGTAGTGAAACTATACACTAACTAAGTTTCATCACTCTCCATCAGTTAGAATCAAAGCTATCTTTTCCCAAAGCATCAACCAATGAAATTGCTTAGTTCTGCTTAGCTTTAGCAGAAAATGTTAATCATTACATTCATCTAATGAGCATTCTACCTAAACCAGGTTTAAACATTCTACCTCAAATAAAAGTTATGTTCCAAAGTCTTGACCAATCAAACTGCTTATCGCTACTTAGCCTTAGTGGTAAATGTGCATGATCGAACACTGTCAAGGCATTCACCTAATAAACACCAAGTTTGAACATTCTACTTCAATTATTGTGTACCAAACTCTTGACCAATCAGATTGAAGTCTCTACTTAGCTTGAGCAGAAAATGTATTAATATAATGAATCTATACTCGAGTTTCATCACTCTCATTGAATCTCATCCAATCAGAACTAAAGTTATTGTGTTCCAAAGTCTCAACCAATCAAATCACTTATCCCTGGAAAATGTGCACGAATGACATGGCATGATCAAACATTGTCAAAGCATTCAACTAATAAACACCTACACCAAGTTTGAACATCATACCTTAGTCAGAAGGAGAGTTATTGTGTTCCAAAATCTAAACCAACCAGATTGAAATCTCTACTTAGCCTGCTCATCATCGAACTTAGTCAAGGTATTGTAATTGAAACTATACCCCAAGCTTCACCACACTCACTCAATTAGAAATAGAATCAAAGTTATTGAGCTACAAAGTCTCGACCAATCTCTCGGCTTACCCTTAGCAGAAAAAGCTCATTATTGAACTTAGTCAAGGTATTGATAATATAATGAAACTATACATTACTATTTTCCTATAAACAAGGGAATCAGATCATATTGAATTGATGGATCTGAACAATTATTGGATTGGACCAATATCTCTTTTAGTGTTTGCCTGTATTTCTGACATGTAGCAATGTGTTTATGCAATTTAGACTTTGTCATCCCTAATCAGCCTTTAATTGTTAAATTTATAAGACATTTTTACAACTTTAAGTGGTAATATTGTTATTAGTTTATAAACCAGCGACTGCCAGGCAGGATACGCCCACATTTTTCAAGAGATGGATAGAGAACAAGCTAAACAAAAAGTGTATGTTTTATCTGAAGATTAGTGACGACAATTTTTTTTGCCTAGCAAACTCATTGCCTCTTTAAGTCCTGTTACACATGTACATGCAACCCTCTCAAACAATAACACATGCAACTTTGATTACCATACATGTACTATATAATACACATGCCATTTGGGCTCCCATCTAATATATGAAATTGAGTTTTTTTCTTCTTAACTATGACTTTTAAATGAAATGAAATGGGGTTTAACATCCTACTGTTCTGCTCCGGCTTGGCTAATGAAGATGGATTAAAACTTTTAGAAGTGAACTATTAAATCATGTCCGCACACTGTTCAATTTCCTAGCCTATGGTTTACAGTTGATTACTGTTGAACTTTTAAATTGTGTCAGCATCCTGTTCAATTTCCTAGCCATGCCTTATGGTTGATTACTGTTGACTTGAGTCAAAAGCTGGCATGATCATTGTCAGTGTGACAGTTGTGATACAATATAATAAATGTTTTAGATCAAAAAATAAGACATTTGTTGCAGTAATTACAATTTTTTTTACTGAGAATATCCTCAGACATTATGTAAATTAGACCAAGAAACCTTAGACATACATTTAATGTCTTTTGTACTTAATTCTCAAATCATTAAATTATCACAATGCAGGCTATCAGTTTATTTCTTATCATTTTGAAACTTTTGTGATGTGCTGGTATTACATTTATTGGTACTCTGAACTTTCCTGTATGCCACAAACTACATGCAAAAATAGTTAGAAAAAGCAGAACAGTGCATTGATTAGTAAAACAGAACACTGAAAAAAATAAGCATACATTTGTATGATACAATACTAACCACTAGCTATTCCTGGCGTTGGTGCTTGTGGATCTGGTTGACCAGGAGATATGGTGGTTGTTTCATTGAAACGCCGTCTATGTGCATTGGAGGCAAATATTTGTCTACAAACAACAAAAATGACTTGATTTTTAGAATGTTTTTGACAATGTGATGGTGAATTTGTTAATATAGTCATGGTTTTTTGTTAATATTGTCATGGTTCAAGAAAATTAGATTTTTTTCTGTATGATTCAAAAAACCCTACACAAATAAGGTTACATGTTCGTCTAAAAGCCTCACCTGTATAATTCTCTAATTTTAATCTGAACTTGTAATCCACATCCTTTTTGAACCAATTGTAATGCTCGCTGTAATAATTCTTGTTTTCGTCCACTTTTATTTCGACCAGCAAAACCTAGTAAAACCTGAAGTTCCGATACTCGGAAACTCATAATCATATGCTAAAATGAGAAAAAAATATTAATGAGATTCAAAATGCTATAAGCTTACTTGTCCATTTTACATGTACCTATTTTGTTACAAAGTGTTAATCAATATGTTTCGTTTCCTACTTGAATGATGGGTGAAGGAAAAATCATCAGTTTATTAATTCTGCAGTCACAAGCGATTTAATCAACCTCCCATATCCAGAATACTTATTCTTCTCTTTGGCCTTTCATGCAGACTGTTCACAACGGATGAAAGTTACAGCCTTCTGATTATGTTTACATGTACTGAGAAGCTTGATACATGTGTCAACCACAACAAGTTTACAGACAAGGTTATCCAGACAAACTTCTATCAAATCAAATCAAATCTGACTGTTTCAGTAGCTACACAATGCTCACAACCCGAATGAATGTTCCAAAAGATTTGCACACAATATTGACAAATGTTATTCCCTACCCCATTTAAAAAAATCCTTGCTTTTAAAACAGAGAGGAATTTTGCTGGGGTTTTGTCTGATAGATTGTTGCCAACAAGTAGTACTTCATTTGCAAAGGCCAAATATCTGTGTTTTAGTGCTGGCACGCTACATGTATAAAGTTGTATCGATGTATCGTGATTACACATTCTCCTGATTCATGTATTGAATCGCATGATGCTGAATCGATGTATCACGATTTTTTTTCAAATTTTTGTCGCTTCAATAAGTAACCTGTCACTCTTAATTATCCATGTTACACATTATCCAGGCCATAGGTAGACTTAAAGAACCATTATTAAAGAACTAAATCTGCCTACTGCAGGTTTTTCTTTGAGCTTTAAATGTTACATAACTTATTAATTAGACATTTATTAACATGACAAGACCATAATCAACTCTTGTTACCATCAGATGGCTGATTTTAAGTAGATTAGTACAGTTCAGTCCTTTACTGATTTAATTTTAAAATGGAGAAGCAAGGTTAAGACTCGAATAACCAGCACAGTGGTTACAATAATAAACAATCAATGCACTCATCTTGTCAAAACTACAAACAGTGATTAGTTCTTTCAGAATAAAGTTTTTTGAATGAAATGTTCAATATATTCATTTTGCATTATCTATTTTTAAACTATAGCAAGAACGGACAGTTCTTTATCTAAATATTACATGTATCATTAAACGAACACTCTTATATTGTTTTGGTCCTTATTTTGATCCACATCAATATCGTAATGACATAAAACAGTTTTATTTCTTTCACATCAGCAGGATTAACAATTTCAATTATTCATTTATCCTGTTGTTTTCTTGGTAAATATTGAGCTGGTTATGAATCGTGATACGAATTGTATCGTAGCACCTGACAGCACTACTGTGTTCTATAAGCTTACTTCTCTTTCAGTCTTTGTACAAGTAAAATAAGTTAAAGCTGCATTATGTAAGATTTCAGTAAAAAGCTGGCGATTTAATATCTTCGGCATGGTCTTGAGAGTTGACTGGGCTTCAACACATCTTTAAACTTCCTATTAATTTCAGTTGAAACAGGAATTGAAATGTAGCAGTTGGTTTGCATTGCTTTGCATGACACTGACATGAAATATTTTCCATTCGACAGGATATTTTCTAAAGTGATTTAGAATAAAACCTGTAATTTTTCCTATAAAAATTTTGTCCTGTTAATTTCAATGATTAATTTGATGCTAAAATTACCAAGTTCTTCCTACTTCCGGACTTTTAAGGCTAAAAGAAAATGAGTTACCCCCCTTTGAACGAATTTTAAGCTGACAAAAATATATTTTATGAATAAACGATGAAAGTAAAAAAGACAATAACGACAAATTACAAATCTCTGAGTTATGCTTTACAACTGAAACAAAATATATCATACATTAATGGACAGGATTCGCTAAACTTTTCATGAAATGTTGATTGGGGCGATCCATGACAAAAACTGACCGGACTTTCCTGACCAGAGAACACTAGGATTAGAATATCGTGTACAACGAACGCCAAACTATTGGAGATATGCGTTTACAACACACAGTACCTGTTCCAGATTTTGTCTACCTACATTAAACAGTTAGAATAACTTATTATCCATTCATTTATTAATTTCTTTCCTTATTTTTCCTCGAATACTTTACCTTTAGCTCAGCGGCCTCCGCCATTTTTCTTCTTTATGTCTGACATGCGCAGTATTACTTTTATTGGATGGTTGTTCAAGATGGCGACTTGCAGAGGTTGTTTGTTTCTCCTCTAAGTCCGTTCAGTTTTTTTAAGGCTTATCGCGATAGGTGTCATTATTATGTCGACTGAAAACAATAAGCTATCTTTTAATTTTGTGTACTATAATATATAATTAACCGTTCCTTTTGTAAAACTGTTGTCAATAAACACAAGACATAGACTTTGTTTATAAATTATATAATGTAAATTGTAGCCTATAGTATTTGTTGTATTGTAATAATGGCATTGCAAACTTTTTCAGTTGAGTAACATAACGTTATTCAGGCTTATTATGCTAGATCCCGGTCAAATTAAGCAAGTCCCATTTCTTATGGCATTCTATGGCAGACGTATCGCCTTTGGAAAAAGCAAAGTTAGATGCAGAGAATCTTTCTTCCTGCGCCTTAATTTTTAATTAAAATGTTTAGCTGCTGTCCTGTGAGAAAGAAAATTGATTACTTTTTTTTAACATGCTGCCGGTGCCCCTGTCTAAGGACGAGACTCAGTTTAATAAAATAAATAATAATATATCATTAGCATTGTTTACTTTTAACAAATTTCTGTCCAGAGTATGAAGATTAGCCAACACAATGGCTATGACAGATGAACATTCTGTATAATGATTGTTTTTCGATATTACTTAGAATTACTTAGAGGTCATTCCATGTCAAGTAGACAATTTTGGTGAAATTCTCTCCCATAGGTCAAATATTTCCACAAAGGTTGCCAATTTGATTACAAATTCTCTTATGCTGTATGCTCGATTTTCAGCTCTGCTGTTTATTTCTGCTTATACGGTATCATACTTCTAATGCGTCTATAGAACCTCCTAACTTGGAAATCTAAACTGCAATATGTAGATTACATATCTTTTCATCGTATGGAGTAAGGGAGTACCCCATCTGTTATGGTTGACATCAAAGTAAAAAAAAAAAATCAACACAAATGTTTACATGATTTTGATGTTTTTTAATTGCCCCATTACCTACATGTATCTAGCAACCTTTCTTTAATTTTATTTTTTAATAGGATGGGATACTGGGGTAGCATATTATTAGTGAGTAGTTATTGATATAATATAATTTTAGCAGAAGATAGAAAAAATATAACGTAATAAAGTCTTACTAAAAGAAGTTAGTAAATATAATTTATGAAGGTAATGCAAAAGGTTATGCATCACATTTAGTATTGTGTACAATCTGTTTTTCCCTTGTTTGTATTTGTTTATTTTATTTTTTTCTATTTCAGTTCTTGGCCTGCGTGGCATCTTTTCACCATTTCTTAGAAACCATCAAACACTGTTAGCCAATCAGTCACGTCAATTATACACTGAAAAGAACCACACTGAAACACAACAAAATCTCAGGTACGTGCATAGAGGCTATTTAATATTCTTATGTTATGTGTATTAATCGATCAAACTTTAAGTGTAGTAGTTCTTTCTGTAAAGGTTCAACTTACGTAGATTCTAGATGTATGTAGAAAATGTTCTGTGAATCGGTCCTCTGCCAATAAATAATGATTGATCTCTGTCTCTGATTAACTGAAGGTGGATTGATGATCTGGTGATACTGTAGAATGTGTCTATACAATAAATATCCAGAAATCCATGCAAATAAAATAATGATACATGGATGTACTTTTCTAGTTTGGTGCCATACAGAGAACAAAGTACAAGTCAGAGTGCTGTTAAAGTGAAACCATACTCTCCATTTCAAAATCCAAGTAACAAACTAGATTATGCATTGGCTAGAGTTGATGATTTGATCAACTGGGGTAGAAAAGTAAGTAAGCACAACATTTAACACTATAATCCCAATCATTTTCTATCAGGGAAGACTTGATACAGATAATGCAGCATCTAGATGAGAAAGAAGATTTAAATAAAGATATTTTTAGGAAAGGTCTTGAAGTTTAATATATTCACAAAATTTAATTTACACGTTACAGATCCAGTCATAAGATCATATTTATTTTGTTTTGGTGAATATCTCCATATTAATAAAATACATCTCATTACTAACATACAGTTGCGTTAACAAAGAACACAATTAAATTAAAGTCACCTTTGGTCTTTATTTCAGAGTTCGTTATGGCCAATGACATTTGGGTTAGCATGCTGTGCTGTAGAGATGATGCACATGGCTGCTCCAAGATATGACATGGACCGATTTGGTATTGTATTTCGAGCAAGTCCACGGCAATCTGATGTGATTATTGTAGCTGGAACTCTTACAAATAAAATGGCACCTGCATTAAGAAAAGTATGAGTTTATATAACTTGTAAATGTTGGAACAAGAAGTATTGCCAGTTTTTCAGATACTGTGTAAAAAAAAATCACAAACCAAAAAACAATTGTTTGTGTATGAAAATTGGGATTTAAAAATAATTATTCAAATACCATATTGACAAAAACATTGAGTTTTCTAACAAATATAATGAATAAACAACTCAGCATAAAATTATCATAACCTCTAGGATAGTTAATTTCTATGTTTCAATGTCTGTGGTAGTAAATAATATTTAATGTATTTAAGTTCAAATTTTAAGTATTATTTTATATACTGTAAATTGTAGGTATATGATCAGATGCCTGAACCCCGATGGGTTGTATCTATGGGTAGTTGTGCTAATGGTGGAGGTTATTATCATTATTCATATTCTGTTGTACGTGGATGTGATCGAGTTATACCTGTTGATATTTATGTACCTGGTAGGTATTATTCACAACATAATTGTCATTACTCTTTATACAGCCTCATACCTTAGTAAAGCTCAGTTCATACTACATCCGTATCCATAAACGTATCCGCATCCATATCTGCACCCTCATCTGTATCCGCGTTTTGCCGTTCAAACGTCCGTCTTTCAAGGCTGAATTGTCTGTCAGAGATAACATATTGTCATTTGCAATCATAGAGTCTGACAGTGACACAGTCACAGAGGAAGTCTTTCTTTTGTATTTATGGACCCAAAGACAAAAGAGAAAAAAGAGAGTAGGGGTCCATGAACTGTTACAAAGAAGAAAGAAATATGGAGAATACCACAACCTGGTGCAAGAATTGTATTTTCATCCGGACAAATTAAGACAATATTTCCTCTGTCTTGTCCATGTTTTGTTCTTCACAAGACAACATAAATCCACAGCACACAAGGCCAGGCTTTTCTTGGAATGGATTGAGTTTCTATTTGGGGAGATGATGTAATAAGAGGAAAGTACTCAGTGATTGGCTAAAGCTCGGCTCACTAGCCGAAATGCCGGACGTACTTTACAAAAATACGCTCTGGGAGCAATCAATCCGGCTTAACTGACGCAGTTGTTTTTGTGCGCAATACGTGCCGGATTCTATTTGAACCCTTTCTCTAAAAGTAACTAAAGTATACCAGTACGTATTCACGCACGTATTTACAGATACGGATACGGATGTGGTATGAACGGACCTTAAGGGTATTAACATTTGACAATGTTTGTGCATGAAGACAGGTATTTGTTATTGAATCTCTAGTTACTTGTAGACATTGATTGGTGTATTGCAGTGGCTCAGTGGGTATGGGTTTGATACTGGTGTTGGCCCAGATTGTTTCTCAGGATTTTTCAGTCTGGTTTCCGTCTTGTTAGTATCGCAGGAAGGAGAGTCCTTCTAGGTAAAGCATCTAGACAAATAAAACGAGGTTCTGTGTATGTCATTGGCAGCTCGTTAAAGATCCGCCAACTGATCGAAAGAGTAGACTGTTGCACAGCTGTCCAGGGCAAAATTTACCTCATCTAGCAATACTGCATGTCATTTGCTCGTCTTCATTAGCCCAGTTGGCAGAGAAAAGTATAATTAACTCCATTTCATTTCATGAAATTTTAGTAAGTGTATAATGTTCATGCACATGAAATTTTAGTAAGTGTACAATGTTCATGCACATTATAAGGAGTTTTTTCCCTTTAGTTTCATTTTGAGTTTGAGGATGGCCTGCACACATTAGTTTTGCTGGTGTTTGTGTGTCATGCATGAGAATTCCCCATCACTCTTATTGTTAACACAATGATTATTTAAGCATTAGAGAGAGTCATTTATACAAAACTAAATGTAGTGGCATAAATCAATGGCATGAACAAAACATCTCGGTTATCTATGTGTGCAGTTAGTAATTTATTTAGGAATGCAGATTGTTTGTTGGAGATGGCCTTTGTGCCAGTAGTGCACATATAGCAGACGAAATGGGTGGGACATTAACTGTTGGACATTATAATTTACTGCAAACTAATGATTATTTCTGTGATGGAAAATCACCTATCTTAAGATCAATTTTCTCTGCTTTGATGACATTTACAATAATGTAAAAAGGGGGGTTCATTATATATAAGTTATAATAGATATAATGTAATGTCCCTGATAAAAAGTATGGAGACTTGTGGGTTCTTAATTAAGTTATACATAACTTTGTGTTTCTTTGCTAAACATAAACTGACATATTTTATTTTACAGGATGTCCTCCAACAGCGGAAGCTTTATTATATGGTATGTTACAGCTACAGAAAAAAATCAAGAAAATGAATAATGTTCAAATGTGGTATAGGAAGTAAAAGGTTAATTTTAATAAAGTTATGTAAATATACTAAAAGATGTGTAAATGCATTTATTAGATACGAGCGTGAATGGTATTTAAAAAAAAATGCACTTGATTGAACTGACAATACACTAGTATATCGAGCAGCTCACTGACTAAACCCAGGAATAAAAGAAATGGAAGATTCAGTTTATAAATGAATATATATATACAGTGGTATTTTTACATGATCTGAATATCTACTAATTATAGTGTGAACAGTGTATTGTGTATTTATTTACTTGATATTTATTATCAATAGACATTCTTTGTAGATAAATACCTTTAAAATAAATTTATATTCAGAAGCAGATAAACTTATTTCATTATGATTTTTTAAAAAATTTTTAACAAATAAAAAATGATGCATTATGTAATAGCTAAATCTGCCTACATGCAGGTCTTTTTTCTGGCTTCACGTGACAAGTCCACTACTAAACTCTCTAGATTTAGACCATTGGATGGCTCCAATTTTAATTGTATTAGAATACCACAGCCTTTTAATCAAAACTTAGTCTTTATAGTCAAGTATCGTTGCTACAATAATAAACAATCTACGCTACATTTTGTGAAAACTTCAAACACTCACACCTTGGCACAGTCCAAAGATAATTGACTGAAATTATCTGTTTTTAACATATTGCATCTTTAAAGGTATAATAAATCTAATGACAGTGAAGAAAAACCAGTACTATATTACTTTATACTGTACAGCAGCAAAGAATTAATGTCACTAACACAAATTAAACTGACAGTGTCTGGATAATCAGTTCTATATTACTAGCCATGCTTATATAATAAATCAAGTCAAGTTACCTTCAAAATTCTTATTTCAGAAATCACTCCTGAAAATAGACCATGATAATAATCCTAAAATTAATTGATGACACATTAATTATACACATTTATCTTTTAAAGAAGTATTATGTAAGATTTACTTAGATAAAGAACTGCCCATTCTGTCTATAATAGTTCAAAAATAGATAATGTAAAATGAATATTTTGAAAATTCCATTCAAATTACTTTATTCTTAGCAAAGTTATCAATGTTTGTAGTTTTGTCAATTTGTGCATTGATTGTTTATTATTGTTATCACCGTACTGGTTGTTCGAGACTTAGCCTCTGCAGTCGGCAGATTTAGCTATTACATAATGCATTTTCTAATTAAAGATTAAATGGCTGAACTGTTCTAATATACTTAAAATCAGAGCCGACCTATAGCTTAGAGAGCTGATTATGGACTTGTCATGTTAATAAATGTCTAATTAATAATTTATATAACATTTAAGGCCTAAAGAAAGACCTTCAATAGGCATATTTAGCTTTTGAATAATGCCTTTTTAATAAAGCATCAAGCATTCAGATTACTTGTTTAATGGTAAAAAAAAAAATCTGTAAGTTGGCGAACATCCTTCCTAGATTTCTCTCAGGAAGCTACTAGTCCGTTTTATTTGAACTCTTCATACTTAGTTGAGGATGTGCAGTTGCCCCCTACATTTTGTCGCTGGGAACCGGGTCACATGTGACGCCACAAGTAGACCGAAGTGTAAAGATATTTGGCTGAAAAATTGCCTTCTTAATTGTGCATATTTGCATGGACTCTGGGCTCTTTACTCTTTTACGATACACTTCTATGTTTAAAATGTTTTTAGAAACTAATGAGGACATTTTAATAACTCTTATTAGGTTACGGGAATGTATGCACTAATTTCTTATTAGTTTTCGCCGTGGGGGTGTCATAGCTGAATAAGTTGGGAACTCGTCAATCATCAAACTTAGTCAAGGTATTGGTGTAATGAAACTATACAAAAGGGCTTCACCACTCTCACTAAAAGTTCAGCAGAATGAAATGAAATGGGGTTTAACGTCCTACTGTTTTGCTCCGATCTGGGCTAATGAAGACGGGCATACGCCATACAGTGTGCTATGAGGGAAATTTTGCCCGGACAGCGGCACTACGGCCTACTCTTATATCGAATTCCAACTGTCAAGGGATCTTTTACGTGCACTCCAATGTGTACACGGGACCTCGGTTTTTCGTATCATCCGAATGACTAGACAGCTGTCCTTGTCAGGCCCTCCGTCCTGAATCACTGACAAGGGGAAACCATACCGGAAAATCTGGATGAACTTTCTCGGCCAATGCAGGGATCGAACACCCGACCTCCAGGCTTCAGCAGAATGACAAGTAATATGATTGCTTGATGCTAAGTGTACAACTACTTAAAAATCCCAAGAAGGTGATGCAAAAATCTCACACCCGAATGAAAGGAAGGTCGGAAGAGTCCCTATAACAGTGCAGGCAAGTTTAGATCTCATTGATGCAGCTGAGGAAGAACAGGAACCATTCCTTGTCAGTAAATCATAATACAAATTCCCAGGCAACACACTTGACAAAACTGTGAAGATTAAACAAATTCATCCAGGACACGTTTCGGGCGTTTGCCCTTGATTAACTAGTAAGAAAAATAATCCTGTCACCGGGTATATATAGACAATAAAATTATTGTGCATGCGCATAACGTTAAGAATTATTAATCCCTATACCGGGATTATAAAAATAATAATGATTTAAATATAGACAACTACTCAATCAGTGTCGTCGATTTATTTTGGGATTAAGGTGGGGAATATCAACTTCAATGTTGATATTTTGCTATTATAAAGGGATATTGCCAGAGCTGTCTTAAATTACAATGTACTGTGGAGATGGAATATGCCATTGTTTGCTGCCAATGCCCCACATACGATGACAGTTAGGGGGCAGAACCTGCACTATGCCCGAAAAAAAGGGTACAGACGGCGGCGCCGGTCTTCTGCGAGAGCGGAGGAGTGAAGGTTACCAGGTAAGGACCCCCCCTCCCCCCGAAGAAAATTTTGGAAAAACTGCCGGCAGCAAATGCGTTTTCCTGCTATTCCAGCCCCTGAATACAGCAACTTAAGTGATCTAATATAGCCTATTGAAGATGGCTGACTCGAATTTCAATCAACCAATCAATCAATCGTTTATAGTCCACGGAGACCGGACCGTCGGAAGAAAATTTTGAAAATTTACTGCTGCAAACGCGTTTTCCTGCTATTTCAACTTGTGAATACAGCAACTTCAATGTGGTCCAATATAGCGTACCCTTGGTGACTGACCTGAGTCCCCGAAAAACAATCAATTGTCTCGGGGTATGGGGGCCTCGCCCCCCGGGACAAAATTTTGAAAATTAAATTACCGCAAATGCGTTTTTCTGCCCGTGAGTTAAGCAACTCCAAAATTGTCCAATGGTTTTGTCACAGAAATCCCACTCTATGCCAACCTGAATTCAACCATCCAATCAGACTGTTGCAGCTGCATTCGCAAATAATAATCGATGCCCGAAAAATGTCGCTCAAAGTAGATTGGCTCAAGACAAAACTTGTTAATCCATAATCAATTCAGTACATATTCGTGGTATTGAATTAAAAAAAAAAGTAAAATTAATGTTTTATTTCGGGCCCTTTCTTTTGTCAACTAGATGAAATATTTTTTTTTTTTTCACTTTACCCGTCTGTCCGAAAAGTTAGATTGCCCGAAAGTTAGGGGGCAGCTGCCCCCCTGGCTCATACGCCTATGATGCCCCAAGTATATCAAGGCAAAACATGGTAGTACCATGATAGTACCTATATGGGTTATTTATCCTTATTCCAACCAGTGTGTGTCTTTTTAATCCAGGCAACTTTCCAGTTTTATGGTGCATGCAAATTTGATATAACCCTGATTTTACAGGCAATATTTATTCTCAAACCTCACTGGCCAGGGGTGGATCCGTGTCCAAACCCCCTCCCTACTCAGCTACATAAAACAAATTTTAAAACAACACTTTTATGAGAAAAGTGTCACGGTCGTGTGCTTTATCCTTTATCATCAGATGGTGGGATGGCGTGGGCATTCAAAGCGTGAGATAGTGATATAGACATATGTGATATCACAATTAATGCTTTGCATCAATGAAATTGAATCAATTGAGGTCAAACAGGATGTCAATTGAGGTCAAACAGGATGTTGGATTTCTCTCTTTAATAAGCTTAATGTGTATGTATGCTATACTAATTAAATCTTTTACTGATATTTTAAAACAGTGATGGGATTTCGCCCGTATGTTCCGGACATGTCCAACGCTATTTTCCAAACGTCCAATATTGTCCGACCAGGAACATGATATGGTGAATAATATTCAAAAATTTAAAACCAAATTAACAGCGTGCTATCATCATCTTATTCTTCATTTTACTGCAGACTTTGAAATTAGTAGAAATAGCCTATGGATACGAAATTTAACAATCTTAGTTTAAGGTGAATGAATGAATGAAAATACTTATGTTGCGCCATTTCTAGAAAACTGCTGAACCGCGCATGGGAAAATTCATCAATGACACAAAGGTGAAAACACTAGTCAAATATGAGCCTTTCACAGTAGGCTTCACGGAAAAAGTGTGTCTTCAGTCTCGATTTGAAGATATCAATTTTGTCCAAAGCTCTAAGCTCCAGGGGGAGCCGGTTCCACAAATAAGGACCAGCAACCATGAACGAGCGGTCTCCAAAGGTACGGGATCCGGATGGTGGTACATACAGAGACGGCTCTCAGATGACCGGAGAACTCGAACTGGCTTATAACTGGTGACGAGGTGCCATTTTATCAGTTTCCAGCCCTTCAGGGGTTTTTGAATATTTTTGCTATACTGTGTTGGGTGTTGTGTGCCCGAATGGTTAACATGTGAGCGTTGCATCATAAGGTCTGTCATCGAGTCAAGTGGCGTGGTTTCGATTTTCTGCTTGTATGTGGCTAGGAGTAGGATCGTCTGTCTAACCTTGTGCATTTTTCCCGGGTTCTCCAGTTTACTCCCACGTCTAAAGATCCCTACACGCAAGCGAATTAATGAAATAAAAATGAACCATATGTTAGTCCTAACTAAAAATGATATAATAGGCATAAATATTTAAGATTGGAATTGAAGACAAAGAATATGTAATGGTTATGAATAGTCTTGAGTTAAATGGTTTGACACTATAAAGCGCTTGACTATATGTGTAGTGTTACCTCGATGTGTTTTGAAAGAATAACAAGATGGCATTTTCACTGTATCTATTTAAACTGTAAAAATCTGAGGTCCCATGTACACATTGGCACGCACGTAAAAGATCCCTTGGCAGTTGGTGTGCCGCTGCCTGGGCAAGCTTTTCCACATAGCACACTGTATGGTATATGCCCGTCATCTTTAGCCCAGTCGGAGCAGAACAGTAGGACGTTAAACCCCATTTCATTTCATTTGAACTGTACTTCCTAGTGTGCCGAAATGTGATAGAAATAATGAGTGGGCACAATATCATAGGCTTCAAAATAATCTTCACATGTGACCCAGATCTATACAGAATTATTACGGTATGTAGGTTGAACCATGGACCTGGTTGAACAGCAATACACTATAGATAGGGCATATATAATTTATATAAATAACGAGTCAAGACAATGTAAAATCCGATACACAATATCGGTATATAAAATTGGATTGCAATAAAGAACGATCCAGTTCACTTCCCTTCGCATTTTATAAAACTCGCTAGATAACGCAAATGAGCCATATGTACACCACCCTTTTATAATCGGGCTAAAGAAGACTGACATTCGCCATGCACGGTAGTGCATGTAAGGGGAAATACTGCGCTGACAAATTCCAACTGACAAGATTCCTTTGCGTGCGGACGTGACCTCGGTCTTTGGGCCGATCCGAACGACTAGACAGGGTTCCTTGCCAGATTCCCCCGTCATGTGCCAACAAAGGACCGAACCCCGGACCTCCTGGTTAAAGAAATGAAATGAGGTTTAACGTCCCACTTTTTTTGCACCAACCGGGATTATGAACACGGGTGTACGTCATATGCAATGTGCGCTATGAGGAATGTTTTGACCAGACGTGTTCTCGAATCTCTTCATCAATTTCCACCTGCCAGGGATTATTTTACGCGCAAGCCAACGTGATTACAGGGTCTTATAGTTTTCCGTTCCACCTAAACAGCTAGACACTGTTCCCTTGAAGTTTTAAGTACGACCCGGACGATAAAGCTACTGATGGTTTGTGATACGAACTATGTTTTATCTTAGTTATTTTGGACTAGAAGTCATATACTTTTTAAAACGTTGGTGCGGTTTTATAATCTCTATATTCATGGAGGAAAAAAATAATAATTATTACATAAAAAATATTACAATTGCTGCACGCTGGGGATTAAAACTGGACATTACTTGCCTACAGTAAGCCTTGCAATAATCGCCTATATTTTCTTTCCCAACGGATTACATTGTCACCGTCTTGCAAACTAAAATTATGCCAGCATTTTTTTTGGCCCCCATTTTATTTGGGGGGATCACGTGGCTAAGTGGGTAAGACGCTAGCTCGCTAGCCTGGAGGTCGGGTGTTCGATCCCTGCATTGGCCGAGAAAGTTCATCCAGATTTTCCGGCGTGGTTCTCCCTTGTCAGTGATGCAGGACGGAGGGGCTGACAAGGAAAGCTGTCTAGTCGTTCGGATGGGACGAAAAACCGAGGTCCCGTGTACACATTGGCGTGCACGTAAAAGATCCCTTGGCAGTTGGAATTCGATATAAGAGTAGGCCGTAGTGCCGCTGTCCGGGCAAAATTTCCCTCATAGCACACTGTATGGCGTATGCCCGTCATCATTAGCCCAGGTTAGGAGCAGAACAGTAGGACGTTAAACTCCATTTCATTTCAATTTCATTTTATTTGGGTGTGCACTGTCGACACCACTGCCTTCCGAACTGTGTATATATGTTATAAACGCTCTACATGACAGAGTTTCGGGATTTCGCTTCATTTCCTAATGTTAACAGAAATGCTTTTATGGAAGAATATGCCATGTCATATCAGATGTTCTGAAATCTTTGGGGTATTTATATGAAATGAATTCATTTCGTTTATTAACATTACTGAAGAGACTGAGTAATTCTTCTGGAGACATTGCCTTTGCTTTTACAGGTGGCGAAGTTTCGGGAAGTTTGGAATAGATAGTTGTTCAAAAAAGAAATATGAAAGTAGAAGGAAAGACAGTATTCATCACAGGCGCTGCACAGGGTATAGGCCGAGGAATAACCGAGGCCTTGTTAGAAAGAGGGGCCAAGGTAATGTGTGCAATCCCGCGATATCCCATCCTCGGTATCCCCAGTGGTGCCATTCCGTTCTACCCCACATACGTTCACACCAGGGATCGAAAGCACAACCGCAAGCCAGAGAATGTGTGTGTAATAGCTTTATTTAACGTCCGCTTCCTCCGAGATGATATCACAGCCAAAGTTCAATAATAACAAACATATAAATGTGTTTGAAATATATACATTATTTACATAAATCATTCAGTAAATGGACCCTTATAAAAACGAACGTGAAACGAAGGCCGTTTCTTTAGTAAGACTGGTTTGTAATGTAAACTGTTTTTTGATTGTTTCGTAGACTTTAGACACAATCAAGGCCAGGGCAGATAATTTGAAATCGTTGAAACCCTATGGATTAACCCAGGGGTTAGTGGAGTAGAACGGAATAAGACCGGGGATACCGAGGATGGCGATGTCTATCTGATATAGACTTCAATGAGGTTTATTTAATGTCTTGTCAAGACTTCGGTCATTTTGAAACAAACATAGTTATTTTAATGGAAGGAGGACTGGGTTTCCGAGGTCTATGGAAGCTCTTAAATATCCACACCCGATTGACAGTACAACGGAATATATAGAATCACATTATTTTTGATGGCCCTCATTTAATAGTGCTGATACAATATATCGCTGAATCGATGTATCTCCATTCATCTTCTCAGGATTCGCGTATCGATCCTTTTATGTTTTTTTGTCGCATCAATAACTAACCCGTCACTCTTTATTATCCACGTCACACATTATCCATAGGTTCAAAACTCCCTTAAATTGTTTTGGTTCCTATTTTGAACCGAGCATTAATTACAATTTTCTTTTCAGGTTATACTGACTCCAATAAAAATAAAATTATTCATTTATCCTGTTGTTTTCTTGCAGTAAATATTGACGAATCGTACCGTAGGAGTCGCAATACACAGCAATTTCATTTATAGCTATTCATATTTGTAGACAGGCGAAAAATGACATTTTATTTCAATTTGATGGGATAGAGTCGCGTAATCCTAAAGATAATTGGAAACTTGTTAATTCCCTTGTAAATGATAATCCTGAAGTAAAACATGAAAATGGTTGTATTTCTATTCAGTGTGGGGAAAACCATTTTGCAAACTTATTTCATAATACTTCTAATCCAAAATCAGATATTGATGAAATTAAAATTAAAACCCATTCCGTGAAATCTTCATTGACTATTAATGATGAAATTAATTATAATAAAGAAATATCCGTATCTGTGTTTAACAATCTCAAACGCAAGTCCAATGGACCCGATCTTATACTCAATGAAATGCTCATGCCATCCCGTGAAATCATGATCGATCAGTATTTAAAACTTTTAAATTTAATCTTATCGTCTGGTATATGTCCTGAAATATGGCAGGATTCTTTAATTTTCCTGATTTATAAGAAAGGAACGAAAGTTGAATAGCCCTTGCTAGTTGTTTGGGTAAATGCTTTCTATCAGTAATCAATAAACGCATTGTTTCGCACTTAGAATCAAATAACCTTCTTGGCCAATCACAACGTGGCTTTAGAGCAGATCGCAAAACTTCGGAAAATATTTTTATTTTTAAAACATTGCTTAATAAATGCAAGAATAAAAAACAAAATTTATACGTGTGCTTTATTGATTTTAAAAAGGCCTTTGATTGTGTTTGGAGAAAATCTCTATGTCTCAAGTTGATGAAGCACAATATAAATGGCAATGTTTTGGACTTAATAACCTCCCCGTATATCAAAACGTCATTATATAATTAAGACTAATAATGGATATCTTTCTGAAAAAATTCAATCGGCGCGAGGGGTCATCGGATCTGAAAAAATGCATGGGATAAATTAGACTTAAATAAAATTACCATGAAAATTTGTAAGTCCATTTTAGCGCAACCTACAGAGGTACCAACTATTGGCTGCTTAGTGCTTAGCCGAAGCACACATATTCCCGCTACAAGTTGATGTTTATCGTAGAATGCTATTATATTTTAGGCCTCTATCCAACACACAACTCAGTATAAATAACCCAATTCTTTTTGCTTCCATTAAAGAAGATAGTACTTAGAGTCCATTAACCCTAAACTCTCTTGGACAGCAGCCATTGCTGAACTGTTAAATACTTTTAATATATCATCTTTTATTCCTTCATCAAATCAGATTACTAAATGCCTTGAAGAAAAATTCAACGAAGTTTATGCCAATCTATGTTCTTCAAATAACCAGAAACTAAAAATATTTTATAGGTTTATAAAGAATATCAACGCTACGGTGCCATACCTTCAAGTTGTTAAAAATCTTAAAACTAAAACCGCGATGTCCCGCCTTAGACTAAGCACACATTCCCTTGAAATAGAGAGGGAGGGCGATACAAGAATATACCTGCACATCAGCGGTTTTGAACGAACGAACTGCCATAAACAGCAAGTTGAAAATGAGTATCATCTTCTCATTGAGTGCAATCGCTATGAGGAACTCCGCAATACAATTGTTTATGGGACATTTGAGATTCAAAAGTATCCATTTTCTTTCGAAAACATGTTTAACCCGCCGTTTACTCTGGCAAAAACAGTGTGCATCTTTGTGCAACATGCTTTCAAAATAGGACGTGGCATCCTCTTCTTCACGTTTAGTTCAAGCGACTATGACATCCGTATTATTCAAATGTACATCTATATATACATGTACATTTCATCTACTTTTTATGCAATTTTCATCCACTTTTTATATATTTTTCCTCCATTTTTTATGTATTTTTCATCCATTTTTCTTAATGTATTTATCATGCATACCGTAATATATACTTTACATGCTGCCCGAAAAAGGGTGTTTTATGTAATAAAATCTATCTATCTATTTTGGAAAGGGTTTTTGGAGCCTGCAGATAATTCGGCTTTATTGCACTTTTTGTATTTGTTTTGTGGAGAATTGTAATCCAATACAAGTTTGGCAGATCTGTATCTTTATCCTAGTTTTAATTCCAAAAGATATAAGGACTCAAATTACACTGAACTATTCAATTTTATTTTAAATATTACATTTTGAAGGTTTGTATTGCTGATTTAGATGATAAAAAGGGTGAAGAAACCGTAAACCAATTCCAACAGAAGTTCGGAAAAGAAAATGTATTCTTTATCAATGTTGATGTAACCAATGAAAAGAAATTTGAAGGTACATAGTTACAATTCGGCAAAGTAATATTCGATTGAATTCAACGAATAGTGTCATTTTGTATAAAAGAAGATGTCGGGATACAAAGCATGTGCCGACGGAAATGAAATGAAATGGGAGTTAGTCCTCTCTTTCTTAAACAACCGACCTAATGAAGACGGATATACGCCATGCTAATTCCAACTTTTACGTGCACGCCAATGTTACCTCGGGCAGAAAATTTTCATTATCGAACCTAATTAGTCAAGGTATTGATGTAATGGCCCAATACACCTAGTTTCATCACTCCCATTCAATTAGTCATCATGTGCCAAAGAAGCCGCAAATAAAGTGCACATCTCTGCTTAACCTAATGCTCATCGCCGAACTCAATGAAGACATTCACCGAAGGAACAGGTGGTATACACTCAAGATTAAAATGGTCCGACGGACAGACAGGCATAGAGATTCAGTGTCACTCGATTATGGCCAGACAGCCGGGCTCTGATATTGTTAACAAAAAGATGGGCATGGGTGAAGTTCATAATGATTTCGTTTTCCAACATAATCGGCCATTTAACAATTGGCTAAACATGCATTATGCAAGAGCTAAATCTGCCTATTGCAGGTCTTTCTTTAGGTCTGAAATGTTATATAAATTATTAATTAGACATTTATTAACAAAACAAGACCATAATCAACTCTTGATGGCATCGGATACTCGAGATTTTAACTAGATTAGAACGGTTCGCCATTTAAAAATTTAATTTAAAAATGGGAAAGCGAGGCTAAGTCTCAAATATACCAGTCCCCTGGTTATCACAATGCACACAGCTTGTCAAAACTACAAACAGTGATAACTTGGCTCAGAATGAAGTAATTTGAATGACATTTTCAATATTTTCATTTTACATTATCTATTTTTGAGCAATTTTTGCCAGTTCTTTTTCTAAATCTTACATAATGTTTCTTTAAGGACGCGATACACTTTGTCCAGAACGAATTCGAAGTTTTTAAGCTGAATTGTAAGGTCGACATATTACACTTATTGGTAATAGATGCGATGATGTGTATCGAATGGTTGAAGGAATTTGGCATAAGTAAAATAATATCGATATTATGATGTCTTTCAAATTTCTAAATGGGCTAAAACACTTGATAATATAGATATTAGATGTGTTTCAAATAGTTTAAGGAGACCTAGTATATGATGTGTTTCAGATTGTTTTAAAGAAGCTGTGACACGACTGGGTAATATAGATATTATGGTCAACAATGCTGGTATAATGGATGAAAGTAGATGGGAATTAATGATTCAACTTAATATTGTGGGTAGTTTTCATTTGATCTTATCTTGTCGTTAGTCATATCCAGCGTTTTTCTGATTGTTGATCCATCGTTCCATTGACATGCAGTCCATCGTAGATAGGACATTTTTATACGCCCACATTTCAGTGTCGGTGTATTATGTCGCCATCCTGTTCGTCGATCCACCAGTCAACAATAGGCTTGTGAACGCGATAAAGGCTATAGTTTTCGACGAATTCTTTTCAAATTTGGTGTGGAGCATTGTGGTCCTGACATGACGAAAAATGTCAATAGACAGCGTTCTGTGATTTCCAATCTGATGGGTTTTCTCCGGGTCCTCCGGTTTCCTCCTACTTCTAAAGACTACGCGCAAGCGAATTATTGAAATAAAATTGAACCATGCGTTATCCCCGAAATGACCTAGTTTGTGTCGAGTGGACGTTAAACTCTCTCTCTCTCTCTCTCTCTCTCCCTCCTCTCTCTCTCTCTCTCTCTCCCTCCTCTCTCTCTCTCTCTCTCTCTCTCTCTCTCAAACACACACAATTGAGTCCGTTAAATTATATATATATATAAAATATTAAACAAAATTAAACGAAAAAAGAATTTAAAAAAACCCCGAACAGATCCCTTCTAGTTGATACCTCATGAGTTAATTTGCATATTTTGCATATTTGGCATAGACAATGTACCAAATGACGTTTTATATGTTGTGAACACGTTTTGTTATTTTGTTTGATTATCAGACAAGTATGGTTAGAGGAACCAATATGGCGATAGCTCACATGAATAAAGTAACTGGAGGGAAAGGAGGACTTATAGTAAACACAGCATCTGTAGCAGGTAAAACTTTATTTAATACACGATGTCATATTATGTTGTTATAAATTTGAATGGTAATCTAAAAGCATTTTTCTGCAGACGTCTCGTTTCCGAAACATTGAACTTTAAGCTAGTCGGTGATCTGGAATTTGTACTTTTGAAAGATTATGTATGTTGTGTGCACGAACCTTGTTGCTATTTGCCGTGATATTTTGGAATTGTATTTGAAGCTAACTGTTAATTTATTGTTTGCAGGTTTTGGTCCAGGATTCTGGTTTCCTGTTTACGGAGGAACAAAACATGCCGTTATAGGATTTACTATCAGCTGGGCAGTACGTTATCTTTACCTAAACCCGTCCGTTCAGACCTATTGGTTATTTTTAAAACATCTATAACTGATATTTATTGATAGTAATGAACATTTTCATTATTAGAAAATCTTGGTTAGAGTCAAAGTGATTATTTCGTTGTCTCTGTTTCCATCTTTAGTAATACTCTGAAGACCAACTATCCTTGTATTAGAATCGATTTATAAGATATGCTCATGTGCCATACCTACGTTTTTCCTCAGGCTAACCCAAATGTGGAATCGATGGGAATCAGATTTGCTTGTTTATGTCCGTCTGCAGCAGATACAGGATTATTAGATTTAAAAGACCACCAAGGAATCATGGTCAGCCATTTTACCAAATTTGTTCATGAAGTGTTTGGAGTTTCGTCGTAAGTAGCACTGTTTAAAACTAAAAGACCGCTCACACTCTGAATTCTATTTTCTGGTAAATTCTGGTGATGATGTCTATCGCATTTATAGATTATGTGTTGCTAACATCCAATCTGTTGGTCAAAAACACCAGCGCTATACCATACGGGTTTCTGATCGCCGACTTCTTAAGGATGTTCTGCGCTGGAATACCCTATTACCTTCGTGTTATATGGCGTTATCCTTTTTAAGCTTTCACACATTGCAATGATTTGTTGATACAAAGCTAAAATTCAGGCCTACACGAAAGGAGTAAAAACAATTTCATTACAAAAACGAGCTTTTAGAAACAGATTTATTCACTTTGAGAAGCGTGGGCCGAGAAAAACCTTTGGTATGTCATTTTCAGCAAAACACATGGACTGATACGGTTGTATTTAGGCAGTATGCCAATAGAGTATAATAGATTACAGTTTTATTATACTAATCTTGTAAAAACACACATAACTGTTCTCTTCATTCATAATTTCAGAGTTAGTAAGATCGTAGAAGGATTTATTACATTGGTAGAAAAAGACGACAATAATGGCGCGCTTTTAGTTGTTGGTAAAAATGAAGGAATACAATTTGTAACGCGGCAGTATAATCCTGGAACTCCTAAAGAAAATCAAGAAAAGGCTGATACTAATAAAATATAAACACATTTTGAACTGTTTAGATTAAACTTCTAGTTGGTAACATGTATTTCTAAACAGAAAGTCTTTGCTTAACTTCTCAATAACTTATTTCCATGGAAATGTTTTCTGATATGTCACGGGTACATACTATGTGCAAGTATTTGCCGGAACTAGTTTTGTTTAAGAATCTTGGAACCGGGGTATAAGATTATTTATAGAACTCGTTTCCACTCGCGGACCCCTTGGGGCATCTACATTCACTCTGTTCAGTCAGATTTAAATATTTTACATTTCATATTGAAATAAACCATCTATCCGTTCGCTTTGCCCTTGACGTTATTTGTTGTCCCCTAAAAATCACCTCTTTTCAAATAATGTGAATCGGAAATCGTTGAAAATCGGGCACCATGGTGACCCAGTCAGACGCTGGCTCACTAACCAAGAGATCCGGGGCCGAGAAAGTTTCCCCTAATCTTTCAAAGGGTTTTGCAGGACCGAGGGCCTGACAAGGAGCAGTGTCTAATCGTTCGGGTTAGACGAATAAATCGAGGTCCTGTGTACACGTTGGCGTGCTCGTAAAAGAACGCTTGACAATTCGAATTCGAATAAGAATAGACGTCCGGGCAAAATTCCCCCCATAGCACACTATGTGGCTTATGCCTGTCATCATCATCGTTATATTATGAAAATTGCAGGGCCACAAGAAACAATATGATTTCGAGGCACTGTTTTAAGCTGTTTCCGAGCATATCTAGACAACAGACAATTATGTGTCAAGATTAATGACGTCAAATCTGTTAAGATACCTACCTATGATATGTGGTGTGCCCAAAGGATCTGTTTTAGGCTTTGTACTGTCGATGGTCTTTTCCCGACCATTATCGAAAATCTCTGAAATATTTGGCCTTAATAATCACTTGCATGCCGATGGTACACAGATATACGGTATACGTCTCCTTCAATCAACAATCAACTAATTCACCTTTAAATGTTTTATTTGGCTCTCTTCGCCTTCGCAGAAATGTCTAGAAAAGATTCCTAAATGAAATATAATAACCTGAAAAAGTTGTGTTTTTCATAACTGTTATGGCACTTTGAAACTAAATTAATTATTTCTAATGTATTGGATATATACATAAATTTCACCTTTGATGCTATAGTTTGAGAGTATCATAGTTGTAAATATTGATATTTGCAATAAAATGCAATTAAATGTAATTGAAATGTAAAATGTAACTGAAATAATAATATAAAATGAAATATAATTAAAATGACCATTAATCCAAAAAGCGTTCCATTACCCCAGCCCTGGTTCTCGTTTTAAACTTATAAATATAGTCTATAATTTGCTAGTTCTGATATTTCTCGTTTTAGCCCTATTATTAATTAAACAAGCCAACTTTGATGTTGCACCCTAGAGACTTGATATATAACACTACACTGAACATCCATTATTAATAATCATGAGCAGCTTTTGCTTATTTGTTAAACTGCGTGTAAATTTTGTATACTGTTCATTATGGATGTAATGAAACAACAAAATCTTATCTTATCTTATACATATTATCTTAAGGTCTGACAACCATTCATGTTTCATGGTTTCTGCCCCCCCCCCCCCTGTTGCATATGACAAGGCGTAAGGTCCATAGTCGTCTCTCTGACCCCGTGGATTTTCTACGGGCGGGTTTTCAGTTTTCTTCCACTCCTAACGACCAATTTGACCAACCTTATTATTTAATTGAACATACATCTGATGTTAGTCCAGAAATTACCTTTCTGGTGTGGCGTGGACATTTTTCGTTTTAATACGAGACAAATCAACTGTACTTATTTAACGCATTGCGGTAAGGGCGTGTTTTCAAGTTTAGGAATACACTGTTCTATTTTGTGTATTCAGGTCATTACTATCTTCAATAGAAGGCTTGATCTCGCTTTAACTACGTGCATCTTATCAAGGCCTTCGCGTAATACCCTGTATATTTCGGCACTAATTTCGATTCCTCGGTCATCGCGAATACCAAGTCTCGCGCTTTCAAGCTAAAATGTATACCAGTGATAATGGAGTTGCAAAGTTCAAGGTTCGTTCACTGTCAAGGTTTCCGTGGAGGTCGCGATGTCACATCCTCTGATTGGACGTTACTGTTCACGTGTCTGTAGATAACGTAGCTATTAAGTTCGGGAATTGTGAAGTAATCTAGCAACGTCAAGATGTTGTAAAACTCGCAGTCGTTGCTTCAGGAACATGGGTCATTACCTGTATAATGCCTTACAGTTGAACTTGGTATGATAATACTATATTGCTATATACCCTTTGTTACCCATAGTTAATCACAAAAGAATCCCTCCACTCCGACTCTCGCATCTTATTTTTATAAACATGGGCATACAGTTTCCATATCAGTATATTGTCGTTCATTCTTGGGTACCAATCAAGTAAAAGTTATGGTGTCGCGCCATCTCGGGGTGATAGCCGACATTGGCGGGTGGAATCTCGTGGAACTCAGACTCTAGATTACATCTTATAGCTGTACTGGTAGTTTCTTGTATTACTGTTATATGAGCAAGGTTAGAATAATACGGATTTCTAGTGTTTCATTATATTAAAAGTGCGCAACGTGAAGTTCATAGTCAAGTCAAAAATATTGAAGTCCATATTAGAGTTCAAGAATGAAGAATTTAGGATCCCAGGACAGTCGCACACTAATCTATTTAGTGTCACACGACGTGATCATAGTGTCACATTGAGGAAGTAGTGGAATAAAATAAAACCAAGTACGAACAATCCAAACCATAAGACAGAATTCGAAGTCCTAAAAAACGTTATAGGCAAAATAGTGTATTCAAGCAAAATAGTGTAATCAGCAAATGGACTGCTCCTGTGTACAAAATACACGACAAACAGTGGTAACAGGTGTCCGGAAGAGTAATCTTACCCTGCCTGGCGCCACACCCGCCATAGCTGCATCCAAACTATTAGGCGAAATGTCGGTAAAATAGCGTGATTGGCCAATGAACTATCATGCAAAATGCACGCGATGAACTGTGTTAACGATGTAGTAGACATTATCAGGGAGATAGTAATAGTATACGTGTCAATTAAATATATCTAGAATAATAGCCTTAGAGACACGTTATATTTACCAATCAAATCAATATGACGGCCATAAAACTTTTTAAAGGTTTTAATAAGTTTAGTGCGCAAGTATCCTTGTAGTTGAAGCTTTGATGACAAATGCCTTGATCTACTTAAAAAATCAGAATAAAAGGAACAAGCTCTCGCGTAACGAATTAGCTGAGACACAAACACTCCATAAGCTGGTGATAATGGAATGTTACTACTAATAAATGGAAAGTTAACAATCGGAAAGTCAAAGTCATCACGTTTATCGTACAATTTAACACTCAGTTTATGGCAATTGTCAAAATCGAGACGCAGATCCAAGTAGGAAGCTAATTGTCACTGTCAGTGGTGTTTTTAATTTCGAGCTCATCAGGATATATGAATTCTACATAATCACTAAATTTAGGATTATTAAGTGATAAAACGTCATCGATATATCGATAAGTGAAATTAAAAAGTCTGACTGATCGTTTATTAGTTTTTACGAGCGTCTGTATGTAATCGGCTTCGTACGAATAGAGAAACAAATCAGCAAGCAAAGATGCACAGTTGGTGCCCATGGGGATGCCAACCACTTGCTGATATATTTCCCCTCCAAATTCAACAAAGATGTTATCAATTAAAAAATCCAACATCTGAATTATCTTGATGGCTGTGAATTTGTTTTTGGAATCACTGTGATTCTTAACGAAATATATGGAATTGTAATTTACAACTAAATATTGATATCTAGCAGTACCTGATTTAGACGAAAAGAGGCTGTGAATAATGTCTTTCAACCGGGCTTTTAATTTACTATGGGGAATTTTAGTGTACAAAGTAGAAAAGTCAAACGTTTGAATAGATGAGACTGAAGCAAGGGATCTAGATTGCAAACCATCAAGTAATTCTTTGGAATTTTTCAATATCCACATTTGATTTATACCACTACGAGAGTATATTTTGTCACAGTATTTTTGAATACCCTCTTTAACAGCCGTTAGTATAGATGTCAATACTTTTGAAAGTGGTTTTGTGGAACAACGGGATGAACCTGCTATAAAACGTTGCTTGTAGGGATTTTTATGTAGTTTAGGTATCCACACGGAGTACCAAATGAAGTGAGTACAGATTTGTGATTGGATATAATTTCATCCTTACTAAGAGTAGATCGTTTATATGTAGCACTGTCGATTGGTTTCCCGAAATTAAGTTCTTTGAACAGACAGTCAAAATAATGTCGTTTACATATAAACACTATGTTATTGGACGCCTTGTCAGCCGGAACAATGACATACTTGTCATGCAAGGCATTGAGATTTTCAACAATGCTAACATCATTGAAAATGGACTTAGGCCTAGTGTCAACTGACAAACGTTGCATGTATATTCTTCGTTTAAGTAAACGACTGATAGACTTAGTCCAATCAGAGAGAGTATCCGAGTTAACATCTTCCCTCTTGGCCCATGATCTAGCGTAGTCTTTACGGCATCCATAATAAGCTTGAAATTTTGATCCCATGAAAATGGTTGCGGTTCCCGGTATTTGGGCCCTTTGGACAAAATTTCACGTAGCTTATTATTCTGGACTATGTTCAAATCACCAGTGACCACATGTCCAGCTGGTGGGTAAAGGAAGGACGACGTAGAGCAAGAACATGGTAGAGGGTTATTATATAAGTCTTTTGCATTGATGTCACATAATGCGTTTCTGTAATTAAATAGTTTGGATGCAATGGGTTTAGTATAAGTATAAGAAATCCTAGGAACAGTAACAGTTTTGAAGTAAGGAGGGATGTGTGCTGTGACTTGCTTATGGTGTAATTGTCAGTTTTAGAAATGAACTGTTGGTGGTGTGCGACGCATCAGGCTCAGTCGCAATGTCCAAACGACGGTGGGCAATGTCAAGAACAATGGATACAACCCTGTATTCAGTGGATGCAGGATCAGTGCAATTTGAATCCAAACATTCAGATTTAAGTAATTTCAAAATAGTAAGTGGAATAGAATATAATTTAGTACGGATATGGTGTGGCCTTAATGGTTCTTGAATAATTTCCAGAAGGGCATCCAGTGATATAGTGCTGAGCTTAGGTGGTGTGTAGCGACGATGTCCATGACGAATGTCACAGAATAGTGTGACACAGATTAGTGCTATAAACCCGTTTTGGGTTTCCGTGACAAAATTTCCCTCATAGCACACTGTATGGCATCTGCATGTACAGATGCCTGTCTTCATTAGCAGGACCTTAAACATCATTTCATTTTTATTACGTGGCTCATATCTTGCCTATGTATGACCATATTATTTTTTTTTTAAATATTTAATTCAGACTCACTGAATGGAAAACTTTATTCACCTTTGGTCTATTTTTGTTGTTCATGTATACGTCGTAAGTGTTTTAAAACAAATTTATCACAAAGTAGCTGAATTTTACAACGAATTTATATAATTATCTATTAATTTCCCAACAGTCTGTACAACAAGACATCAAATTTTGTTGTTATGAAGTCTTTGCAGCATCAGCCTTTTCTTGATTTTCTTTAGGAGTTCCAGGATTATACTGTCGAGTTACAAATTGTATTCCTTCATTTTTACCAACAACTAAAAGCGCGCCATTGTTGTCATCTTTTTCTACCAATGTCATAAATCCTTCTACGATCTTACTAACGCTAAAATTATAAACACAAATAATAGAATACAAACAAGCCCGTTTCTTTAGAAAAAAAAATAAACAATCAGATTTAGGTTCTTTGGAAATATCAAGGAAGGTTTCAAGAAAAGACTTTTCAAGCATCTACTTACGGTGCCACACCAATCACTTCATGAAGGAATTGTTTAAAATGGCTGATCATGATTCCCTGATTTTCTTTGTAATCTAAAAGTGCTGTATCGGCTGCAGACGGACATAGACATGCAAATCTGATTCCCATTGATTCTACATTTGGATTAGCCTTAAAGAAATGGAAGAAGAATTAATTTGATGTTAAAAGTTTGATTAGCTGGAATTATTCCCTTTTGCTGTCATAGAACCATTGGGGGATCAAGGTGGGTGTGTGTGTATAAAAAATCGACTTATTATTTTGTCTGAACAAAACGTGAAAAGTTCAGCTATTTGATGATTTGGGTGGCGTATCTGATGAAACTGAATGTTATTTGTGCCGACCCCGCCCACTTTTATCGTCCCGAGACGCATTTAGTCCTTTTAACGAAAGCTGCTCTGTGAATCCCACCCGGATCTGAATGTATGCCATAACAGCGATGTATATGCCATAACAGAGATGTCAGACACATAAAGACAACGTACCGCCCAACTAGTAGTAAATCCTATAACAGCGTGTTTTGTTGCTCCATAAACAGGAAACCAGAATCCTGGACCAAAACCTGCAAACGACGACAATATGGACATAACTCATACATATGTTGGAATTTTGAAACATCAATCCAGTTAAGTCTCATTTTCTTTTTTTAAAACTGATGAAACAGACTAAAGATATCTCCCTGTCTCTATCCTTATCTTGTTGATTGTATTCAAATCTTTCGTTAAAGAATATTTCTGAAAAATGAAAGTAAAATATAAGTTTACCCGCTACAGATGCCGTGTTTATTACAAGTCCTCCTTTACCTCCAGTTACTTTATTCATGTGAGCTATCGCCATATTGGTTCCTCTAACCATACTTGTCTGTTAACCAAACAAGATTAGAAAATAATATAACACAATAATAGATTGTACACTTGTGGTCGTACGAGCCGGCGTGAAGCTCTAGTGGGTTGGGGCCGGGTGTGTGGGTGTGGGTGTGGGGGATTTGGTTTATTACAAATTAGTAGTTGGCGTTTTTATCTGTGTAAAATTTTCTTGTGTTTGACTGCACTTGGTTAAATTTTAAAAATTACCCACAATATTAAGTTGAATCATTACTTCCCATCTACTTTCATCCATTATACCAGCATTGTTGACCATAATATCTATATTACCAAGACGTGTCACAGCTTCTTTAAATGCATCTGAAACACATCATAATGTTTATATCATCAAAACGTAAAGCCCCCAAAACACATCATAATCTTTATATTATCAAGACGTAAAGCCACCAAAACAATTCATAATGTACGAAAAAGCTTGTGGACCCTCTAGAGGTAATATTTTTTTATTCGATGGTATATATCGTTCAAATATATTATGTTGATTAAACAACAATCACGTCACGGGTGAGTTCGAATTCGTGAAAATCGGACCGACACCTCCCCTACACGCAATTAGTGGCAAAGCATAATACATATACCAAGGTTGTGGACAACAGATCTAGGATGAGTTTGATTTTGGGATGCATCGAACCTTAGGTTCCGGAGTTATGTCCACTTTTCCGAGAACCGTGTGAATAGGATAGGCCATATTTTTTCACAGATGTTTTTCAAATTTCGCCAGAAGCATTTTGGTCACGAGATAATAATAATAATGTATCTATGTAATGCGCTTAACAATCCATCCATATACGCATGCTCAAAGCGCAACATTTAAAGAGTCTCTCGTCAATAAAAACACACATAAACAATCTGTTTCTAATCTGGATAATAGAGTTTAAACAAATGAGTTTTTAGATGTGACTTAAAAATTGTGAAAGTCTGGGATTCTATAATGTTTACTGGTAACTGATTCCAAATGCGAGGTGCAGCAGCACTGAAACTTTTATCACCAAATTGTTTTAGTTTTGTTTTAGGGTAATCAGCATCCCGCTACCTTTCGTTCCATGAGTTATGCCTCGTTGCCGAAAACTTTGTGAATGCGATAGAGGCTATAATCTTTAACAGATTATTTTCAAATATGGGTTCATGAGAGCTCACACGCTATCAATACTCCCCTTTCCGCGCCCCCTCCCCTCTCCTTGCGGAAAACCAATTGAATTCGATAGATGCTACATTTTTTAAACATATTTCTTCATATTCGTTAAGCATTTGGACAATGAGTGAGCCAGTTCTCTGTCTATCTCTTAAAAAATGTGAACGTATCTCATGGCAACCGCTTGTTTTATCGATATGGCTAAAAAAACAACCAAAAGATAAATAAATTATATACCTTCAAATTCATTTTCTTTGGTCACATCAGATTTGATAAAGAATACATTTTCCTTGTCGAACTTCTGTTGGAACTGTTTGACAGTTTCTTCGCCCTTTTCACGGTTCAAATCAACAATACAAACCTTTAAATATTTTAATTTTTATTTTTTTTTTATGTATAAATTGACAGTGCCATAGGATATTAAAATATTTGGAATTCGTAAATACATTAAGGCTAGGATTACATGACTCTGCCCTTTACCGTGGATGCTGTCCGGTTGCTAGCCCCCATATATTTTGGCCATATATCTTGGACATCATACCGAGATGAGGTCTACTCCGAAAACAGGAGAGGTTATTTCCCGTTAGGATACAGGACTGGACAATCATTGCGCAATTATTGAAATACCGTTTATTTTCTTTGCTCGAAATAAGTTCATATCACCTTACAATTGAAAATAAAAAAAAGGTTTTGTGTATTTAACTGTCGTGGTTGATTTATTTATACATATGTGGTCAATCATAAATGCACATAGTCAGTAGCGTTTCCAGATGCTGTAAATAGGGGTGTGGTGTGGGGCCCAAATCTAGGGCGCCATCCACAATCCCACCCCACAATGAATGTCAACGAAATACGCAATAAAATGTACAAAATAACACTGAGTATTGGCAGGAGCGGCTGGCTGGTACAAGCCACCTGAAGGGATTATTCGTGGGGAATTCGTCTATTTTCTACAGTTGCTCGCCGATCGTTATCTCGTCGGAAAGCTGTTGTATTCAAGTTGGCGTAAAGTTTGTGTCATATTATGATTGTTATTGATTTTGTTAATGTTTTTTTGTGAACCTCAAGGGCGTTTACTAGGTATTGTGGTGAGGTCTGGGTAATTAACCGAAAATTTCATAAAATCATAAGCTCTAAGACAATACAGGCTTAGTGATGGATTTGGGCAGGCCAAATGGCGGCAATGCTTCGACGTTTTCTTTTCAATGAACGTAGGAGAAATAAAATGTTCTGCGCGAGAAGTGGGTAAATCTGGATTTCCCCATAGACAGGCTTTCGAATCGTCGAAATGGAACAGTTTGGGTGTCTTGAGTACATTACCTTAGCCCCTCTTTCTAGTAGGGCCCCGGCAATTCCTTGTCCTAAGCCCTGGGCGGCTCCAGTGATGAACACGGTCTTTCCTTCTAACTTCATATTAATTTGTTTCAAGACACAGTGAATTACTACCACTGCAATTATCCACGTAAACTAGAAGATTATTATTTACTTAGGACACGCGATGTCAAGATAACCCAGTTTCTGACCTCTCTACCGCGTCGTGAATCAGTTCGCTTTATGGACAGTATACCTCTTATATTATGTGATCAAATATCCCCCCGTTATCACACGCAGTGGCTGAATTAGTACAATAACACTAATAGGCTCTAAATAAGTAAGCATTATCGACTGAGACAGGGGGGTTCAAGTTAGATCAGTGGTTCCCAACCGTTTGTTGGTTGCGACCCCATTCCAGAAAGCCTCATATGATCGCGAATATGAAACATCATCATTATTTACAGATGAGAGACCGAGGAGACAAATCATGAGCGTGAAAGAGGAAAGACAGTGGCAGATATTTACGAGGGCTGACTGAAAAGTTCTAAGCCTATCAGTGAAAGACTTGTAAAAAGTCGATGGTTTCCATTTTCTTTTCTGCATAGTCTGGCGTCATAATTACTATGAAAATTCTGACCGGCTAGTTGCTTTTTCATTTTTGGAAACATGTCTCTCATCCATGGTTACAAATCTGGCCAAAATATTATCAGAATCTGCTTCAAAATTGTTACGGGACGTCAGGAATCTGACACGTTTCTGATTCGCAGTCAAGAGTTTTGGCACTCATCTTGCAGAAACTTTTGTCATTTGTAACTCGTTGGCGATAATGTACTCAACCCTATCAGAGATACCCACAAACACTGGCAATATGTCGAGTGGCCAATCGTCAGTCAGCCATCACCATGTCATGCACTCAGGACGCGGGTCATCGTCAAGGCTCTCTCTGCCACGCTTACTGTGGAAAAGGAAGGGGCATCATCCCCTTAAGTGGAGACCATGTCGGCATGTTTTTGTGTTGGGGTTAGTCCGTTCAGTTGCAGGTACTTGATGGCTGCCCTATAACCAGTATCTCCATGATTTCAATGGGAGTTTCACAAGATGGTACGAAAACAATAATAACATACAGTTGCAGTTCGTATGTCTATGATTCTTTCAATGATTGTACTTGTTGGTGGCAAAAGTTTGTTTCAACCCAATCCATCTATTCTTTCAGGGTTAGAACTTTTCAGCCATCCCTCGTATATGCTTTTCATGAAAACATAGCACTTATTCAAAGTTTCAGAGTAGTCCGCCGCGATACAGAGGTTGGGAACATAATATATGAGTTAGATGAACACAAATGAAATGAAATGAAATGGGGTTTAACGTTCTACTTAGATGAACACCCGAGCTCGTGCTAAGTTGTGCACCGAGACCGTGTAGCTTACGCGGTCGAGGTGGTCAATGCACGAGCAGCTGGGTGTATGTCTAACTTTCCCGCGGTCGTGGTCGGTAACTAGCTTACACACTGAAATCTTTGTGTAAGAAGTTGAATGAGTGAATGCAAATAGACGAATACGACACAGACGAAATTTTATCACAGGCCCTTGATCTGCATGAAGAGGGGGCCACGGTGCACAGTAAGTAAGACGTTTGTTCGTTGACTTGGAGGTCCCGTGTTCGATCTTTGCGTTAGCCGAGAAAGTTCATCGGGATTTTCCGGCGTGGTTCCCCTTTGTCCGTGGTGCAGAACAGAGGGCCTGGCAAGATACAACGTATAGGCGTTTAAATGGAATGAAAAACCGAGATCCCGTATACACATTGGCGTGCATGTAAATGATCGCATGGCATCTGGAATTAGGTATAAGACTAGGCCACAGCGCGGCATAAAACCAAACCAAACTTTGCGTAGAATACATTGCCGAGTGGTAATCAGTCCACCGTTGGGGCGTTTTCGAGATATTCGGGGTCAAAGGTCAAATCATTGTTTGCGTATTCTACGCAAAAAAAAATACTGAAGAAAAGTAGGGTCTGGTTTTGAGCCCGTTTGATGGACACCCCCCGCACTGAGCCTCCAGACTATATAATACATACATTATTTTAAACGTAATAATATTGTTGTTTCAATAACCTGAATATAGCAAGTCTATATACCCGTTTATTTACGATGAATACAAATCAGATCATATCAAATGTCAGGTTTATGAAATACAATTTTAAGAAATTTATATTGGCTACAGATAAATGTATTTGAAGCCTATTTGCTGATTTCACGTTTTAGACACTATTTTTTAAAATCCGCAATAGGCCAATGGGAACGGTGTATGCCACTGAATAAATATCACGTGGTAATAGCATATAAGTTAGAATAAACATCCAAAAAGAAAATTAAAATTATTTTAAAAAATGGCCAAACAGTAGTTTATCCCCAGTTCGCTGGGTTTTGTGTATTTATTCTGTACTATTGGACGAATCTTCTAGCTAATGGTACTATTTCACCAACTATAAAGCTATTTCCATCAAATCACTGAAAAAATATTTATTGTTAACTACATGTATTTATCTTTTTTAATTAACACAGTGTTTCTTGTTATTTATAATACAGTGACGCCTGAAAATGCATGGTCAATTTTTCACAATCACCGGGTATCTATTAATTCTATTTTACACAATTTCGTCGCTAAACTGACCGAATTATACATTTTAGGAAGTCTTTGCAGTATCATCCTGTTTTTGTTTTGATAACGAAGCCATTGGATCATAAAACCGATTTACAAATTGTATTCCTTCATTTTTACCAACAAGTAAGAGTGCGCCATTATTATCGTCTTTTTCTACCAATGTAATAAATCCTTCTACGATCTTACTAACTCTGAAATAATAACCAAAAAGCATTCTTTGAGTACTCTATAAGGGAAATAAACAGGATCTCCCCCTCCCCCCACCACCCCCCCCCCCCAAAAAAAAACCCCAAAAAAACAAACCCCCAAATCATTTGAAAGCAGTGAAGGGGCAGTCTTAGATTTCACAGCGTATCCGTTGATAAAATTGGAATATACGAATCCAACCTCAAAACAGCCGAAAAGATTCAACTCAAATATTGAGCCGGCTAACTTGCCTTAAACATACATTATGCAAGAGCTAAATCTGCCTATTACAGGTCTTTCTTTAGGCCTGAAATATAAACTATTAATTAGACATTAATAAACTTACCAAGACCATAATCAACTCCCGGTGCCATCGGATGGCTGCGATATTAAATAGATTTAAATATGTTTTGCGGTTGACGATTTACCGTAAAAATGGATAATTATCGTAACAACTGTAATTGTATCGCCGATAACGCTTGAACAGTTTTGGGAAATACATGTCCCTATCGTCTTTTTCACGTATATACATACACACTGAGCTTTTAAAGAGAAAAACCTAACAATTTTTGATCAAATTGTAAATCAATTTCTTTGCAGCAAAGCATTAATTGCGATATCACATATTATTATCTCACGCTTTGAATGCCCATGCCATCCCACCATCTGATGACAAAGTGAGAGAGAGAGAGAGAGAAATGGGGTTTAACGTCCACTCGACAGGTCATTTCGGGACTAACACATGGTTTTAATTTTTATTTCAATAATTCGCTTGCGCGTAGGGGTCTTTAGCTGTGGGAGGAAACCGGAGGACCCGGAGAAAATCCACGAGGTTGGACAGGCACCCTACTCCTTGTCACGTACAACCGGGTAATCGAAACCCCGCCAGTTGACTCAATGACAGACCGGATGGTACAGCGCACGCGTGCTAACCATTCGGCCATCCACCCCCTCCCCCCTTGCATCTAACAAGTTTTATCCTTATTTGGTGTTCTTACATGTGTAATGTAAATAACCAACGAAAACGTTGCTTTTTCGATCACGCCAGGTCATCTACAGGTTCATTTAAAACAAACCCAACGTCAGCTATCTTGGATATTGGTTAGACTTTATGTAATGTAGAATCATAAAGTGGAACTAATGTTATAATTTTAACTAATTTAGCTGCAAGATGAAAAATGTCAACACTCTCAGTCGCATATTCCTGTATACATGGACCTTATGCTGTAAATAAAGGAATCCTGATTTGGTTACTGATGAACAAGCAAATTTTAATCAAATTTAACTAATTTAATCAAATCTAACTACTCTAACCCCCCTGATGACAAAGGATAAAGCACACGACCGTGACACTTTTCTCATAAAAAAGTGTCTTTTAACAGAAATTGGTCTGGAAAAGTGTACTAAAGTACATGTGTCGTAATTCCGCCATAAGTAGGTGAGACAAATCTGCATTTATACATACTGAAAAAATTATGACACTTATAGATCAAATTTCTGCATTAAGTCCCGGAAACTGCTTTTAAATCCAGAGACAGAAATTGATATATTTACCCATAGTACATCTTTGGGTGGATTTCTAGCTGACTGAACTATGGTTACAAGAAATTGCATTCTAACTTTCTACTTACGGTGCCACACCCAACACTTCATTAATGAATTTGGTAAACCGGCTGACCATGATGCCCTGGTGGTCTTTTAAATCCAAAAGGGCTGTATCTGCCGGAGACGGACATAAACAAGCAAATCTGATCCCCATTGATTCAACATTTGGATTGGCCTTAAAGGAATAAAAGGGTTTAATGTTATATGTGGCTCGCGATAGCCGAATGTTTTGACCGCATATCCATTGTTAACGATTGACAATATATCTACCATTGAACAGCATTCCCGGGTATAGCATCCCTACCATTGTCTCGATTTTACTAGGAACCTGGTTTGGCTCAGAAAACCTTATTTATTTTACTAACAAAAGATGGAATATGGCAACCTTGTCATTTTTGCAAGTAAAATAGTAGATATACATAATATGGTACTCAACTGACCTAACCGACATACTAATCAGATAAAAAATGAAGTATTCCAATAAATATTAAATCCTCCCCTCCCCTGCCCCATATTAAAGATTTTAATTTTATCAATAATAACGATGGGTTGTTAAAAAAGTCCTCTACAAGGGTATTTCATAAAGACAGTGGAAATTGGATAAATCAATTCATAGCTGTTATAAAGATAGGTTGCCAGGCAACGAAACATACGCCCACAGCAGCTATATCGTCCGGGCAGTCAACAAGAGTTGTCGCATATTTTTACTTTTTTCGGTAATAAACCATTTATAATACATTAAAATCTGATTAAGAGTAACAACTCATTAAGTAATTATCAGAAAACCATTAGAATTTGTTCGGTTTTTATAAAGTTCTGCGCAATGCTAACGTTTAGTATACGAAACTTTTAACATCATGGATTTAGCTGTTCAAGTCATAAAGATTCATTGAAAATCAATATACTTGTTCGTCTCAAGACCTTTAACACTGTGTATAAATTTAAAATCAATCGGATATTAACTTTAGCCTCTAGAGCGTCCACAAGATTTTTCAAAGTGATCAAGGGCCATAACTCTGTATCGGAAATCGCTGAAAATCAATAGGATTCTTCGTCTCATGACCTTAAACACTGTGTATAAATTTAAAGTCAATCGGATATTAACTTTACCCTCTAGAGCGTCCACAATATTTTTCGAAGTGATCAAGGGCCATAACTCTAGCTGTTATCGGAAATTGCTGAAAATCAAAGGCTTCTTCGTCTCATGACCTTAAACACTGTGTATAAATTTAAAGTCAATTGGATATTAACTTTGACCTCTAGAGCGTCCACAAGATGTTTTGAAGTGATCAAGGGCCATAACTCTAGCTGTAATTATCGGAAATCGCTGAAAATCAATAGGCTTCTTCGTTTCATGACCTTAAACACTGTATATAAATTTAAAGTCAATCGGATATTAACTTTAGCCTCTAAAGACGGACGGGGGCGACGAAAATATACGACCACATTTCAATGTGTGCGTATAAAAACAGTTTACAAACCAGTCTTACTAAAGAAACGCCTTCGTTTCGCGTTCGTTTTAATAAAGGTCCATTTACTGAATGATTTATGTAAATAATGTATATATTTCAAACTCATTTATATGTTTGTTATTATTGAACTTTGGCTGTGATATCACCTCGGAGGAAGCGGGCGTTAAATAAAGCTATTACACACACATTCTCTGGCTTGCGGTTGTGGTTCCGATCGCTGGTGTGAGCGTATGTGGGGTAGAGCGTCCACAAACAATTGTGGACGCCGGACCGACGGACGGACGGACGGGGGCGACGACAATATACGACCACATTTCAATGTGGGCGTATAAAAAAGGATCCATATGGAAACAAGAAACCAGCCGGATATGTTACAGATGAGAGTTTAGACGATTCCAATTCAGAAGAGAGGGGGGGGGGGGTAACGTCCACTCGACACAAACTAGGTCATTTCGGGACTAACATATGGTTCAATTTTATTTCCATAATTCGATTTTATTTCAATAATTCGCTTGCGCGTAGGGGTCTTTAGCAGTGTGAGGAAACCGGAGGACCAGGAGAAAACCTACGAGGTTGGACAGGCGACCCTACTCCTTGTCACGTACAACCGGGAAATCGAAACCACGCCAGCTGACTGAATGACAGACTCTATGCTAACCATTCAGAAATCCCCCTCCCCACACCAATTCAGAAGGCAATCGCGACACCTGTACACGAATTTGAAGCTAACGATATCCGAAAAGTCGACATAAGATTACATACCGCCCAACTAGTAGTAAATCCTATAACAGCATGTTTTGTTCCTCCATAAACAGGAAAAGATACTCCTGGTGCAAACCCTGAAAGCAATCATAATCTAATAGAAACACTATACTCCCCCCAGATTAAAGGAAATTCTATATTTGCGCTAACATAAAGTATTAATATTTCAGAGAGAATACCTTTTAGCTTTAAAATGTTATTTTTGATAAAGAATGTAAAATAAATGTTATTTTATTTTTTTTTTATAAAGAATGTGAAATAAATGTTATTTTTTTTACAAAGAATGTGAAATAAATGTTATTTTTATACGCCCACATTTTCATGTGGACGTATATTGTCGTCGCCCCTGTCCGCCCCTCCGTCAGTCGGTCTGTATGTCGGTTCACATTTTGTTTGTGGACACTCTACAGGTCACAATGTTTTCCGATTTTAACGACACTTGAAATATAGGTGTATCTCCCAAAGATCTTGGTTGTTTTCGGAATTGGCATTATCGGATCGTAACTTCATGGATTATGGCCCTGATTGTACGAAAATCACATTTGTAGAGTGTGGACACTCAAGAGGTCACAAATTTTATACGATTTAGATGAAACTTGAAATGTACGTTTATAACCAAAAGATCTCGGTTCTTTTCGATATTCGCGCATATCGAACGTAACTTTCTGAATTATGGCCCCTGATTGTACGAAAAATTGCGTTTTAAGCTGGTTCCTCTAGGTCACAATTATAATCCGATTTAAAAATCCTTTCGCATATATCACCGTTACACAGTAATGTCGGATGAGTTTGAATTTCGTGAAAATCGGACCAAAACTACCGGACAAAATGGCCGCCCCTCGTACGCAAATAGTATAAATATATGGTATATCAAGGTTGTGGACCCTCTAGAGAACTTAACTTCCTTGCTTGTTCGAAAATTCGCATTTTTAGCTTGTGGACCCGCTGTAAGTCATAATTTGTATTCACTTTTAAAAAAACCTTTTAGTATATCACCGTTACACATCAATGAAGGTTGAGTTTCAATTTAGTAAAAAATCTGACCCAAACTGCTGGACAAAATGGCCGCTATTTGTACTCAAATAGTGTAAAAGTATGAAACTTAAAATATATCTTTATATACCAAATACCTCAGCCCCTTTCGATATTCGCGAATTTCAGGTCATAACTTCTTGGATTATGGCCCCTGATTGTATGAAAAATCGATTTTTTTTAAAAAGCTTTTTCTCTATCCATCTCTTGCAAAATGTGGACGTATCTTGCCTAGCAACCGCTGGTTATAAAGAATGTGAAATAAATGTTATTTTTAATAAAGAATATGTAACATCAATGTTTACCTGCTACAGATGCGGTGTTTATTACAAGGCCCCCTTTACCACCAGTTACTTTATTCATGTGAGCTATCGCCATATTGGTTCCTCTAACCAAACTTGTCTGATAAGAAAACCCAAAATATATTGTCCAAATTAATAATCAATTGTGTGGTGAATAAGAATAAGCCTGTGAAATCTGAGACCTAATCAAAATAAAATCTCTTAGTGATTGACTCTTGTTGCCTTTGAACGTTTGCAAGGTTTCGGTGAAAGGGACAACAAATCCAAATAAATTTTTTTGCCTGATTGTGAACTTTGATTGGGTTCTTCCTCCTTCCTAATTCCTGTAAATAAAATGTAGATGCAAAATAAGTACCCACAACATTAATTTGTATCATTAATTCCCATTTACTTTCATCCATTATACCAGCGTTGTTGACCATAATATCTATATTACCAAGACGTGTCACGGCTTCTTTAAATGCATCTGAAACATAATTATGATAATAATACATGTAACACTATTTTAGTGATAACAGAGGTCAGTTTAGTAAATATAGGATTTATGACCACTAGTACATTCCCTTTGAAGTTCTGCGAGTGTTTGTCGTGTATTTTGTACACGGTGAACAGTATTTTGCCTTATTACACTATTTTGCCTATACCGTTTTTTTAGGACTTCGAATTTTGTCTAATGGTTTGGATTGTTCGTACTTGGTTTTCTTTTATTTATTGCACACAGATCATGTTTAACTACAACACAGACAATCGTGACTTAAGAAAAGTGCTTACAGAGTTGAAAGGCCAATATTGTATATATTATCAAAACAGCTGGAGGTCAACAAATTCAATTTGATAAAAGTTATAGAGTACTTTGTTACATATAACGTATTTAGGACAATCTGATATTACATCGCTAAGACGTATTATATAACTCATTTAAAATCATCTGAAACATATCATCATAAGGCAAAATTCTACTTGAAAATAGCGTCGAATTATTTTAAATTTGTGTCAGATGTGGTCAGAAATGGTTCCTTTTGGCGAAAAAAAAAAGAAGAATCATGCTGAAAAATAGAAGGTTAGGATTCCAAAATAGCCTTAAAACAGAGGTGGGGAAGAGCGGTATTTTCATATTGCAGGTTATTAATAGGGATGAATAAGAACTAATGAAATATCTAAAACACATCTTTATTATATCTATAGCTTCTTTAAGGTCATCTAAAAGACAGATTATCACTTAATGTTTTTTTTTATCCGACTTTTCCGTCGAGAGCTGTGGGACGACTTCGTGAGACCCTTGTGCCAAAAACGAAGCTATCCGTGTGCTCGCCAAAACCATTTTAATCGGTGTTACTGAAAATTTGTAAAAATCTTAAGAGATTGTTTAGGGTTAGAGTTGAAGATGCATTGTGCTAGGTGTTTACATTTATCGTAATTCATTGTAGCTCCATTTCCATTTGTTGTTGCAACGTTTTAAATAGTCTTTTTTTCGATTATAGCGGTAAAGGCGAACGTAAGCAACCCAGTCCCTCATATCAGATAAATTACATACATAATAAGGAAAAACTTATACCTTCAAACTCCTTTTCATTGGTTACATCAGCTTTGATAAAGAATACAGTTTCCTTGCCGAACTTCTGTTGGAACTGTTTGACAGTTTCTTCACCCTTTTCGAGGTTCACGTCAGCAACACAAACCTTTAAATATTTTCATTTTGAAAATTTTAAACAGTTAAAAACAATTATCAGGCTACAAATTGACAATGTGCTTATATCTTACAAATGGATAAATACATGCACATAGATGGTTATGAATTATGGAGTATATAATACACCATAGGCCTACAATACCTTCGCCCCTCTTTCTAGTAGGGCCTCAGTAATTCCTTGTCCTAAGCCCTGGGCGGCCCCGGTAATGAACACTGTCTTTCCTTCTAATTTCATAATAATTGGTTTAAAAATACTGATACTGGATACGATGAATTTGTAGGACTGCAACTATCCACCTAAACTAGATTATTATTAAATTACTTTCATCACGAGCTATCAAGATAACCCAGTTCCTGACCTCTCTATAGTGTTGTGAATAACTTCGTTTTATTGACGATATTGCTATACTGACATAGCTAAAGTCTACGCAAACCTACTTGATCACATATCCCCTGGTTATCACAAACAGTGACTGAATACCGGAAGAGTGTTCTGAAAAGATCAAGACTTGAATAAAATAGAGAGAGAAATGGGGTTTAACGTCCACTCGACACAAACTACGTTTTTTCGGGACTAACATATGGTTCAATTTTATTTCCATAATTCGCTTGCGCGTAGGGGTCTTTAGCAGTGGGAGGAAACCGGAGAAAACCAAAGAGGTTGGACAGGCGACCCTACTCCCTGGCACGTACAACCGGGGAATCGAAACCACGCCAGTTGACTCAATGACAGACTTTATGATACAGCGCGAACGTGCTAACCATTCAGCCCCCCACCCCACCTCCTCTTGAATAAAATCCACTATGCTCAAGCTAAATGTAAGCTAACAGAAGCTATAACATTTGGAAGAACAACAAAAGTGTCTAATCAGCTATATTAAAATTGCTGACTCAAGCACCTGTATTTCACCCTCAGTGAAAAATCTGGGGGTGTTTCTTGACCCAACTTTGTCTATGAATAAACAGGTTTACGATGTTTGTTCAAAATGTGTATTCAATCTCCGCAAGATTGGTTCCATCCGAAATCTACTTACTCCTTCTGCTACGGCAACACTAGTCCATTCTCTTGTTTTTTCCCCGTTTAGACTACTGCAATAGTTTACTCCCCGGAATAAATAAAACTTCAGTATATAAATTGCAGCGCATACAAAACAAAGCAACGCAGATCTTAATGCGAACTCCATTAAGAGACAGTATCACCCTTGCACTTAGGTCAGGCGAGAATTGACTTCAAATTGAATTCTCTTGCTTATCAATGTGTGTAGTGTGTAGTGTCATTTTATCTGAGGGAATGGTACCTTTTTTTACATGCCATCAAAAAATATATAAGATCAAGTACTACGATCAACCTTGTCCCAAAATATAAACTCAGCCCCTTCAGAGATCGCTCATTTGGTGGTGTTGCTCCGAATTTATGGAATTCGCTACCGGAGAAACTTATTAGACTCCTTTAAATCCACACTGAAACACCTTTATTTGAGAAATATTTGCAAGAGTGACTGTGTTTTTATAGCACTATGGGCATGACTATGTGTGGAACGAGAGCCATACAAATGGATTTATTATAATAATTATTTATTTATTCGCTTAGACAGTTGCTTGGGATTTTCCAGTCTGATTTTCCCTTGTTAGTGGTGCAGGACAGAGGGTCTGGCAAGTCCGGTAGATACCACTACGACAGCTTGAAATCGACAATTTCCGGCAAGGCACACTGCATGGTGTATGCCGGTCTTCATTAACTCGTAGATCAAATACACAAAACAATGAGTATATATATGTAACAATCTTACTGTCTGCGATATCACTTCGGTGGAAGCGGACGTTAAATAAAGTTATTTCACACTGACATGTAGTGAAGTATAGATATATGTCTCTGTTTGTTATTGTTCTACACTCAGTAATAAACAGTAATGGTAATGTGTATTCCATAGCACTGTGTCTTGTGTATTGCATTATCCCGATTGTTGCAGAAAAGTAATACCTTAAACCACTATTTCATGTCTAGAGAAAAAGAGAGATTTAATGTTTAAAGGGACTATCCCGATTTGAACAGAGTCTCAAAATAAAAGTCTGAGTAGTATGAAATTTAAACGCCAAAATATAGAGGAATGGTGTATCTACCTTGTCTCAAATTTTCAGCTCAAAATATTGAGTCGTTTGGACGTGAATGTCAAAACTGCTTATCCGGACACGTAACCCTTTTAAGATTTCGGGTCAAATTTTTCGTTGAGTGACCTGATAATCGATTTCTGTTCCATTAGAGGTCTATACAATGAATGGCCCATGTGCTGTACTTGATAACGAAAGGTAAATTTCACCTACACATTATTTTTATAAAATAAAAGTCTGGTTTTATCCAGACACCGCATTATACAGGATGGGACACCGTTTTCCATTTCCAGATGAAGACTGACGGGTTTAAGTTGTTCGAAAACGCATCACATAACTTGACTTACTTGCTCGGACCTAAGGTAGGGGATTTTAAGGGATTTTAACACAAAATTAAGCAGTTTTATTCTCCAAAATATTATCGGGATTGGCCCTTTAAGGCTTCTTCATGAACTAAGGGGATTTCATAGAACAACCTGTTCACATTTAAGTTTTATTTTTACTACCAATACAGTATTACAAAGAGATAATATATATGTTTTGGCGGAGTTTGATTTTTACTAACAATTTGAAGACAATGATGAATAATAATATGGAGTGATATACCTGTATAGTGGGTATACTAAAACATCATAATATAACAAATAAAACATAATACTATATTGTAATAGATCTATATCAACAAAACCACTATATAAACAAAGGTATATTGGGTAATAAAAACAGACACTGCTGTTGTCTCTAGAGTACTAAATTAATCTCACATCAAATCTTGCATGCACTACTGGTATAAACTGTCACTCCACTTAGCTATAATGCATGATATTCTCACTCTTTCTAGAACACCATATATCACTTATCATTTGAGGGTTCATATAGCTAAAAAAACCTTTTGTTGTCATTTTGCATAATAGTTTAATTAAATATAATGCTAACCAATGGTTGCCAGTCAAGATACGCCCACAATTTGCAAGAGATGGATAGAGAACAAACCAATAAAGAAGAAGTGATTTTTCGTACAGTCAGGGGCCATAATCCAGGAAGTTATGGTCTGAAATGTGTGAATATCCAATGGGACTGGGATATAAAGGTTTATTTTAAGTTTCATCAAAATCAGATAAAAATTGTGACTTCTGGAGGGTCTAAAACCTTGGTATTCAATAATTTTACACTATTTCATTTGTGTACAGAGAGCGGCCATTTTGTCAGGCAGCTTCGGAATATCGAAAGGAAGCAAGAACTTTGGGTTATAAACATGTATTTCAAGTCTCATCAAAATCGGATCAAAATTGTGACCTCTAGAGGGTCCACAACTTTACACTATTTGAGTACGAGGGGCGGCCATTTTGTCTAGTAGTTTTGGTCCGATTTTCACGAAATTCAATCTCAACTGACATTACGGTGTAATGGTGATATAATCAAACATTTTTTTATATCAGATAATAATTGTGACCTCTAGAGGGACCACAAATTTTTCGTACAATCAGGGGCCATAATTCTGGATGTTACGACCTGATATGCGCAAATTTCAAAAGCAACCAAGATCTTTGGGTTATAAACATGCATATCAATTTTCAGCAAAATCAAATAAACATTATGACCTCTAGAGTGTCCACAAGCTATAATCAGGGGCCATAATTTAAGAAGTTTCAATCCAACACAAGCTAATATCGAAAGGGACCGAGATCATATGGAGATAAACCTATATTTCAAATTATGTCAAAATTGGATAAAAATTGTGACCTGTAGGTGTCCACAGACAAATTGTGGACAGACAGAGTCAGGACGTACAGTGGCAATGATAATATACGTCCACATGAAAATGTGCCGAATAAAAACATTTTGAAACATAGCTAACTTTGAAAAATATCCTCAAGGTTCTTCCTCTTAAAAGTTGAATATAAGTATCAATAAATCCATAAAAAGGTCCTCCAAATTGAACTCTAATTGGTACTAGAGTGCTATTAACAACCTATGGTAAAGATAGATTGCCAGGCAATGAAACATACGCCCACAGCAGTTAAATCGTCCAGGCAGTCAACAAGGTTGTCGCATATTTTTACTTTTGTCGGTAATGAAACATTTATAATACACTAAAATCTGATTAAGAGTAACAACTGATTAAGTAATTATCAGAAAATGATTAGAATTTATTTTGGCTTCTAGTTCTGCCTCATCCTTACTTTAGTATACAAAACATTTAATATCATGGATTTAGCTGTTCAAGTTATCAAAAATCGTTGAAAATCAATATAATTGTTCGTCTGAAGACTTTAAACTCTGTGTATCAATCGAAACGATTATATATATAGGCGTTAATACAGTGTATAAATACAAAACCAATCAGATGATGACTATAGTCTCTAAAGATGTTTTAAAGTGATCAAGGGTCATAACTCTGGCAGTAATTATCGGAAATCGTTGAAAATCAATAGGCTTCTTCGCCTCATGACCTTAAACACTGTGCATAAATTTATTAAAGTCAATCGGATATTAACTTTAGCCTATAGAGCATCCACAAGATTTTTCAAAGTGATAGAGTGCCATAACTCTGGCAGTAATTATCGGAAATCGGTGAAAATCACTAGACTTTTTCGTCTCATGACCTTAAACACTGTGTATAAATTTAAAGTCATACGGATATAAACTTCAGCCTCGAGAGCGTCCACAAGATTTTTCAAAGTGATCTAGGGCCATAACTCTAGCAGTAATTATTGGAAATCGGTGAAAATCAATAGGCTTCTTCGTCTCATGACTCTAGCAGTAATTATAGAAAATCAGTGAAAATCAATAGGCTTCTTCGTCTCATGACCTTTAACACTGTGTATAAATTTAAAGCCAATCAGATATTAACTTTTGCCTCTAGAGCGTCCACAAGGAAATCCGTCCACCGGACGGGCGGGGAGAACGACAATATATGACATTTCAATGTGGGTGTATAAAAATGGCTAATATTAGGGAATTTATTGATCTAAATCACTGGAAGTTTATAAGCTTCTTACTCTTTGTATGATAAACAACCTACAAAATTGAACAAAGATGACAACTGTGTCAACAAGAATTGTGGATGACATACAACCTAACAATATACATCCACATTATTACAAGTTAGCATAGTCTATAAAACATCTCACCAGGTACTGATAATTACAATTCTATAAAACTTAATTAATACTTTAATATAAAATAATATTAACTCTTCTATTTTGTTTGAATATCAATCTATAGTATAATGTATAATTATTGTTTACCCGAATCAAAGAGGTACAGTCATCATGTCAGCTGTGTACAAAAACATATTAATCCAGAGACATTCGTTTCCTATTCAATACAAATATTTAGACACCACATTAGACAATTTTCACAATAGAAAAATTAAAATATAACACACATGTGACTGACTATATCTAGAGAAATTACCAGTATCTCTTTATGTATTACAACATTGAATTTCTTTTTTTTTTTTTACAGAATAACTGTTTCTTATCCATCCCAAAATGTCCTCTATTCCCTATAAGAGGTATGACAACAAGAAGACTTGATAATATCATCAATGAAATTTGTTAAACTAGAAATTGTTCTAATTAAATCTAAATTTCTAAAAAATAGCCAGATTCTCTAATTAAAAAATGAAATGTGTATATTATATAAGAAAATATATTGCTGACTATTATAACAACTAGACATGAACTAAATTAAATTCCGAGACAAAACCAGTACGATGCTTTTCATATATTCAGTTTTGGAATGTTGTGTTCAATTTTTACACTGTCAGCCCACACTAATGACAACAGATTGACCATATAGTTTCGGAAAAATGGTCAACTAATGCATTGAAAAATTGGTATAATAGTCAGTGTATTTTAGCTGAAATAAGGGTCATGTACCAGTTGCCCCATCCATTTTACAGGCAAAGAATGTTTTTGAAAAGAATGATATCAGGACAGCATTACTGAACTATATAAAAATCTGAACAAGATTTAAAATAAGTCAACTCTCTCACAGATCCATACATACATGTATCTATAACAAAATATAATATAATATATAAATAAAGTTTTGACTAGAATAATGCTATTACCTAGATAGGCAGTACACTTCATAATCATATCACAATAAACAGGGGTTAGTAGATTATCTAACGTCCATATAGAGAACTATATCTATGGTCACTGCTATTAATAACAATTGCATGTAACAATTATTTATCAATTATAAATTACCATACTATAAATTACAATTACATTGAACAATTACTTACAGATTAGTTATATTATGTAACAACTTATCAGGAATTTTCCAAAATTATGGTTACATGTAACAACAAATATGTTGGGAATGTACCAGGTACAATATATAAGTTGTAGGTTACTATAAATAACAGTTATAACAATCTGCTATGGTTTAATATAAATTACTAATGTATTGTGTAACAGTTTGTTATAAACTATAATTGTATGTCAACAATAATTCTTTCAATTTATTTGATAGTACTTTTATCGTTTATTACTTGCAGTGCCTGTGCTGTGTAATTTTCCTGCACTAATATAGTTGATAATAAATCATAGTTGTATTTTACAAATTAACAACCTGTTATAGTTAAAGATAATTTCCCATAAAAGTATTTATCAGGTGGTTATTTCCAATAAAAGTATGGCAATTTTTTTATATACATGTATATGGGAAGTAGAAACATCCAATCTTACTAGAAAAATACTGGATGCCCTGAAAAACACCCATGGAGCACATACAGGACAAAAATGTAAGGGTTTTCCTAACCGACAACCTGGCGATTAGGGACGTCTGCTTGAGTGACGTCAAAAGTTGCATGCGAATCTCTCAGCTTTAGTGAATGTTTGATGTATATGTTGATAAACTTGATGGTGAGCTTAAACGCACAACAGTTTCTGAGATAAAAACCACGGAAAAAGACGTGGGCAGTGGATAATCTGAGAATTAATTAGCCTATGATATTTATGATAAATGGACAGTGATTAAAAGACAGTGTCTTGTATATATACAATAATTTCTCCTCCGACTTCGCACACATTGCTAGGTATTGCGTCAGCAAAGTCACATGACATGAACATGGCTTCTTTTAATAGATTTATAACAGCAGGGGTATTTCCTCACGAATACAACGTTTTGAGAAGGGTTTGAAGCAAAATTTTGATGTATTAATTAGTTTGAATATGTTTTTAGTCCAAATATATCATCAAATCACCCAGTTTGTACGCGGGAAGGTATCTTTAACACATTAACAATTTGTTATAGCGGACTATAAATTATAGTCGCATGTAACAAATTAACAACCTGTTATAGTAGACTATAAATTACAGCATATACAAATATCTGCTATAATTTTAATTACATATCTCTGTCATATTCATAGGTTACTACAGATTAACCTTATAAATGATATGATATGATGGTTACATTATAATAATAAGTTAGTAATTGGGTACTATAAGTGGAACAATAAATAAACCATTGGTTATCAGGACTCATTGCTAAACTGGAACTGTTTAATAGTAAAATAAATGTTATTAATTATTACAGTTACTTTCTTACATGGAGAACTTTATCCATCTGGAGTAATTTTTTTGTGAAAAACCTGTACATAAACCTGACAATTAACACTTACCAGTGGTTGCTTGGCATGATACGCCCACATTTTGCAACAGATGGATAGAGTACAAGCCAAAATAAAAGTGATTTTTTGTACAATCAGGGGCCATAATCCTAGAAGTTATGGTCTGGAATGCGTGAATATCGACAGTGACTGAGCTCTTTGGGATATAAAGATATATTTTTTTAAGCTTCATCAAAATCAGACAAAAATTGACCTTTAGAGGGTCCACAACCTTGATATTTCATACTTTAACACTATTTGTGTACAGAGAGTGGCCATTTTGTCTGGCAGTTTCGGTCCATTTTTATGAAATTCGAATTCAGCCTTCATTACGGTGAAATGGTTATCTATTTAAAAGATTTTTAAAATCGGATAACAATTGTGACCTCTAGAGATTCCACCAGCTAAAATCGCAATTTTTTCTTACATTCAGGGTCCATAATCAAGGATGTTACGGTCAGCTATGTGCTAATATTGAAAGGAACTGAGATCTTTGGGATATAAACTTACATTTCAAGTTTCATCAAAATCAGAAGAAAATTATGATCTCTATAAAATCTCTATAACCAACGGCTGCCAGGCAGGATACGCCCACATTTTCGAGAGATGGATAGAGAACAAGCTAACAAGAAAGTGATTTTTCCTACTATCAAGGGCCATAATTCAGGAAATTACAATTCAATATGCGCGATTATCGAAAGGAAATGAGATCTTTGTGTTATAAACTTACATTTCAAGTTTCAACAAAATCGAATTGTGACCTCTATAGGGTCCACAACCTTGATATACCATATTTTTACGCTATTTGAGAACAAACGGCGGCCATTTTGTCTGTCAATTTTGGGCCGATTTTCACGAAATTCGAACTCAGTTGTCCTTAGGGTGTAACGGTGATATAATAATACGTTTTTTTAAATTGGATAAAAATTATGACTTCTATAGGGTCCACAAGCTAAAAACGCGATTTTTCGTACAATCAGGGGCCATAATTCAAGAAGTTATGGTCCGATATGCGCTAATATCGAAAGGAACCGAAATCTTTGGGTTATAAACTTACATTTCAAGTTTCAACAAAATCAGATAAAAATTGTGACCTCTATAGGGTCCACAACCTTGATATACCATATTTTTACGCTATTTGAGAACGAACGGCGGCCATTTTGTCTGTCAATTTTGGGCCAATTTTCATGAAATTTGAACTCATTTGTCCTTAGGGTTCAATGGTGATATAATAATAACGGTTTTTTAAATTGGATAAAAATTATGACCTCTATAGGGTCCACAAGCTAAAAACGCGATTTTTCGTACAATCAGGAGCCATAATTCAGGAAGTTATGGTCCGATATGCGCGAATATCGAAAGGAACTGAGATCTTTGGGTTATTAACGTACATTTCAAGTTTCAACAAAATGGGATATTAATTGTGACCTCTAAAGTGTCCACAAGCTAAAAACATGATTTTTCGTACAAACAGGGGCCATAATCCATGAAGTTTCGATCGGATACATGCCAATATCGAAAGCAGCCGAGATCTTTTGGAGATAAACCTATATTTCAAGTTTCGTCAAAATTGGATAAGAATTGTGACCTGTAGAATGTCCACAAACAAATTGTGGACGGACAGACGAACAGACGTCCGGACGGACAGGGGCGACGACAATATACGTCCACATGAAAATGTGGGCATATAAAAATTGTGACTTCTAGAGTGTCTGCAAGCTAAAAACGTGATTTTTCATACAATCAGGAGCCATAATCCATGAAGTTACGATCCAATACATGCCAATATTGAAAGGAGCTGAGGTCTTCGTTAGATAAACCCATATTTCAAGTGCCGTCAAAATCGCATAAAAATTGTGACCTGTAGTGTGTCCACGGTGGCGAAAACAATATACTTCCACATGAAAATGTGGGCATAATAAAAATCAGGAATAATGGAGTTCAATGTATGAATAACTGAATACCTGTATAATGCCATGTTCTATACTGTACATTATGATATTAGCTGCATATAATGCCATGATCTATACAGTATATTTAATATATTAACTGTATAATGTCATGTTCTATACAGTGTATACCACTATGTTCAATATATTAAATGTATGCTGCTATGTTCTACTGATCTCTTGTTGTAAAGGATAAGATTGTACATCTGAGTATGATGGTAAACTGTCTTGTTTTACAAAATGAGGTGAACCTGGAGTCATACATTCAGCATAACTAGGCGGGGCTGAAAATAAGATCAGAAAATACATTTTAGAATTCAGTCATTAAAATAAATGTTCGGTTTAGAATTGTGATAAAGAAAATTTTTGCATATTGTACTATGAAACATTATGTTGTAAATGGCTGATTTTCTTTTTTAATTTCTTATGTCCACAATTTGCATGGGATATTAGATCCTTTCAAATCTCCTTCATTTAGAATCAGAACATAATGCTGTTGGACGGACTGAACAAACATTTGTGGCAATCGTTGACCAAAGTTCTGGCTTCTATCGTAGTAACTATCCAATTCTCTAGATCAACTTTAAACACCCTGAAGTCAAGATAGTGTTACCTCATGCATGTGACAAATATACACTATTACATAACTCCTTTAATATTTTGCAAGCATCTTAAGATTTGGATATCATAGACAAAAAACGTTAATTGCTGGGTTGTTTGTCCATAAAAATATCCAGGCAAATATCAATAAAAAAGGCACTTTTCTCCCTCCTTTTTGTGGTCAAAACTAAAGCTTGCAAGCTAACTTTACTTCTAAAATAATTCTGCTAAATATATGCCAATAGTTTAAAAAAAAAGTATTATTTGATGTTGACAAATAATAATTTGACTTACGCATTAAAGGTGTATGTTGTGAGCAATCCTCTATAGCTGTATTTATAGAGGAGGTTAGAGTTGTATTAAGTGGAACTGTTCCTAGAATTATTCTTTCTTTAAATTTGATATCGTCGCAATTACAACCAGCTGCATTTAACAAAAACTAAATAAAATAAAATAAAATGAAAGGTGGCTAAGCAAAAAAGCATAGAAACACTGCAGTTAAGTCTATAAGTTTAAAGATACATTATGGGAGATTCGGTAACGAGTTGGCAGTTCGCACTATAATAGTTAAAAACTAGATAAGGTAGAAGGCAATTTGGTGAAAATTTCATTCAAATTGATCCACTATGAACCGAGAACTAAGCGACTGAAATTCCCATAAGCCTCGGTCATCATTACTAAAGTCAGTACGATAAACAGCATAGTCTCGATTATCCATTTAATCATTTAATGAGAAGGAAAGTTATGCAGTAAATCGGCTTACAATCCACTGAAGATCGCAGGCTAGCGCAGCCATCTAGAGTTGATTATGGCCTGGATAGGTTAATTAATGTCTAATTAATAATTTAGATAACATTTCAGGCCTAAAGAAAGACCTGAAATAGGCAGATTTAGCTCTTGCATAATGCATGTTTAAGTAAACAAAAAGCGAAATATTTAAACAGTACTGATGCATGTCATTCCTACGTTGACAAGATTCTATGACATAATCAAGGGCAATAACTCTGCGAGTAATTATCATACATCATTAAAATTGTTGAGTATTTCTTCTGTTTCATCATGAATGTAAACAGCATGTATAAATTTGAAACACATCAGATGATAAATGTAACCTGAAGTGTGTTCACAAGAAATTATGGATGAAAGACAGATAAGGTCAACAACAATGTATGATCACTTTTTTTTTATCACAGAATGGAAAGATAACTTGGCAAAAATGTGTTTGCTGTTAGAATTTTGTCCTGTGCAGCATTTAAAAGCTTTCACAAATCTAAACCTAAATGGGGAAAATAACTCTGAAGTTTGCAACTGAAAATTTTGTTAGGTTTCTTCATTACCATAAAATGAACAATCCTTTTGAATTAAATATAGTCGTATAGAAATATTTAAACTAAATGTAAATTTACCTGGATTTCATAATTGACATCTATTAAAGTAGAAGCTCCAAGATTGGTTAGATGTGTTTCTGGTGGTATCAATATAGGATCATTCCATACATCAGATTCATCAGGTTCAATACTATCATGTGTGGCTTCTGCTATAATAACTTTACTAGTTCTTTCATTATCACTAGCTTTATATGTTGTTTTCTGTCAAAGATATCAATCAATCACTAAATTAGAAATATTCAAATTTGTCCTGTCAAGGTGTTTGTAACCTATCATCACAGGGACAAGATATTTCGTTTGAACAACCCTGAAAGAGCAACATGCAGACAACATTCCTACCTCATTTAGCTGAAGTCCATCATGTGCAGCAAGAGGCCAAATCAAAAACTGGCTAATCTACACATTAAATCGGCAAGTGTCACTTCATTTGAAAACAAGAGAATAAGTACCACTCTCGAAACACACCAAATTTTTTTTTATTGAAATAAATTGTGTGGATTAGGTGACCAAGACAAATTGTTTATACTGGATAGGCAAAAGACCAAGGTGATGACCTTTGTTGCAATGTACTAAAAGCTGAGCTGTAGATAAATGCAACAAGTTCATTGAAGTAATATGCCCTTTATAGTAGTCCAATGATGAAATGCATTGAAGAGTGACATTGAATTTTGGTGCAAACGAATACGAATATTTTTCTACGAAAGCACTAATGGAGGATGAAAATATAGTGTTTGAAGGTATCAAATTTAGAAATCAGTGAATTACCATGACCAGATATGCTGTAGCTGTTAAATAATTGGATGTATTATTTACAATCTCAGCCATTACTATAACGGGGCCAGTGACAACAAAACCCCGATGATCCAATCGAAAGACAACATTATACGATCCATGTTTACAACACCAACAACAAACTGTTCGTTGTTCACTTCTTATTACAACTTCCTGAAATATACCAAATATCACAAGTTTAACCTTTGGAACACAAGCAGATTGATTCATGGCGATGACATTGTAGTACCCACAATATGGGCAAACAATTTTCTGGATGTGACCATCACTTGTTTACATACAGATATTGGACATCCCGACACCAACTCCTCGTACTACAGTGACAAAAGGTGGAAAATATATACCTAGGTAGTGGTCATTGTGTTTTGCGTCATCAGCATGCATTCTAAAATGAAATTTTGTGCATTATAGATATATACTATTATCTTCACTAAGAAAATCACAACGGTGTCATTAACATGATTATGTAATAATCTCAAGTATTCTGCTAGTGCCCGGTTAGCTGTGATATATCTGATTGCCATTTATGACCATACAACAAGGTTATTATCAGTAATATTTGAATCATATCCTCAAGCTACACAGTAAAAGCCTTTACTACAGACAGAAAATTTGGGGTATACATGTATACGCAATACTCCTGCTCTGGCCAGTTCGGTTCAAGGGAGTTAAGACAACGTGCAAAATGACGGATGGTTCAGATTTAGTTTCGGTCATTTTCCTTAGACCTAGGTCATGACCAGCATATACAGCCTACATGGAACCTATGGTTCACACTAATTTTCTAGTTGCCGACTAATATTTACCTGTGCTTCAGGATATTCATTTAAATCAGACACACCATTTATAGAGAAATGAGCTTCTTCTGAAGTAACATCAAGTTTCCATCTACTACGATATACTTTTGCTTTGGCCCAGTATCTCACATAACCATATTCCCCTTCATATGATGATGGAATGTTTTTAGGTAAAATATATTGTTCAGTAAAAGTATATTCCCCTGCTGGCAGTAACTGTTCTTCTGGAGAATAACCCTCTGAAAAAGATAACAAAGATCGTGTAAAACTTAATATCTATAACTAAGTCAATATCTGGTCAGAAGATAAAAGGGTCACAATAGCATATTAATTCACTTTTTTAATTCAATATGGCCAATAGCCATCCATTATTATGTTTAATGCCCAAAAGAACAATTTTATATTTGTGTCTAAAACAGGGTTCACAATTTTAAAATTTTGGAAGCTGAAAATTTATTTGTATGGGTCACAACTGAAAACACAACAATCAAATCAGAATCACCTTGCCCCCATAAAACTTTTCTTTCAGCAATGAAATTGTCTTTTCCTTCATAATGAGTACTATTGCTATCACCTGCAGATCTTCTTTCCTCCCAATAGACATAACATTGACCATAAACTTTTAGATGAATACCTGAATATATAATTAAAATCATCATGGATCATACATATATAACAAGAACAAAAGAAAGCAGTAGAAAATATATATTTTGATTGACAATTAATGGGGTGGGTCACCTGCAAGTCATGTCAGTGGCTTAATATTGACCAATTATCAGCAAGAGAGAAATTAAAACAAAAGGAAATCCTCTTATTGTAAATGCCAGGATTATGTATATGTTTGTTAGAATACCCAAATTTAACCTTACTGTAGACAATGTGTTATTCATCATTTAGTTTTTCAACCCATATACAAGAGGGTGATGAATCTCGATCATCTGGGAGCATCATGACTTTTTATCATAGAAAACTTGATTACCCAATGGCTCAGTGGGTGTGGCGCTGGCTTGCTTACTAGGCCCCAAATTCAATCTTGGTGTTTCAGCATGGTTTCCCCTTGTCAGTGGTGTAGGATAGAGAATCTACCAAAGAACAGTGTTTAGTCAATGAGATGGGATGTAAAACTGAGACATAATTCATACAAGAGTAGGGGGAAATGCCACCGTCTGGACAACATATCCCTCATAGCACACTGTATGACCTATGGCAGTCTTCATTAGCCCATTTAGTGCAGAACGGTAGGAAGTTAAACCCCATTTCATTTCAATTCATTTGTTTAGCATTAAATAAAATAAGGTTAAATACCTCTAACTCTAACTGGTTCTAGAACTTTTAGCTGGACAACTAAAGCTATTTCATCACAAGGATTGAATACTTGCTGATTGTCAACTATTTTTACTATAAAATCAGTCAGTTTGTAAGAACTCATGACTCTTGGTTTTAATATAATCCATTAATATAGGGTTGGTCGTGCTGTTTATTGGATAGAGTACAGTTCCATTTCCTCAAATAATTCACTGCATCCCATTCACATGTCTGGGAGGTTTGCATTGAAAATACTCCTGCAGAAAACAAAACAAAATTAAAACAAAAGTAAAACAAAATTTTGAACTATAAAAAACGAAACGAAATAGGATCTGTGTTTTAATCAGATTGATAAAAAAAAAATATTCTGATTCTCAGATAATCCTGTGTCACTCAAAAAGGGCCACATGACCTGTTTCTATTTCTTTAAATAAAAACAGTCTCATTAATTACAGCACAAAAATGTTTTACCCTGTTACAGAAAGTGGCATTAACAAAAATACTTGAATGAATCTGAAAATGTGGCATGGGTTGATTTATTAACTACACAACCCTGATAAATGATACTGACAATCATAAATGATACTGGATAATCCCATTCCTGTTAAAGGGACCATCTCAATTTTAACAGAGTCTCAGAAATAAAAATTTGTGTACGTATGAAATTTAAGCGCCAAAATATAGAGGAATGGTGTATTTACCTTCCGTGTCTAAAAATTTCAGCTCAAAATATTGATTCGTTTGGACGTGAACGTCAAAACCGCTTATCCGGACACGTAACCCTTTTAAGATTTCAGGTCAATTTTTTCGTATGGTTTTATTCAGATACTGTATAATACAACTTGGGACACCAGTCTCCATATCCAGATGAAGACTGACAGGTTTAAGTTGTTTCAAAACGTATCACGTATATTGAGTTAGTTCCATGCCCCTAAAGTAAAGAATTTTAAGGTTTTTAACACAAAATTAAGCAGTTTCATTCTAGAAATTATAATCAATGTTGGCCCTTTAAACAACATGATGAGATAAATGTTATAGTGCCTTGAGTTGAAATGCAATGTTTATGGGTAGTTATTTAGCCCAGTAGTGATCCCTTTGACAAAATAAAAATACAAAAAAAAACCAACCTCCCATCACCATCAGATTTTGGTAAGGATTGTCTGAGAACCAGAATAATCAGTGGTTTTCTATTGGTGCTGTTGTAATACAAAGACATGGCCTATTTGATTTGGTATGAGATAACTAATTGTTTGCCTGACATTTGGCTTTGACATTTTGTTGTCATGTCCTTTGGGGACACCACTTTATTCTGTCCGAAATATGAACCAGAAATATTAAATGTACATGTAGAGCACAGCATTAATATTTGTGGCTAACTCGTCTTCTTGCTTCAGAAGCAAAATTTATACACATATCCACTGTGGCACAGACGTCTAATTGATTTGTAAACTTCTGCTCATTCGAATCTGATTGAAATTATCTGACACACATCAATATTTGGCCAATTTTCATTCAAACCAGGGTTGGTTCAATTAACACAATGACTTGACTCTATAGGATAATCATTACTTATTAAATCCCAACCTATAGCTGCATGTGCCTTATAAATATGTAAAATAAAACTTAATACAGAATGCATCAAATATGACATGGGAATTTAATCAATTGAATTTGTTTTCAAAAAGTTGTGTCCTTTCTGCTATGTGGTACATGTACATTAGCTGGTCCAATATTCAATTTTAATTTAAAGGGCGTATGGCTCTATTCTTTGGAAACATAAATGGGTCATCCTCGGTTTCCACAGTGGTCTCATTCCGTTCAACTCCACTATACCCTGTGTTAACCCATAGGGTTCCCACGATTTCAAACTATATGCCCTGGCCAAATCTGATTGTAATACAGATCCTACTTCATTTCGTTTTCCATAGTTCAAAATTTTGTTTTACTTGTCCTTACTACACTAGGATTTGGAAGATTTGTTATATAACCCGCGTTTTGGTTGGAGTGAGGGATTAGCCAATGAAACAGTCTGTTACGGCGAGTTCTTGGCTTTTTGATGCTTGGAATTGTGGGTAAACCACTAAAAACGTCAACGCTGATTGATTAATCAATGTCTGAAGTCATAGGGTCAAAAGCCGCTCGTTTGACCCCTTACGTGAACTTCCACTATAACTTGCTAGATCTTCATGTAGTGTAGGCCATCGAAAGTTTACAAAAAACAAACGAAATATAGATCTGTATTTTAATCAGATTGGCCCTGGCCTTGACTGTAGCTTGTATCTATGAACCAATCCAAAAACAGTTTAAAAACCAGTCTTACTGATGAAACAGCCTTCCTTTCATTTCGCATTCGTTTTTAACAGGGCAGATAACCCTATTTGTGTCCATTTACTGAATGATTTATGTAAATAATATACATTTCTAATTAATTTCTATTTTATTGTATTATCAAAATCTGTAGTATGTTTCGCTGATTTCAAATATGTATTCTAACATGTACTGTATGTCTCACTTTTGTTATAATTATTACTATTCGTCTTTGTCTGAAATGTTTCATAAACTATTACCATTCTGTTATGTTTATTTTTATTGAACTTGATAATTTATTTAGTTACAGTATGAGTGCATTTTGCCTACCTACGTAGTTCTATTGCAGAAGGTACTTGTAAAGGTTTGAGTTTTGTTATTACAAAACTGCCTAATCAAGATGTCACTCTCAATAAAACTCTTGAACATACATGTCTGGTCTTCAATAACATAAATTTTGATGGTAATAAATACGCAGGAGAATTAGGCTATGTTCTGGCTAATTCCTAACCTTGTCTCTTGAAAGGGGAGCCTTTGCATTTTGCTTACTTTACCAGATGAAAGTTACTTCCCTTCGCCAACTGCCTTTCCTATAAAGGGTTCATGGGATTGGTCGATAAATATAGCACAATCATTGAATACGTGTAGACCCCATGGATTAACCCAGGTGTTACTGGAGTGGAATGGAATCAGACCACTGGGGACGGAGATGTAAATGGGTCTAAAAGCACATATTAATGTAATATGAATGTACGGTATGTATATAAAGTGATTTACATTCAATTCTTCAACAAAAGAAAATTTAATCTCTAATCATTTATGTTCAGTGAAATCCACGAAGAGGTCCTATAAACATACATTATGCAAGAGCTAAATCTGCCAATTGCACGTCTTTCTTTATGCCTGAAATGTTATCTAAATTATTAATTAGACATTAATTAACTTATCCAGACCATAATCAACTCTCGATGTCATCGCTAGCCTGCGATATTTTCTGGATTAGAATCCTACCTGCTGTTAAGGCGCTGGCTCGCTAGCCTAGAGTTCGCAAGTTCGATCCCTGCATTGGCCGAGTAAGTTCATTGGAATTTTCCGATGTGGTTTCTCCTTGTCAGAGGTGCAGGACGGAGGGCCTGACAAGGATAGCTGTCTAGTCATTCGGATGGTATGAAAAACCAAGTTCCACATGTAGGCCTACATCTATTACATCTACTGATCTAGAAAGCATTTTAGAAATGAGAAGTTATTTGTGCAAGCTATCTCCACAAAGGCTGTAGAGTTTGAACATGGCTGGTGTCACTGGAATAATAGTTACAGTTCTATTAGTTACTTTAGTAATAAAAATATGTGAGCCCTACCTGCTTTCTGGTCTCTCATATTTTCGTTACTAAAGTAACTATAATACAGTTCTATCTACGGCTACGGTTGACGATTTTATTTTTTTAAGGCCATTATTACTACTAGTACTAGACAAACGAGCATTGCATGGATTTGATATGGGCTAAAATAATTAATAATAATCGCTCATACTTACAAAATGTATTGTGTTACGAGTAAATACATTACAGTGTATCTTTTATATAATGGCATTATTCATGGGTGTAAGTGTAGCCATCTCGATCAATTAATAAATCATTGAATGCAATTAGTGCTGGCGCCAATCAATAACATCAATAACATATTGAATGTGGATAATCGAGACTACATCAATGATTCCACTATTAAAAACGTTAGTCTTTTTTCGATTTGTATGACTGAATTGCAATGTCGATTATTTTGCGAGTTCAATACTTTTAATTTAACCTATAACGCCCATATATATTTCAAATAAAAGTTTTGCTTATTTTAAAATAATATAACATCAAACCCTATTATAATAAATAAGCAAACCCAGAATACAATCAGAGTTATCCCCTACCGGTGCAGATCATATTTTATACCTATGTATAAACTGACCATTGCCGGTTCCTATCCATTCCGTTTGCCAATCACCGCAAGAAAGCGTGATAGGCACAACCAACGGATGTTTGTTTGTCCGTTTTTTCATGGTATTAGCTGTAAATTTATAAAAGATTTCTGTACGAATGTGACCACGATATGTTTTGCCAACCGGCAACTTTTCATCGAAGTGTTGCGATTGAATTTCTTTAATTTAGATCATCCAGACAGTCACGATACTTCTGTAAATGTTTCCTGTTTCTGTTTTGTTCTGTAAATCAAATCCTAGCTAAAACGTAGACTGCGCAAAATACAAGACTGTTGAGGCACACAATAAGCAGCCAACCAAGAAACATTTAATTTAGGTAATGTCATGATGAGTGTCAGTTACTGTCAGAGGTGCAATGATGGCAAAGGGCCGTTTGGCTGATGTTATCAAAACCAGGGGGCGGGGGGGGGGGGGTCTTTAAATTATTTGAAGAAAAATAGTGTGGGATGAGGCTACTACTGACCATGGAAGCGGACTTTAACCACTATTATAGCAGTATTAGAAATTGTATTGTTTAGATAATTACATAAGGATAAGGTCGCCATAAAATTAGAACAAATTATATCAGTCCCTCAGCTGGTGAAACATTTCAAAGTGCACCACTCTCTCATACTCATAGTCATAGGATGGAAACAACCGGGTCAGGCCAAGACAGTTACTATCATCTTCTATAGAAGATGTGATCTCGCTTTAACTCCAAACATCTAACTCAGGAACATGAGTTGCTATAGGCCCCAAGCCCTTTAATTCATGTATCAATGACAAAAATTTGTCCCACTTTGTGACTCACTTTCATTGATCACACATGTGTATATGTAGGCCTATTTAGTTGACACCCCAAATTCCAAACTCAGTATTAAATTTTTTGGCTACTCGCAACATATAATATTCAATAGTACTCAGTAGGCCATAGGAAAGAAAAAGATGTAATTATACAACCCATATCCTGCAGAAAGTTACATGTAAATGCACAAGGACATTTGCCCTTTCAGGGATGCATGTAGTGGCTAATTATTATGGACTAGGTTATAGAATGGTAAATATTTTTATATTTTATGTTTGCAGGGATGGTTAACCTTAAAGATATAAAAATGACTGAATTGTTAAAAACTGTGTGTCTTAAATATCAAAAAAGTGTCAGTGAAAACCCGAATGTTATTGGTCAGGTAGAGACAGGATTTCGACTTTTATCCTATATTGTTGCAGGACGTTTCCAAGATTCACAGATTATATCAGAACTGATGTATTCTGCTTCAAATCTGCTTGTACTTATGAACGATGCTATCCTTAAAGGGACTTCCAAGATAGAACAAATCTTACCTTTGTCTATTGAACGTTTAATGCGATATTTGACAATCATTGAGTATATTGAAGTATTTGTTGAAATAACAGCATTAAGAATGAGTGGAAGTATTGGTAGATGGGTTGTCATACTTGTTATACAAATAGCTAAAGCAGCATTTCGTTTAATTCTGTTAACTAGATATAAAGCTGGTATCCAACCCACACCACCTATTACACCTTTAAATCGAGAGTGGATTATAGCACAGTCGAGATCAGGCCACCAAAACACCACAACAGATGATACCGTCCCTAGTGACCAGTCTGTGCCCGAGACGACTTTCAAATTGACAAGGTCAGGCAGAACCATTCGTAAATTAGAAGCAACTCCAGCAATGCATTTACGCAAGTGGAATCTACCTGTAGAGAATAAATCCAGTAAAGAGAAGCATACAATTTTAACTCCCACAGTTCTTGACAGACAAAGAATATGGGCTGAAGGAATTCATATCATTAAACCTTTAATACACTTAGCCACTTTGTACAAATGTGGCCAAGCATCTTGGAAACCATGGTTACTGTCTTGTGGATTTGATATTTCCAGTCTATGTATGATGGGAGAGCCTTTTGATTTAAATTCTAATGAAAAAGGAGAATTGAGAAGAAGAACATTCATGCTTTTGTTTTATCTTCTTCGGTCACCATTTTTTGACAGGTATTCACAGGCAAAGATCATCTTCATGTTGAAGATATTAGCAGATAATATCCCAGGAATTTCATTACTGATCCGACCATTTATCGAATACCTTCCACAGTGGCAGAAGTGCTATTTCTATACTTGGTCATCATAAAAAATATATAATATTTTTTTTTATTTTATATTAATGAGACATTTCGTCTTTCAAAAATCAGATTAATATTTTAAATATGTCTAAAATCTTTGATTTACATGTAAAGTGAATTTTAATAAATTGGATAATAGATCAAGTGAGCTTATTTATTTGGGCCACGACTACAGCATTTTGTCCAATGATTTTATGAAGGAATATTAGATCCTAAAATATGCATGCCTTGTTCATGCTATAGCAGTGTTGGATTTAAAGTGGTTGTCCTTTCTGAACTAAAGTGTTTTCTCAAACGAATAATATGTGAGATGAAATAGGGATTAAGCTGAGTTTCCTAATACTGTTATATGTGCACGGCAATGTATACACAGGACCTCAGGTTTTTGTTCCATCCTAATGACTAAATACTGTTCATTGACACAGGCTCTCTGCCCTGCACCATTGGCAAGGAGAAACCATACTAAAAATATCTTGAGGAAATTTCTCAGCCAACACACGGATCAATCCCTAAAATTGGTTATCCACGGGTTGCCGTCCATGGGTTTTGTAGACTAGGGATTGCTGCCTTCTGGAAACGACCAGCCAGCCTCGGGATGGTAGTGTAGGACAATGACTCTGCATATCTTCTTGAATTGACGCAATGGTTCGTTTTCGGTGTTCTTGACTTCAAGTCACATTTTATATCCCACGTCTGTATCATAAATCGTATTATTTTCAACATTCCCATTCTATCGAATTCAGTTTTTGGTGTGAGGGAGAATCGATCTGTGCGTAGATCGTCAAATCCTATTCTCACGTGTCAACCTCCTTAACTGTTATTACATTCAGAAATGCTAGAATTAAACTATATCTGTATTATATAGAGAATCTCCTACCAGTATCAACACAAGTTGATAAAGTAACAAAAAACGAGGCTCTGCCGAGTTTTTTTTACTTTATCAACGAGTGTTGATATTTTTTGATATCAAAAAAGACGAGTAGGAGATTTTATTTATCACCCAATCCCTTCTTACATGCACAAATAGATAAAATATAATTCTTTGCTGTAGATTTCACTTTTACTGAACATTGCGGCGTAGTGATACATCATTTTTTGACAGCAATTCAACCATTGCAAAGTCCTTTATATTGACCCAGTGTTTCCATCAAGGTCAATTGAATAACAATAGTTCATTTTTAATAAAAAAAAGAGTTACTTTTAATAAGAAATGAACTGTTCTTTGAAAATAAAAAAAGTAGTTTCTTTTCAACTGACCAATCAAATCCTAAGGAGATATCGCAGTAGATTATGAAATATATCACACAGGCGATATCTACTGTAGAATGTATTATTGGGTGATAAATATTTTTAAAGGTGCTGCGTTTTCATTGCGTCTCCTCAGTATATCTGTTTGTATTTTCGATGGCTCCATGCCCCCACCCACCTACATACGAAAAGAAAATGAATGTGTAGGAATTTGTCTGGAATGTAATGTTGAAGATTCTTGAACTTTAATGTAATAGACAATTAAACCCACCTACTGTCTTTAAAACTCCAACCATGCAGTGGTGAAGCTGGAGACAATACAGGACTCAATGACACCCCCCCCCCTCCACACACACACACACACCCATACACACATCACACACACACCCATCACACACACACCGCCTTGCACATTCCCACGATGTCAATATTGACTTTTTGAGGCCCTTGAGTTTGTCACCGGGACTCTGACCGTCCATACCCGCATCGACCGGAAAACACAATAAAGATCGAGCAAAATTTAACCGTTCAACCAAAAGCAGTTGCATTTTTTGTGGAAAAATAAAATTGGGTATGGTGTCCTGTCCTTTTTTCTCAGAATGTAACACCGTAGACCGTACGTGCTTACCTACAGCAGTCTCTTTAAGGTCAACTAAAGACCTTCCGTTTCGTGGTGCACGAGCATTTGAAAGCGAGTCTTCGTCTGATGTAAACAGTGTTTTGTTGGTTAAAAATAATGAGAAGCTGACGGCCACAAAGTTTGTGGAGAAAATGGTATTTATATTATGATTATTTACGATTCCAATTACGTTAATGTTGGATTTGAATGATGTTACCCCTTTCGCGTATTATCCAGGTAAGTGCTTTCAACATAGCGCGTGGAAACACAGTTAGAACAAGTCAACGGCCTAACATGGTTAAACGGCTGAAAAAAATTTCGAAGGACCGAAATCTTTTGATTTAAACACCAAAAAATCACTAATGTAATAAGTGAAATGTATAAAGAATAAATTATAATTTACCTGGAAGGCGTAATTCTTGTTTACCACTCGCTTACAGTTTTGTCGATCACAAAAAACGTTTCTTACTGTCCTCCACATATGGATTTCAAAAGCTGTCCATCCTAACGCACATTCTATATAGTATCCAGTTGTAATATTTAAATCAGAAATTATTGGCAAGTAAATACAGAATTTATGGGGTTTTTTCAGGAATATTTGGGAAAGTATATTAGTGCAGCACTCGTGGTAATAGTGTTTGGTATTTGTGCCGTAAACTGTTGGGAAAGAGGAGTGACAGGTAGGTCTAACGATTTGGACACTGAGCTAAACCATAAAGGAATAAGGCCCTTTAATGCTAAACGCATCAGGCTTCTCTGCCGATTTTTATAGACCCCCCAACTATTTCGCCATTTAACAAGGAAGCCACCAAATCCATTATAATTTCAATGAATAAATGCCCGCGCCAATCTGAGTCAAAATAACTAATTCATCAACATTACAGTTTTAAATCTGATATTCCATTACGTCTTCATTAACCCGTTAAATCTCATTTCATTTCCAATGAAGACATAAAATGCCTCAGAATTCCAATATGCCCTCGTCGTATGTCAAAGAGCTCGTTATACTATAGGGTTTGCCTTTAATACCAAAATGTTCAATGGTCTTATGGAACAAAACGTCTTCATGAGCCGAGTCGGCGCTGAAAAGGACATTAAACCCCATTTCATTTCGCTTATAAAACAGTATGATGATTGTGCAGTTATTTCATCCCACAAGACATTATAAGGCCCATTCTATTGTTTTTCTCATTAGAGAATTTCCGGTTAACAGCCCACACTCTTAAGAACGAATTACAGAGGGCCCTGAAAATTATGGAATTTTTTTTACATTCAGTTCCCGTAAACCCATATTCAGATTGGATTTTAGGAATCGCCATAAATAAAATTTTGTAATTGCCCACAGTACCTATGGGACCTAATGCTGTCGGGTAGAATTCACCAGCCATTTGTAAAGGCAGTTTTGAAAATTTATCATTTTATCTTTAGATATTGCTTTAGGATATAATGTGACTTATTCTGACGTTGCCAGTGAGGGTTATTCAACAGTTGTATTGGATGGTTTAGAACTTATTAACAGTAATGTATCGGGGTTTCACATCACAATGGCAGAAGATGACTGTACTATAAGATTTGAAATATGGGATAAAATATCCAACTCTAACTACAGATTATGGAAATATAAGGAGTTTCGAGCTAACAAGGGTTACCATGAGGTAAAGTACACACAGTCTACCAACTCTTTAGAAGACCATCAGGTGTCACTTTTCATTAAGTTTAGGGAGATTTCAATTGGCATCCTTTTGGGTCCGAGAAAGAGAGAGAAATGTAATTCGGTCGTTCGCTCAACACAACCAGTTCATTTCGGTACCAACATACGGTACAATTTTATTTCGATTATTCGCTTGCGCGTAGGTCTTTGGCAATGAGGCGGACCCGGAGTAATCCTCGAGTTTGCACAGACAAAACTACTTTAATAGTGGCCTGTGATTTGAACTCAAAACCCCTTCAATTCGTTTTGTGTGATCAGTTCTGACCTTTTCGACATACACGCTGAATTCTTATTTATCTTTTCTTAAATTCGACCCACATCGCATTTCATCACTTTTCTCTGTCTTGTATCAACCAGGTGGAACTATTAGAGCAGGAGAAGTTTTCTGTAACAGCCAATCAAAAATTAGGATTCAGCAGTTTGAAAGCATCTTCGACATGTGTGGGCTATCTGTATGTTCGAGATAAAAGACGATCACAGACCATGTTTTATTCCTTCAAGACGAAACCTAGACCAGCAGTAGGACAAACTTATTACTTTGATCCTTATCAGACCACGTTCTTATTTCCAATAGGAATTATAGTCAAAAGTAATCACGCTTTTTATATTATTTTTAAAGTCACGATGGCTCTGTGAGTGCTGCACTGGAACATAAACCAAGAGCTCCTGGATTCTGTCCCGGTGTAATCCTTGGTATTTTCCAGCCCGATTTCCTCTTATCATTGGTGCGGGACGGAGGTCTTTCTAGTCGTTAGGATGGTACGAATAAACAGAGTTCCATGTATATCATTTGTGGCACGGTAAATTTCCACTAACGGATAGAAATTGAAATAGTGTATCAGTAAATCATGTTTAGGGATTCTTCCAGGGCGTGATGAAATCCAGTTTTATATTTAATGATTAATTATTCCTCAGGATAACCACTTTCGTGTATAAGACCAAAATAATAACTATAACGATTTTGATCTGTAAACATACAGGTAATCTAAATTAAACATTTAGGCTACCAAATTTGTAAACTGGTTCTTCGCGACTAACTTCGTTTAGCCGTTCCAATTACTATTGATGTGGCTTGAACCCTGAAACCTACTATAGTATTTATTTCAATTCTTAAGATCCTAATATAACCAGCACGACGACATCGACAACGACAACAACTACAACAACAAGACGACCGGATGCTACAATATCACCATATACACTCGGCAGTAAGTACACATGTATTATATACAATAGTTATTGAAAAAGATCACTATACGTGTAACTAGTTCATGGGGCCTGCAGGAGGTGTAGTGGTTTAGTGGTCAGACTTATTAATTCCTAACAAGGATTTTCCGGTTATATTCCCGGGGCGGACAGTGAAGAACCATCCGAACTTTTCAAGCCCGGCCTTGTAACTTGTCAGATGACGGCTAGAGGCTGACGTGGAAATGGTGTCTATTCATTCAGTTAGGACTAAAATATTAGTCCACTTGTGTACAAAATGGTGTGCACGTAATAGAACCCTTGGTACTCGAAACTAGACGAAGGGTAGGGGGGGGGGGCGCTATCCTCGCATAGCATATGGGTATCCATGGAAAATAAAGCTACTTTATATGTGTCTCAATGATCGATGTATTGTGTTGAGAAAACATTAAACCACATTCCATCACATTCACAGGGCCCACAAGAACATGTATATATTATTTGTTCGCTGAAATAAGGAATAAAACACCGGGTATGATTTGTGAGGGTCTAGAGTTCTTCATCCGCCAAATAAGCAGGGCCGTAGCTAGCCCAGAGCAACGAGGGTGGCGGGAAGTGATGTTAGGGGTGCTGTAAAATTGAAGGACGATGTATATCTATGGTTGACAATATTTTCACAAGAGGGGGGGGGGGTCTGAAAATAAGTGATTTACACGAACGTTGCTTGGGTGTTTAGTCTAGGTACGGAGGTTCTGCGAATCATTAAAATAAATACCCATGTTTGTTACAGCTGCTATTGATACTTAAGTCATAGACTATAGCTACACGTTTCCAAATTTCAGGATTTATTGGTTATAACTACACAACAGATTTGATGAGCAATACAGGTCCAGCTGCCATTGTTCACCATGGACTGAAGCTTGAAGACGGAACCGTTATTGGTTTTAGATTCCGAAATGCACAATTAAATTGTCGGATCAGACTACAGATATGGAGAAAAGTAGAAGTGACAGAAAAATATTATAATTATACATTAATTTATGAAAAGATTTATACAGGAGAACGAACTGGTCTCATACACGTAAGTTATATTTATAGCATGGCTCTCATGAGTTAACAGGTTTAAACATCGATGCCGTAGGCCGAGATGTTAAACCTGTTAACGAATGAAGCGTGCTATAAATGACTTGTAACATTGACACCTGCTCAACATGCTTTTGCTATTGCACAGAAAACCCACCCCACTTCTCTGTATGATTTCTACTAAAACAAGTGTTACCAGCTAAAGAGTGCAATATCATTGAACATGTCTAGTTATTGCACGGTTAAGCTCCACCCAATCTACTAGAGGAAAACAATCTGCTTATTCAACGAAAAGAACAAAGGAAGATTTCCCGTCCATGTTACAAGTCTTTTTATAACTTTGAAACCCTAATAGACCATACAATACAGGTGTCAATAAAAGAGATCAGTGATCTTCGAGTCTTCACATTGTCATAGTATGCTGAACATAGTTTAAATGTACATCGTTTATATATATTATTTATATAAATCATTATATCTCCATCCTTACTATTGTAGCTACGGTTACAACCAAGTGATTACTTCAAAATAAGAGCATCTGATAGTCTTGGATTTACTACGGAAAACCAGAATTATAGTTGTGTACCGTATTATTATGTTCAAGATGTGCTTCGATCACAAAGCATTAAAAAGGTATATCCCAACAGAAACTATGCTCGTCTGTTTGACACTGTCAGCTTTCCACCATTTCAAACGACCATGTTATTTGCTATTGAAGTAGAATTACTAGGTATGTAAGAGTTTTCCTTCAGATGATTTCCTAATTAAATCTGCTACCCAATTAACCAATTCCTTAAAGTTTGAGACAATGTTAGTGTCAAGTCGTATCTTCTTTTCTCAATTAGTGCTGACGGTATCTATGAACGTACATTTGTTTTAAAAAGGCGGTTTTCAGTGCACATCACACAACACAAACCCATAAAATTCAACCAAACAGACAATTTTTATCTTTACCAAAAGCAAAGATTGCCCATGTCCTGTATGATAAGTAAGAAATCGTGTAACAAGAACATGAATTTAGTCGGTGGATCAAATTGCTGTAAGAATGTACATGTGTAGGTGTTAAGTAACCAACCTTGAGTATCTATTAATTAGCGTGGATTAAGCCGTGAGGAATTTGTTTTCTAATAAACTGTAAATCACACACACTGCTGCTTATAACATTTGATAAGAATCTTTAATATTACAGTATTGTCACAAACTGGTGAAACTGGACCTCGTGGTTTTCAAGGAATTGCTGGAGAGTTTGGAGCTAGAGGAAGTAGGGGTGATGTAGGTTTACGGGGTGAAAAGGGGACGCAGGGAGATTTGGTAAGCTATCTATATGTTGAAACTGTTCAGCTATAAAAACACCGTCTTGTCATTCTAGATTTATGAAGAATCCTGCGCTTTATTATACAACAAACACACTTATTTATGTTTTATCATACCGATGATGCTGAAATTACGTTTTGTTTTAGCTTAATGACATGTGTATCATGTGTGGATGTTTTGATTTTAGGGAGACCGTGGTGAAAATGGAGATGGTGGCGATAAAGGTCCACAGGGAAATACTGGCCCGGTTGGTCCAGCGGGACCCAGAGGATCCGATGGAACGATCGGACAGGAAGGGGCGCGTGGGAACACAGGCCCAATCGGAGATCGTGGATTGATAGGGGATAGGGGCATTGTTGGAGATCGTGGAGATTATGGAGAAAAGGGTCCCCCAGGAGAAACTGGAATTACGGGTTTAACTGGTGACGCACAGAGGGGAACACCAGGGGAAACTGGCATAGTTGGACCAATCGGATCAACAGGATTGCAAGGCTTGAGTGGTGAAATTGGTTCAGATGGAGGGGATGGTGGACCAGGACCTGTTGGTGTTGATGGTGTGTATGGACCCAAGGGACCCATGTGGTCACCATTAAGTAAGTAGTGTTTGCTAAGCATCAATCGTTACATGATACGAATTATCGAAACAAACTACTGGTATATCATTAAAATTGTACAGTCGCCCCATTTGGTTTTTGATCACCCAGTGCTACCTTAGCAATCATTCTTTTAAGGTGTTAATCGCTTGGTACTATATACAAGAAATAAAACAATGATCAGAATGAGGCTGAGATAATGTCTAGCTTTTAATGTAATATGTCTTGTAAAAGAAATTTTGTTTTTCTAGCGGTGGATTTTTGCTCTAAGTCAGGATTGAAATGTGAACATCACTGTTTAGATACTCCCCTTGGTGCTAAATGTGGCTGTAAACCTGGTTATTTGGTGTCAGAAGATACGAGATGTTTAGGTAAGAAAAGCTTCTTTAAATCTAGAAACAAAGAGCTTTGTTCATAGTCCACAATCTTTAATTGTTTAACATCACCTCGGTGCTGTTTATACAGTGTATTAAGTAGATAGACGTAAGCAAAACTATGTTTGCATCTATTTCTTGGAAGCCGTGGGTTGATGATGGTTGTAGATGGATGTACGTGCCTGATTTATCCCTGGTGATATTTTTCTAGCCAAAAATTGATTTGGGGTGGGTAAGCATTGACGTGTCTTTATTCCCAAAGCATTTCCGATTTTCGGAAGTATATAGTTCGTTTCAATTCAAGACTGTACTGCTGCAGAGAAATCATAGCAAACCACGCGAGACGACGATTTGAAACATAAACCATCAGGTAGTGGACATGAGAACCGTTCCTAGAGAACGTATATTCCTATAATTTAGCCTCCCATAGAAAGTAGTATAACAATGACCAATAAACTGATAATGCTTGTAAACAGGGCTTCAAGAATATGATATGAGTCCTGTATATTACTTTTTTCTACAGAAATCAACGAATGTCATATAGAAAATGGTAACTGTCAATATGATTGTGTTAATACACCTGGAAGTTATCATTGTGACTGTCCCCTAGGATTGAGACTCTCTAATGATAGTCATAAATGTGATGGTATGTAATTTCTGCAAAAAAAGGAAGGGGGTATTAAGTTGGATTTGTCTCCACTGTTGATATTTCCTAACCATTGGCTCAATATCAAATCTACGTACTAACAGGAATATATAGTGAAGTATATAGTTTGTTTTTATACGCCCACATTTTCATGTGGACGTATATTGTCGTCGCCCCTGTCCGTCCGTCCACAATTTGTTTGTGGACTCTCTACAGGTCACAATTCTTGTCCGATTTTGACGAAACTTGAAATATAGCTTTATCCCAAAAATTTCTCGGCTGCTTTCGATATTGGCATGTATCGGATCGAAACTTCATGGATTATGGCCCCTGTCTGTACAAAAAATCACGTTTTTAGCTTGTGGACCCTATAGAGGTCACAATTTTTATCCGATTTTGTTGAAACTTGAAATGTAAGTTTATAACCCAAAGATCTCAGTTCCTTTCGATATTCGCGCATATCGGACTGTAACTAGCTTGTGGACCCTATAGAAGTCATAATTTTTATCCGATTTAAAAAACCGTATTATTATTATATCACCGTTACACCCTAACGACGACTGGGTTCGAATTTCGTGAAAATCGGCCCAAAATTGACAGACAAAATGGCCGCTGTTCGTTCTCAAATAGCGTAAAAATATGGTATATCAAGGTTGTGGACCCTATAGAGGTCACAATTTTTATCCGATTTTGTTGAAACTTGAAATGTAAGTTTATAACCCAAAGATCTCGATTCCTTTCGATATTCGCGCATATCGGACTGTAACTTCCTAAATTATGGCCCATGATTGTACGAAAAATCGCGTTTTTAGCTTGTGGACCCTGTAGAGTCATAATTTTTATCCGATTTAAAAACCCGTATTATTATATCACCGTTTCACCCTAAGGACGACTGAGTTCGAATTTCGTGAAAATCGGCCCAAAATTGACAGACAAAATGACTGCCGTTCGTTCTCAAATAGCGTAAGAATATGGTATATCAAGGTTGTGGACCCAATAGAGGTCACAATTTTTGTCCGATTTTGATGAAACTTGAAATGTAAGTTTATAACCCAAAGATCTCGGTTCTTTTCGATATTCGCGCATATCGTACCGTAACTTCCAGAATTATGGCCCATGATTATACGAAAAATCGCGTTTTTAGCTTGTGGACCCTATAGAGGTCATAATTTTTATCCGATTTTAAAAAAACGTATTATTATATCACCGTTACACCCTAAAAACAACTGAGGTCGAATTTCAAGAAAATTGTCCCAAAATTGACAGACAAAATTCCCGCCGTTCGTAAAATAGCGTAAAAATATGATATATCAAGGTTGTGGACCCTATAGAGGTCACAATTTTTATCCGATTTTGTTGAAACTTGAAATGTAATTTTATAACCCAAAAATCTCGGTTCCTTTCGATATTCGCGCATATCGGACCTTAACTTCCTGAATTATGGTCCCTGATTGTACGAAAAATCGCGTTTTTAGCTTGTGGACCCTATATAGGTCATAATTTTTATCAGATTTAAAAAAACGTATTATTATGCCACCATTACACCCTAAGGACGACAGAGTTCGAATTTCGTGAAAATTGGCCCAAAATTGACAAACAAAATGGCCGCCGTTCGTTCTCAAATAGCGTAAAAATATGGTATATCAAGGTTGTGGACCCTATAGAGGTCACAATTTTGATCCGATTTTGATGAAACTTGAAATACATATTTATAACCCAAAGATCTTGGTTCCTTTCGATATTCGCACATATTGGATCATAATGTCCTGAATTATGGCCCTTGATTGTACGAAAAAATCACTTCTTTTTTTGAGCTTGTTCTCTGTCCATCTCTTGCAAAATGTGGGCGTATCTTGCATGGCAACCGCTTGTTTTAATTTCGACACAATGGCACCCAAACACTATTTAACAATTATCTTAAAGTATCGAAATTCCGAATTTATTTTACGGACCTTTATGCAAGTTCTCAATTTGAGCTGTTAAACTTGTGATTCTTCATTGCACTATGAAGAACCCTTTCGACTCTCAAAATTATTTTTGGATAGTAAATATAGAACGCGTTTTGACTGAAACAGAGTTCGTTTGTTTTTCTTTTATATTAATTTGGCGTGCGGGATATGTTTACAATGATTGCAGAGTTTGCACAGAAATCTTCCCTGTCTATGCTTTTAGATTATTATAATATTTTCCTACTTTTTTTTCACGTGGTTCCCCCTTGTCAGTGACTGAGGGCCTGATCAAGACAGCTGTCTAGTCGTTCGGATGGGAAGAAAAACCGAGGTCCCGTGTACACATTGGCGTGCACGTAAAAGATCCCTTGGCAGTTGGAATTCGATATAAGAGTAGGCCGTAGTGCCGCTGTCCGGGCAAAATTTCCCTCATAGCACACTGAATGGCGCATGCCCGTCTTTATTAGCCGAGTTCGGAGCAGAACAGTAGGACGTTAAACTCCATTTCATTTCATTTCCTACTTTTTTTTCAGATTATGATGAATGTTCTGGTGGTAAAACATCCTGTAAAGTTAGTCAATTGTGTATCAATTTATGGAATGGTTATTATTGTGCTGGACCGTTTGAGAAAACATCAAGTACTTCGACAGGTGGTTCTGCCTGTAAGTAAGTTACCCATAACGAGCACAGCATCCTCTAAAAGAACCTTAACTTAAAAGGGGCATACTAGCTTGGATTTTAATGTTTTCTATTTGACCTAAATTTGCCCAGTAGTTCTCACTGCTCATTTCGAAATTAATTTGTGATGTGTGGACGTTGAATCATGGTCCTTTAAATATCTCGTGTCTCGGACTTGTAACGTTCTCACAGATTTATACCATTTCATTTCTCTCAAGACTTTAATCTTACTATGGTTTGAGAAGAATCTTTGGGACATTTCATTCCTGTCTGCATGTAAAGTGGGTCCAGTCGTTTAGGATGTAAGAAAAACCATTCACATATTTAATGCCACCACCCATCCCATTTTTTCGGAATTCTGTATACGCAACTGAGAAAAACCGAGGCATATCGGTGAAAGCAATAGTATACAAGTTAAAGAACATGGACTACCCAATGTATGGGTCGAATACTGAAAATCACTATTCAGTACAAAATTAAGTTCTCGCATTACATAACTAGTAAGTAAAAGAAACGTATGTTATTGGTATAAAAAGCTATTCCAAATCTATTGATTTATTCCGTGTATATATTTTTCAGCTGCTCAGACGGGAGGTGATAATGTCAACTTAGTCACCAGAGCAGTTGTGATTGGGTTGTTACTGTGGTTAATTATTATAACTATTTTAACTATCATGGCCCTTATATTAATGATACCAGAATGTCGTGAATGCTGTGCTGGTAAACCAAATTATCCACCACCGGCGGCTTCGAGAAGGCCACAGTTCTATTATCCCGCCTTTTTCCCACGTGTTAGTTTGGACAGGCGTCCCAGTGCCGACAGAATGGATATCTTAGAAGCTAGACAGTCGCGAAGTGAACAACATTTGGACAGACATGACAATGATGGAATAATTAATGAAGCACATATTCACGATGCTAACCCAAGAAGTGAATTCTAATAAAGTAAATATACCATTTTTGTTGTTCACGTTTATTGGAGATGATGGTTGACTGGCGGGAACAGAATTACACACTCGTGTAAGGTTTGATTCGGTTCCTTGGCTTTTATAGTGTTGCTTTTTTCAAAGGGAACCTATTTTAGAACAGCAAAGTGTCGATTTATCAAGATGCCTCACTTTTTTTATACGACAACATTGAAAGGCGGTCGTATATTGTTGTCACCTCCGTCTGAGCTGGCTATGTGGGAACTCTGGAATGGAATGAGTTTTACAGTCTTGATAACACAAAATTTTTGTATTATTTAGACTAATGGTGTTTTACCGTCGTTATCTTTTGGCTCCTTATTTATCTTTTCTCTCCTTATTTATCCCTTCTTCTTATTTATCTTTTCTATGGAAAAGATTCGTTGCTGAACAGTTTTGTCTAGAAAATGTGGACATTCTGATATGAATGTGGATGAACAGGATATCTGTGCACTGTTTAAAGAACGGGTTGCTGGAAGGCGATGATTTATCTAAAATGTACGAAAAAGGACTTAAAAAGCTAATACATTTAGAATGTAGTAAACTGAGAAAGGATGACACGGTGAATGAGTTTTTGTGTGGATTGGCTATAGTAGAAAAGGGAGCCACGGTGGCTAGTTGGTTAAGACGCTGGCTCGCTAGCCTGGAGGTCGGGTGTTCGATCCCTGCACTGGCCGAGAAAGTGCATCCAGATTTTCCGACGTGGTTTCCCCTTGTCAGTGGTGCAGAACAGAGGGCCTGACAAGGACAGCTGTCTAGTCCTTCGGATGAGACGAGGTCCCGTGTATATATTAGAATGCACGTAAAAGATCCCCTGGCAGTTGGAATTCGATATAAGAGTAGGCGATGGTGCCGCTGCCCGGGCAAAATTTCCTTCATAGCACACTGTATGGCGTATGCCCGTCTTCATTAGCCCAGTATAGGGGCAGAACAGTAGGACGTTAAACCCCATTTCATTTCATTTATAGTAGAAAACCCGGTTAAAACGTGTGTCCATAGTGCTTGTAGAAATGAAATGAATGGGGTTTAACGTCATACTGTTAGTGTTCTGCTCCTAAACTGGGCTAATGAAGACGGGCCCGGGCAGCGGCGCTACGGCCTACTCTTATATTGAATTCCAACTGCCAAGGGATCTTTTACGTGCACGACAATGTGTATACGGGACCTCGGATTTCGCCCCATCCGAACGACTAGACAGCTGTCCTTGCCAGGCCCTCCGTCCTGCATCACTGTAGGAAAGATTATACGAACCCCAATGCTATTAAAAGGGGCCAAGATTGAGGATGATTTAGCATCTGTCGCAGTCGAGTACAGGTGACGGCAGGTTTAAAAAAGTTCAATTTGTCCCATGATATTATTTAGTTAACAACTATTTTCCGATCATAACGACCCTAAGGCATTGTAATAGTATCAAGTGATTCCCAATAATATTGAGTGTTAATAATGTTCCTTTAAGCGCATTTATTTCTCTGCACAATTAAGATAAGTTTTTAAAAAAAAACCACATCATCTTGATTTTCTGTTCGTGTATATTTATATCAAAATATTATGGTTTTGATAAGAAAAAAAGAGTTATCGTAATGCAAACCAGCCGCAGGGTACATTTTAATCTCTTATCTGATGAAACTTCAGTTATGTTTAGTAGTACTTAATATTTTACATTATTATGGTTTTAAAATATTGAAAAGCAGAGAAGCTACGGAAGGCTGCACTTCGGCTTATAACACATCCAAGTTGATTGTTGGTCTCCGCCTGCATGGTAAACTGGATTCTGTTCAAGTGATCTAAATAGATTGATTTTGAACTTGTATTCATCCGCTTTTCAGCGATTTCTCTGGTAACGTAAGTCATCAGATTATTGGTGCATGGAGAACTTAAAAGTTTATCAAATATTGTTTCTAACGTGTTGTTGACCTTCATCAGTTTTTATACGCCCGCATTTTCATGTGGACGTAGATTGTCCTCGCCCCACAATTGTTTGTGGACACTCGATAGGTCACAATTTCTATCTGATTTCAACGAAACTTGAAATATAGGTTTATCTCCCTAAGATCTCGGTTCCTTTCGATATTGGCATGGCCCCTGATTGTATGAAAAATCGCGTTTTTAGCTTGTTGACCCTATAGAGGACACAATTTTTATCCGATTTTGTTGAAACTTGGGGGGGTTGGATGGCTGAATGGTTAGCGTGCGCGCGCTGTATCAAAAAGTCTGTCATTAAGTCGACTGGCGTGGTTTCGAATCCCCGGTTGTACGTGGCAAGGAGAAGGGTCGCCTGTCCAACCTCGTGGGTTTTCTCCGGGTCCTCCGGTTTCCTCCCACTGCTTAAGACCCCTACGCGCAAGCGAATTATGTAAATAAAATTAAACCATATGTTAGTCCCGAAATGACCTAGTTTGTGTCGAGTGGACGTTAAACCCCATTTCTCTCTCTCTCTGTCTTGTTGAAACTTGAAATGTAAGTTTATAACCCAAAGATCTCGGGTCCTTTCGATATTCGCGCACATCAGACCGTAACTTCCTGAATTATGGTTGTACGAAAAATCGCGTATTTAGCTTGTGGACCCTATAGAAGTCATAATTTTTATCTGATTTAAAAAACCGTTTTAATATATCACCGTTACACCCTAAAGATGGTTGAGTTCAAATTTCGTGAAAATTGGCCCAAAACTGACAGATAAAATGGCCGCCCAGCGTTCTCAAATAGCGTAAAAAATATGGTATACCAAGGTTGTGAACTCTTTAGAGATCACAATTTTCTTCTGATTTTGATGAAACTTGAAATGTAAGTTTGTAACCCAAAGATCTCGGATCCTGTCGATAATTGCGCATATCGGACCGTAAATTCCTGAATTATGGCCCCAGATTGTACGAAAAATCGCGTTTTTAGCTTGTGGACCCTATAGCGGTCAGGGGGGTTGGATGGCTTAGTGGTTAGCACGTGCGCGCTGTATCATTAAGTCTGTCATTGAGTCAACTGGCGTGGTTTCGAATCCCCGGTTGTACGTGACAAGGAGTAGGGTCGCCTATCCAACCTCGTGGGTTTTCTCCGGGTCCTCCGGTTTCCTCCCACTGCTAAAGACCCCTACGCGCAAGCGAATTAAGGAAATAAAATTGAACCATATGTTAGTCCCGAAATGACCTAGTTTGTGTCGAGTGGACGTTAAACCCCATCTCTCTCTCTCTCTATAGCGGTCATAATTTTTATCCGATTTATCCGTTTGATATCACCGTACATAATAAGGATGGTTGAGGTCGAATTTCGTAAAAATCGGACCAAAACTGACAGACAAAATGGCCGCCCCTCGTACTCAAATAGCGTAAAAATATGGTATATCAATGTTGTGGACCCTCTAAGGGTCACAATTTTCTTCTGATTTTGATGAAACTTGAAATGTAAGTTTATAACCCAAAGATCCTGGTTCCTTTCGATATTCGCACATATCGGACAGTAACTTTCTGAATTATGGCCCCTGATTGTACGAAAAATCTCGATTTTAGCTTGAGCCCATAGAGGTCATAATTTTTATCCGATTTAAAAAAAAACGTATTATTATATCACCGTTAGACCCCAAGGACGACTGAGTTCGAATTTCGTGAAAATCGGCCCAAAACTGACAGACAAAATGGCCGCCGTTCGTTCTCAAATAGCGTAAAAATATGGTTTATCAAGGTTGTGGACCCTATAGAGGTCACAATTTTAATCATATTTTGATGAAACTTGAAATGTAAGTTTATATCCCACAGATCTCGGTTCCTTTCGATATTCACGCATATCGGACCGTAACTTCCTGAATTATGGCCCCTAATTGTACGAAAAATCCCGTTTTTAACTTGTGGGCCCTATAGAGGTCATAATTTTTATCCGATTTAAAAAACCATATAATTATATCACCGTTACACCCTAAGGACGACTGAGTTCGAATTTCGTGAAAATTGGCTTAAAATTGACAGACAAAATGGCCGCCGTTCGTTCTCAACTAGCGTAAACATATGGTATATCAAGATTGTGGACCCTATAGAGGTCACAATTTTTATCCGATTTTGTTGAAACTTGAAATGTAAGTTTGTAACCCAAAGATCTCAGTTACCTTCGATAATCGCACATATCGGACCGTAACTTCCTGAATTATGGCCCCTGAGTGTACGAAAAATCTTTCTTTTTAGCTTGTTCTCTATCCATCTCTCGAAAATGTGGGCGTATCCTGCCTGGCAGCCGCTGGTTATCCGATTCTGATGAAACTTAAAACATATCTTTATATCCCAAAGATCTCAGTCCCTTTTAATATTTGCGCATTTCAGACCATAACTTTCTGGATTATTGCCCCTGATTTTACAAAAAATCCCGTTTGTTTTTAGCTTGTTCTCTATCCATCTCTTGAAAAATGTGGGCGTATCCTGCATGGCAGTCGCTGGTTATATGCCCACATGGAAATGTGATCGTATACTGCCGCTGCCCCATTCCGTCCGCCCGTCCATTATACAGCTAGAATATCTTATGAACGTTCTACAGACTACATCAGTGCCATCTTACGGACGCTGTAAAGGCTAAATGATCATTAGATTGTCGTTAAAGTCATACACTGGGTTAATGTTCACGAGACGAAGAGGCGTATTTCCGAATATTACTATCGGAGTTACGGCTCTCTCTTGATTACAAAGAAAATCCCGTGGGTACATCTGATTATACACATCGTTTTTGTTTGCGAAAAATCCTGTTAACTTTCAACGATTTCTGATAACTCCAAGTAAGACGCAACCCAAAAAGAGACTAAAATTTGGAAAATTAAAATGTAATTATTATTTTAAGAAAATAAAATTCAGCTGGTCAGTTTTACATATAAAAAATAAAATGCATCCATATCAAGTTATACAAGCCGTAACAAGCTTCGCTCAACCTGCAAATTTTGCACTACTGGATTGTCACTATATTAAGAAGTTACAAAATCTCAGAAGGTGCAATTTGATTATCAAAAAGTATATTTGTGTTTATCAAAATCAAAATTCAAAGAGTAAATGTAATTTTCTGGCTCCACTCGGCTGTCTTTCTTTTTTTTTTTTCTTTCTTTTTTTTTTTTTTTTTTTACATCCTTCGTCGGATTTAAAATACAGATGTGACGTCATCCTTTGATGTTGGCGTACCATTATTTCAAAAAATGGTACGGGCAATGTTCCAAGCCTACTAGTTGCATATTGGACACGTGTGATGTATTTCATTGAAATGCACGTGCTGGATAGTGTCTGTATTTTAAGTTGTTTAATGGTCTGGTGCAAGACATTGCGTAATATATAGATATTACCCTCGTGCTATCGCACTGGTACAATATCAATATATTACTTAATGTTTCGCACTGAACCATTAGTGTGGCACTACGGGGTAGATGTGACTTTCCCGGTCACGGACTCCAAATAAGAGATAGGCTGTGACAGTATCGTCTATGACTTTGTTCGACTTCACGTTGTGGGATCAATTATTTCAGTCATCAATTTTTATATAACAAATACAGCAAACTACAAAGTTATGATAGTACTTTTCGAGTTATTAAATTATCCACGGTTTAATATCCTTCCTAACTCAGATCTAACGGCCTAAACGTGACAAGAGCCACATACTTCTGGCTAGTTCTACATAAGGTTCGCGCTAGGATGATGTGTTCACCCTAGCCTCTAAGCCGAGGAGGCTATGGGTATGTTCCCCTGAGCTCTGAATGATGATCTTCCCTACGGTCTCGTCATGATATCTGAAGGTAAATCAAACCATATCTCTCCTATATAGATATTATAATGCGACATCTATTAGGGCGGGACAATTACCATTTGTGGGTAATTGTTTCGTATAGGCACCGTTTTACGTCAACACTATTCTAGTTAATTGTACTAATCTGTGCACGAGATAACTGGACTATAGTACCCTACTTCCAGCAAAGGATACTGGCATAACTGTCGGCGAGTTAGTCTAAGATAGTAGTAGAATAATGCAAGCTACTTCATTACCCTAGTTTTCGTCACACATCATGTAGGTAAAGAATTTCTATATTAAACAGAACACCTTTCTTATAACTAAAATAAACCCTACAGTGAGAGGCGTAGCCGTGAAATCTATATTTAGGTGTGGGGGGGGGGGCGCAAATGAAATTATATAAACTGTTGACAATCTGTGACGCCGGAGGCACGAGGCTGCGCAGTAGCCGATGTAGCGCGATAGGGAGAGTGTGGGAGGGTCGCCCTTCCACTGGGGGGGGGGGGGCACCCCCATAAATTTTTTTAAAGTTTCAGTCTTCTGTAAACACAGTTTTGGCAATATTTTACGGGGTTAAACTAAAACATCACACCAATACAATGTTTATCATGTTTAAGTCGGGGGGTGCCGTATTCATATTTTTTTCATGACCTTTACATATTGAATGTTACGCTTGAGTTATGAACAACACGACAAAGAGAGTTTAGTAGGGGGATTTTTATGAGGAGGATCCAATTGAAACAAAACTTGATCACATAACTTTAGTTTATGAGGATGCATATTTGACAATCACCTTGTTAACTACAATACTATATACATATACACATTGACATTTACAAGAAAGTTGTATAGATATTTAAAGTAATTTGTACATTTTGTGTATTATAAATGGATTTCAAAAAGTAAACACGTGGGTCTCCATCTCCATGGTAAACTGGGTTCTGCTAGCTTATCTGTTTAGGTGATCTAAAGAGATATTTTCAGATTGATTTGGAATTTACAGTGATCATGTTCATCAGACTAAACTGCCTGTTGATTTTCAACGATTTCTCGGATAACGTACGTTATCAGATTATGTTTCTAATGTGCTGTTGCCCGTCATCAGATTGTATACGCCCACATGGAAATGTGATGGTATATTGCCGTTTCCCCAGTCCAGCCGTCCATTATTCGTCCACAATTTCTTCTAAACTTTCTACAGACTACACTTTCCATCTTGTGGACGCTCTAGAGGCTAAAGTGGTCATTCGATTGACTTGGAACTCGTACACTGGGCTAATGTTCATGAGACGAAAGAGCGTTTCTCCGAACAATATTATTGGGGTTATGGCCCTTGATCACAAAGAGAAATCTCGTGGACGCTTTAAAAACAAGGTTTCCATATGATACACTAACACAACGTATTTTTCACGAAAAATCCTGATGACTTTCTACGCTTTATGATATCCCCAAGTAAGTACACAATCTCAAAAAAGAATAAATTTGGAAGATTAAAAGGGAATTATTATTTTACGAAAATAAATATTCGACTCGCTCTGTTGGCCAGTTATACATATAAGAAATAAAATGCATCCACATCGAGCTCCACTCGACTGCCTTTCTTTACTAACATCCATTCGTCGGATATATTAGTCTTAATATAATGTAACAGATTTCCCTATTTAATTGACTTAAAAAAGTTTTAAAATTACCATTCCTCAGTTCGACAATACTTTAGTTTGTATCGAATTTTATGACAGCTTTAAGTTTAATAATTACGTGAAGATTGCTTTATTTGGGTCAAACAAACGCAATTATACAAATTCAGTGTATCGTGATCTATACAAACACTGGCAGTAATTATATAGCTTGACTTAGTAAACATCCCATATTTAAACTAAGAACATCACGATTTGTGAAATGGTGTGTTGAATAAATGTAGGATCAGACATCGTTATAAGGCAATGTTATTATAGATTGACAGAAATGTAATCGCTAAATCTAATCAGACACCGATGCCAATTAAGTCCTTAAACCTCACCTGGGAACCCCTTCTTTTGGGTGAGGAAAGTTCTACCAGGGAGTCTGTTTAATACGTATGATTCAGAAATATGTCTTAGAATTAAGATAGTAAAATTACATTTAGTAATGTTCACTAGTATTTGGCACCTAAATTGTAAATGACCGAAAGAACTTTGACGATTAATCGGTCAAATTATAACAGGTAAAAAATATAACAAAATAGCTGAGATTAATAATTGGGGTGCATAAACGGCATCTTTTACATAAATATATTTAATAATAGCAGGTATAGCCATGAACCGGAAGTAGCATAACCCCGGAAGCGATAGGTCATGCAACGCCACCAGGCCTATGTTACTGCCCGTTACGAGCTACCCCTGTACACTAAATTTCAGCCATGGTACAGCCCTACTGTATCCACCAACCCACGACAGACAGACAGAAATGAAACGAGATGAAATGAAATAGGGTTTAACGTCCTACTATTCTGCCCTGACTGGGCTAATGAAGACTGGTATGACGTATACACCACAGTGTGTAATAAGGGGAATTTTGCATAGACAGTGACTCTTTTACGTGCACATCGGTTTCTCGTTCCATCCGAACAACTAGACAGCTGTCCTTGTCAGGCCCTCCGTCCTGCACCACTGGCAAACGGAAACCACGTCGGACAATCACGATTAATTTTCTCGACCATCACCTGGAGCGAACCCACGAACTCCAACAGACAGACAGACAGACAGACAAACGACAGTCACCACTAATAGTATATAGAAGATAGATAATAATGGCCTTGTTGATTAATCTGTAAAATGCGCCTTTAAGCTATTAACACGTTCAGTCAACCGTGATTATGTTTTCAGCCTCCCCTTTTCTTTTATTAAACTCCTTTACAATATAACCCAGTTAGTTAGTAAACAGTTGTAGTGATGACTCACACACTGAGTTGGCCACATTAATATACGACATACGTACTTCGTATTATACGGGATTTACCTACCATCTCGACAATATAAGTATATAGACTTAAGCACATTTTGGAGTGGACATTTTACCGCTTTCCTAGTATTTTTATATGTATGACCTCGACTGAACCCAGAAGGGGAAGATTATCGTCACAACAACGCAGTGTAGATTCGAGTGGATTGTTGATATTTTCAGTAAATGTAAAGTTTTCCAAAAATGTAAGTAGCTACAATAATACATTATAATGAGTTTGATATATAGTATTATGTGAGGGTAATGGCAAATATATATTCTATGTCCATCGTTTCAACACTTATTTCAGAAATAAGTAATGAATGTTACATTGCTAAAACATAATAGCGGTGGTGGTATACAGGATGACGACAATATAATATATCAATAAATCTACAGTATTACATTTAAATTTGGGACAGAGTGAGCGGTTCTGTCAATCTTGGTTGTAAAATTCTATGTACATGCAATAGTTATAATGCCAAAGACGGTAGATGGAGACTAAATACACGTATGTACTCTAATCACGATGTATATAGACTATTGGTGATTAAAACAATAATATTATAAGTTGCACACTATCCATTCGCTTGAATTGTATCAGCGTTTAAAATAAACAGGTACGTGGTTTGGAAGACGGCTAAATTGAAAATATGAAAATTGAAGACTCTAAAATAAATGTTCGGCCAATGTATACGTCATTTCAACACCAGTTAATAATTGAAGACTCTAAAATAAATGTTCGGCCAATGTATACGTCATTTCAACACCAGTTAATAATTCTAAAGTTTATCATGTATTAGACAGGAGACTAATAATAGGGCAGATCCGGCTACTTATTAAATAGAGCAGAATAAAGGGGTGCTTGAATAACAAGAGAAACTATAGCATATTTTATAGGTTTTAAATTGCCCATCCTAGAAAATATAATAACGAACTTGTAAATCCTAGAAGTCTACGGGCGATATTTTAGTAAACCCGTGCGTGAGACTTACGCGTCACTTGCGTGTGTTCAAAACCGTAGAAGATCGCAGACCGGCCGTAACTGTGCCTGTACTGTTTACAAAACTTTTATCCGGTTTCTTGCGGCCGGTCTGCGAGCCACCAAACCCAACGGCCCATGCGTGTCCAAAACACGTAGGCCCTACGGCAGGATGTGAGCTTGGCTTAATTTAATAACTGTTCACGATTGAGTGACCTGTTTTGTACGCAGACAGTTATTATACTTATCCTTTTATCCATAGGTTCCGTTTGAATGAACATTTAATAAAATGTAACATAAAATACATTCCCTTTGGTATCTTTTATTTTTGTTTCCCAACTATTATTTGATACTAATTTTATGAATGTCACGGATTAAAATATACATGTATAAACAAAATTAAAATATGTATTTACATTTACAGGAATATGTTGGAGAAAGGCATATGTATAGTGATACTATTAACATTTATTATCTCGATACATTCAGTACATGGGCGAAACTTACATCGATATAAAAGACAAAATTTTAACTTTTCCATGAACACACCTAAACCGTCAAATAATTCACAAAATTTCAACGTTTCCATGAACACCCCAGAAATGACAAATAATGCATCCTGCGAAGATAAATGTATGGCTTCGTCTGATTTCTGTAAAAATGGCGGAACGTGTTCATTCAATCCAAACCTGTGCTCCATAATTTGTAGTTGTTCAGATGAATTCACTGGAAGTACATGTGAGACACGGAAGCAGAATAACCCAGATTTCAGCAATAAAGCATGGGCTTGTTCCTTCACAAGGTGTATTAATGGAGGAAAGAAGGTGGATACTGATACTGAATGTTACTGCAATTGTACGGACGAGTATACCGGCGGAAGTTGTGAGACAAAAAAAGCTGATATTGCAACGTTGGGTGTCAACGCTACAACTGGTACCACAACTACACTCCGACCAGAATCCGAGAGAATTTGTGATGGATTTGAGTGTTTTCATGGCAGATGTAATGTTGATGAAGGGAAATACACGTGTGACTGTGATAAAGGGTACATTGGAAATTACTGCACCGAAAAGTGTTTAAAAGACTGTGTACATGGCGGCTGTGGTACTAATGGCACCCACGAGAAATGTGACTGTTACTATAAATGGACTGGAGATTTGTGTGATGAAAGAATCCCAGAAGGTAAGTGTTCAACATTCACTTGATAGTTCTCTTACAGCTTGTATCGTTGTCCAGGTGTTGTACTATAGATAGTTGTTATGTATTACACATCCCTTCGGCACATACCAGCAAGTATGGAAAAATATAATAAATACCCTTAAACGTTAAACCCGATTCCCATATTTACCTTTTCCATGGCATTGCCTTCTCTCAGCAAACACATAATATGAAAGCTGTATAAAAACCATTATGATTATTTAATAAAATATATTTCATATTATTTCATAATTAATCTATATTTCGGAGAAGGCACATCTTTTTCAATGACTGCGATATAATAATGATTTCGAGCATACTCTCTCCAAAGTTTAGAAAACTTACTTACACCATATATTATACTTTTATTTTTTTCTTAATTTTATTTTCAGTATCTAATGCTTGGGTATGGTATACTGTTGGTGGATGTGTAGGCGCTGTCCTCGTTTTGTTTTTGGTGTTTATCGTTCTAATATACTGGATGTGGAAGAGAAGAGAAATTATAGCCATGAAGATCGTCCATTTCTTCCAACCAGTGGAAGACTCGGGTAATGCTAGCTTTACAATGGTTTTGATTGACTGATTTATATTAAATCTTTGAATTTTTTATTGTAATATCTAGTCAATTATGTTCGGTGAAATACGCTTGAACAGTCAAAATTGAACTTCAGTCATTTATGTCTGCTTAATCCATTCTACATGTTTTTTTTTTAAATTATTATTATTGTGTCGTTTGTAAATCAGCCATTACATATTGTCATGTAGGATAAGTTTTTCTTTGTGCATTACAATTGGTGACCGAAACCATAGAATACACGACTCATGTACTGATTTCAAAATGTTCATTATGCCTTAAATATTGGATATTAGGATCCCATAACAACATCAATATAAATTGAAATGGACTAATATTGAATTTTAATTCGTGTTTATAATATCGAAATATATGGAAAAATTACAGGTTTAGCTCATTTAATCGTTAACTTCATTTAAAACGTCCTTTACTTTGCAGATGGGATGTTGTTTGATGCCTTTATCTCCTACAAATCACATCCAGACGACGAAGAATTTGTTCTAAAAACGTTATTTCCAAAACTTGAAAAAGAAATGAATTTTAAACTTTGTCTCCATTTCCGAGATTTTGTAGTTGGGGAGAGTGAGTATAGTATATTTATTCATAATTTCCTCGTCAATTCAAATCCTATTATTATTCTTATTTCATTCTTGTTTTGTCTTTATTCAACTCTGTATTCTACACAAGCGGGATGTCGCTATGTCAAACTCAATTCCCTCTATACAATCACTGACTGGTGGAATGCCAGGTTGGTGAGTTTTGTGACTATTGGATTCTTGTGTAATCCCCAGTAGTTCTTATGAAGCGCAATTCTGTCAGGGCCCTGTTGTTTTAAATGTTTTAATCACGTTTCGTTTTGTTAGTCGAGATATTTTAAAACTACGGTTGAGAGCAACCAATTGAAATCGCGAGTCTCAAATATGTTACTTTATTATTATTATCCCCAGTGGATGGAGGAGTAACATTGTTATTGAATTTATATATATTTCCTTTTCAGCCATAGCCAACAATATTCTATGGGCAGTTCAAAATAGTAGACGTACGGTGCTGGTTATTTCTCCAAATTACTTAGACAGTGAATTCGCGCGTTTTGAGTATCAGACGGCACAGGTTGAAACATTGAGACTACGACAGAGGATCATCCCTATTATGTACAAGGATGTTCAGAGCAAAACAGACAAAATGGACAGAACACTAAAAAATATTTTGGAAACAATAACCTATATAAAATGGTCCCCAGAAACTAACGAGAAAGAAAACGGTAAATTTTGGAAACGCTTAGTCCTATCACTCCCAAAACGAAGTGATGTGGAAGGAAGTTCTAAAAGCTCTAAATCGCCCGTCGTCTCTGTGATATCGACCAACAACGAGTCCAGTCAATCATCCGATTCAAGCGTTCAATTCCCCTCGTACAAAAAAATGGATAAGCTGGAATCTGAGTGGACTAATCTAAACGGTATATCCAAAATCAGCGCATAAACAGCTTCTTTGTATTTCTCAAACTTGTTTGTATATGGGAACAAAAGATAGAAATCCCCACTTGCATTCAATGGTTTACAGTGTATATGTAACAGTCCGAAAATCTGCTGGAATCTGCTAACACTACAACCATCTTTCCATAGTTTAAAAAAACGGTCCTACAGCGTTGCAAAATATGCACACTATACCCTATCTAAGTAGACCACACCACCATAAGTCTTCAGACTGACGATGTAGTATTATAGTTATATTTAAAATACAGATGTGACGTCATCCTTTGATGTTGGCGTAGCATTATTTCAAATAACTGTACGGACAATGTGTCAAGCGTACATTATTTATACTAGTTGAAATAATGGACCCACGTGACGTATTTGACTGTAATGCACGTGCTGGATAGTGTCTGTAAGTTGTTTATTTTAACTGCACATGACATAAATCCATAACCTAATTGGTGCAATGATCACTATTTCAAAAATCTTGTCTTTTGTCATTGTGTTGATATAGACTTAAAGCACAATTCATTCAAACGCAATGGTGGACCATACACTGCCTAAATACCGCCTAACAAAACTGTTGATTTTTAAAGAACATTACATAACAATATACATGTATATAACTGCAGCTAAGGTAACTCTCCAAACCTTTTTTGGGTATACTCTTTATTATAACGAGATTAATTTGTATATAATTATTTTCACATCATGTTATCTATATAATTTTGTTATGTTTGTAAATAAATTGTTATCGTTGATAGTTTTTTTTCTAATTATTTTACTGAAAATATTATCTTAAACGGGTATCTTTTTGAGTTGATGAAGGTTGTCTATTTGATGAAATTTCATATTACAGTAAGTCCAGTTACAGGAGACCAAGAACTACTATGCAGGCTATACAACTTGTTCTATCGCTATTCGGGAGGGCGGGGTGTCTAATGGCTTAACGCGCGCGCTTTATATCATAAGGTCTATCAAGAGGCAAAGTTTCATACTACAGTAAGTCCAGTTACAGGAGACCGAGAACTACTTTGCAAGCTATACAACTTGTTCTATCGCTATTCGAAATAACCCGTCAGATAAAATAAAAGTTTCATTAATAATCTAAAATTGCTCAAAATAACAGAAAACTTTTCTTAGGGGCGTCCCTCCAGGAACCAATCATTGCCGAAGTTCATCTTTGCATGCTTGTTTCTATCTGATGACAGACGCGTGTGCGAAGGATGGGCCCCCGCCCGGTCACTTTCCTGATGCGGGAGGGCGGGGGTGTCTAATGGCTTAACGCACGCGCTTTATATCATAAGGTCTATCAAGAGGCAAAGTTTCGATCCCACACTTGTACGTGACAAGGAGTAGGATCGCATATCGTTTTATCTAGCCCCTTCGTTTGCTCCCACAGCTCAAGATCCCTGCGTGCAAGCGTACTATCGTTTTTTCGTTCCCTACCTCCAAACTTCCGTCCTGTCTGGACATCATATTTAATGACCATCAAGCCGCGTTAGTAATACGTCGTGTTGTGAAGGCTTGATGAGAATGCACAATTTACTACGGTTCGCCTGGGTTTCCTTTGTCTAGAACTTAGAAGTCACTGGAAAAGTACCCTCTCTTATAAACCAACAGACATTGTTACTCGCGGTGGAAATTTCAAGAGTGGTCAGCGCATTTCTTACATATAAGCGTTTGATACCTAATCCTTTAAAGTACCTGACTTTAAAATGCATATCAAAAGAAACATTACTTCATTAGTAAGTAATATAAAGTGTGGAATATAATGTTCAGCTAACCCAAATTCAAAACTATTTCGAATTTCCTGATACATTTTTAAAGCTTTTCATCTATAAATAAAGGGTATTTACTGCCGCCATCTTCCTGTTATTTTTCATTAGCCCGGTCGGGGCAGAACAGTAGGGCGTTAAACCCCATTTGATTTACCTTTATTTTATTTTGGGTACTTTGCATTTATTCAATACCCGGGATGACGGAACATTATACAAATTATTATATAAAACCCAGAGACTGTCAAACGCTCTAACTTCAATGATCTCAAAGCTATGGTTGTGGTTTTCACCCTCTGATATTTACTATTACATCCACCAGGATACTAATTAGTTTGCAAAGATTATCATTATTCTTTTTTTTAAAATCTTTTTCGGAAAAAGTACATATTATTATTTTTCACTAAACTCTATACCATATAAAAGTAATAAAATCAATGGCTCAAAGAATAAAACTTTAAAACTGTCTACATAAAGTGACGTAATAGACAAATATCTTTGTCTACCGTTACCGTTTTTTCACAAAAAAAACCTGGGTGGGTCTGTGCATTATTACATCAAAATAGGGCAAAGCTCTGAAATCAGGTCAAATCTAACTTGATCTCAAACGATTAAGTAGGTCATGTGGTGCTTATTTTAAAAGTTTTATCCAAATTGGTTTGTAAACGAATGTTCCGTGCACCGTTTATAAAACCTTCCAATTTTTTCCCGGTTCAAATGTTGCTCATTATAACTTAGCGAGTTTAAAAATGGAAAATTTTCCCGGTTCAAATGTTTTTCGTTATAACTTAGCGACCCTTTTCTTTAAGATTCTTTAGGGGAACAGAGGTGGCTCAGTGATTAAGTCGCTGGCTCACTAATCAGGCAGCCCATTTTCGGGGATTATTCCGTGGTAAGGACAGAAGGTTGTCAAGGATAGTGTTTACTAGTTAGGATTGGGCGAAAAAGAACGGTCCTGGGTAAACGTTAATGTGCACGTAAAAGAAACCTTGTCAGATGGAATTTGAAATACGAGTATAGCCGTAGCACAACTGTCCGAGAACAATTTCCCTCATTGCACAATGTATAGCGTATAAACATCGTCATTAACCCAGTCGGTGCAAAAAAAAAAAAAAAATAGAACGTTTAACAAGATTTTTCATTAAGATTCTTGACAAAATCCAACATATCTTTGGAATGTTTCTTTTTGTTTACTTGATTTGAAATTTGTTGTTTATCACTTGCATTGTCTGTGTAGTTTGTGTCTTTTCCGCGGGTCTGTCTTTTCGGTTTTGTTTGTGTAGTGTGGTTCCCCTGCACTTACTATTACTACTTGGCAGATTTAAAGAATTATTTTTCTTTAATGTCCTTGACACAAGCAGGCCAATTATATACACATTACTCTTCTAAATATTGTAAATAACGTATAAAATGCAATTGTGTTGTATAAAACTATAAAAGTTAGGACACCTTTAGTTATATCTATTTTCGTGTCACGATTTCCTTTAGTATTATCATGTTAATATGAACTCGCCTGCTGAACTTTTATACTGGTCCCTGAAATCATCATACAAATAGCATTAACACTCCGCGGTTACATCCGTTCTTATTTTTTATTTTGTAGTGTTCTGTTCATATTTGCATGTGAATAGTGATTGTTGTTATGACAGAAATAGAATATACAAAATCTTTCATGATTCGCTTGGTTAACTTTTTACTATAATTGGATGATATGAGAGATATATTTATCCAATGAAATTGAAGGATATTAGAGTGGTGATATCCGGGACCCGAGGCCATGTCATTGTGACAAAATTTGTAATATTAATCGAATCTATAAGATGACCGAAAACGTTTATTTATTCCCTTAAGTGCATAATTGTCACATCGTCATGCACCAACTGAGCTAATGAAGATGGGCACGCACCATCCAATATGCTATTGGCAACACAGGCACTTGAAGGGATTAAAATAAAACTTCTTACTACTGCTTGACTAGTATTACTAATAACACAAGTTGAATCACCAACGATATTGTTTTGAATCGTTGAAGATGTTTCGTCTGCAATCGTCTCACAATACTCACTACTTCTAACACGTCCCGTCATTTTTTATTGCCAACGAGACTTTTTTTGATCATTATACACCTTCCAATGTAACTAAATTGGTCATTTTACAGCGTTATTAATCACAAATCAAACTTGAAGCGTGATCACTTGGCTATACGAAACTAGTTCATCGACATGTTAATTCCTGCATCTAATTCTGCGTATGAAAAATGTAAAACTGATTAGAACCGCATAACAAAATAGTACACCAATTTTTCAACATGGTGGCCATTCAGGGCAGATATTCCATTATCAAAGCAGTTAGCTCTATGTGTGCAGAACGATCGATCCAGGGGCCTCCTGGTCTTAGTGATTCCCCTGGGAGTAGAGAGAGAGAGAGAGGGGGGGATTCCGGGACTAACATTATGTTTCAAATCTATCTCAATAATTCGCATGCACGTAGGGTTCTTTAACAGTGGGAAGAAACAGGAGTACCAGGAGAAAATCCACGAGGTTTGACAGGCGACCTTACACCTTGTCACGTCCAAGCAGGGAACCGAAACCAGACCACTTGACTCAATGACAGACCTTACGATCTAACGCACACGCGTTAAACCATTCGCATCGTGAATGTAAAGGGTTCTTTGGTGGTGGCTGAGGAACTGGGCTCACAACTTATGACAAAGACCGGAAGTTCCGTGTACTAATCAGTAGTGCGTCTGGAACACTCTGTTTGATTGACATCCAAAAATCGGGTCTGATCGCACGGATAAGTCGAAAACCGAGGATCCGTGCCTAAATCTAATCTATCGAAAGATCTGTTGGCAGTAGATATGTGGTTTGGACACTAGAGTGGCACCAATGGGTCACACAGGAAAACTGTGTCTAGTTGTCCGGATTGTCCCTAAAATCTAGACGTGTTCAAATTGGTGGTGGGAGCCGCCGTTACTCGCTTACCTGGAGATCCCGTATTCGATCCTGGTGTCGACCGAAAAGTTCATCGGATATTCCGGCGTGTTGTCAGTGTTGTAGGGCGGAGGGTCTGGCAAGGTACAACGTATAGTGTCTCGGCAGGGACGTAACACCGGGGCACTGTGTATCGAGCAAAACTTACCTCACAGTCCAGTCTTCAATAGTCCAGCCGGATCAGAACAGCAGGACGTTAAACCCCATTCCATTTCAAATTGTTAGTAGCGTAAACGTAGCGTTCATTTTGTAGTTAGAACTAGCATTCAATATTTTTCCGGGTTAGAATACCGATTGGGCTAAGAAGACTCTGGATTGATCAAGCCTTGTTCAAACTTACCAGTGGTGACGAAACCGACTGGTCCTAGAAGACGCTGGATCAGAGGTGGATGAAGGTTCTGATGAGCCCTAGGCAGCTCGACCAGCTGGGCCCTTTGTGGAACTGGTTTGCCGTAGGAAAACTAAGACCGCTGTAAAGAAACGAAATTTCGGAGGATATATTGATGGAATAATGTCAAGCTCTACAACTTAGTCAAACATTACCATGTCAGTCGGCCAGTGACGATCAATAGATGCTCAGAGGAACACAGCAACAACCAATTGCTGGATAAAATGAAAACAAACTTAATTTCCAAGCTGTCATCATCACTTTCAGAAATCACTCCCATCTATTCGGTCGGCGACTCATTATTCTCGATGATATCATTCGTGTTTTCATCGACTGAGCAGTGCTGGCCGCCGAAAAACATCGTGATTTTGGGTGTAGTTTTGGCCGCTTTTTTCAACATTTCAGCTTCATGTTTTTTTCCGTTCTCTCTTCTCCCATCTACACCTTTGCCTTTGGGGCATATCAACGGCGAACCGACGTACGTTGAAATGACGCGACCTTCATGTAATGAAGGAAAGCCAAATTTCAAGAGAAAATCGCAAAAACTTTTTTAAGATGACAGCGAAACCGGTTACCAGGCTAAGGCAAGGCGAGCGAGTGACGAGTCTCCCAGTTGGAATGATCGATCACACTAATGCTTATCTCGAGCGCTTCATATGGTGTCAAAGACCGTGTTGGCCTTCTTCCCTCATAGTGAACGGCCGACACAACCGAGTGAGGTTCGTTGGAAGCGTAGTCCAGTGAATTAAATAATGTAAAACATCAAATTTAAAAAGGTCGTCAAAAATTTTATGGGCCCTATTTTTTCTTGGGCCCTAGGCAGCTGCCTACACTGCCTATGGGGTAATCCGCCTCTGCGCTGGATTCAGCAACCTTGTTTAAACGTTTCAGTAGTGGCGAAGATAAGGAAAATGTGTCTCGTTACTCGAAAAGTACAGTTTCAGTTCGAAGAAGACAAAGCGGAAACATATTGTATTGCAATATCAGAGGGTAACTAATTTTGTTACTGCATAAAAGATAGATATTTTAATAGAATGAATGTAAGGGTTGTTAATTATCTTATGTGATATTATCCTTAATTCTACCCATGTTTTAATGTAAATTAATACTTGGCATTTACAGAATAAATGGCATTTTCAATGTCGATATGTTTTCTTCATTCTATCTAGTCTAGGCAAGGAGACAAAATAAGATTAGCACGAATTCATGTGTTGAAGACGTCGTGGAAGAGAGGAAAATTCGACATTTTCTCAAGATGTGGGTCCACCACCACCCCTGACAAGCTATAATTTCAGTCTCCTAAACACAAATCAACAACAAAGTTTTTTCTGCACTAATTTGTACACGGGATCTCGGGTTTTCGCCGTACCCAATGACAAGACAAAGACTGTCCTAGCCAGCCCCACAGACGTCACACCGATAAGCTGGAACAGGATATGGCATGAGTCCCAAATGTTCTTCAAACGCGGAAAATTCGTATTGCCACTCCAATGCACTAATTACACAACTACCGTTATCACTACAAGTTGTTTAGCAATACCCTAAGTACACAATCACCGACAAGGGATCGTTTACGTGCACGTTATATATGAAGGGCTTATTTCTACATTATTGCGGACGGCTGGGCTTATCTGATAAAAAAACAGAACGCTAAATACGCATTTGAATGAAATCTTGCTACATAATGTAGGTGAAGTTTTGTTGCAGTTCTCGATCAAATGTGAGCCGTGTTCAATCAACCGAATTATTTTTGCAACCCGTTATTTTATTATTTTTTTTTTTGCTTTCATTCTCCAGTATATAATACAACCAAGTTGTAAATAGCTGTAGTGGGGACCCGACTTTCGAGATAGCCACGCTATTTGTATTACCAACGATACGTGATTTGTGCCGTAATATATACTTAAAGAATATAAAGTGAATCATAGATATTTTCTATACTAATTACTATTTCAGAAAAATGTAAGTAAACGAATAATTACAGTATATATTTGGCAATTCAGAAGGCGTTGTTATTGTTGTAATCTGAATTATGTTAACCAATTTCCCAGATAGGTAACGATCAAGTAAACTACACCGCATATGTCTCTCAATTGACTGTCAAGCACTTTAAACATCTTACGCCAAGATTTGTAATCTACTTCTCCGAGGTCACTCTGAAATGAAATTAAGGACATAAGGCCATGTAGTAGTGCGACATGAGGAAAATCTTTTCCGGACAGCTGAGTTTCTGCCTTTCTGACTGAAAAGGGTTCTTTTATATGCACACCGAACGACTAGGCGCTGCTACTCATCAAACCCTATGCCCAGCAGAACTGACGTGAACTTTCTCTGCTAACACCGGGATGGAACCCGGGACCTTCTGGTTAGTGAGCCAGAGCCTTGCATACGGGGTTCAGCCTGGTTTCAATGATATATTTTATTATACTGCACCGTTATTCAGTTGATGCCACACATAAGATATAGAAATATAATAGATTTAGAGAAGCTTCATAATAAAGTTGATTCAATATGGCAAGATTAATGCGATTTTAATGTTAGTTATGAAAGAATATCCAATGTTTTATTTTTGACCGAATTGTTCAAATTAGTGAATGCTTTAACAGTAAAGGTCATTATTTTACGTTTTCCCTTACCAGACCATCATCCTGCAAGACTTACAATGAGAAACCACTCGAAAATCCCAGTTAACTTTGTCGACCAAAATTAAATGTATTTACATTTACAGGAATATGTTGGAGAAAGGCATATGTATAGTGATACTATTAACATGTATTATCTCGATACATTCAGTACATGGCCGAAATTTACATCGATATAAAAGACAAAATTTCAGCAATAAAGCATGGGCTTGTTCCTTCGTAACGTGTATTAATGGAGGAAAGAAGGTGGATACTGATACTCAATGTTACTGTAATTGTACGGATGAGTATACCGGAGAAAGTTGTGCGATAAAAATAGCTGACATCACAACGTTGGGCGTCAACGCTACAACTGGTACCACAACTACACTGAGACCAGAATCTGAGAGAATTTGTGATGGATTTGAGTGTAAACATGGCAGATGCAATGTTGATGAAGGTCGTTACACGTGTGACTGTGATAAAGGGTACATTGGATCTCGCTGCCACAAAAAATGTCTAAAAGACTGTGTACATGGCGGCTGTAGCACTAATGGCATCGATGAGACATGTTTCTGTGAATATACATGGACAGGAGATTTTTGTGATGAAAAAATCCCAGAAGGTAAGTGTTCTGCATTCACTTGGTAGTTTTCATATGGCTTACAGTGTCCGTGATTTATGACTGTCCATGAGCACCGGAAAAAAAAAATAAATATGTTGTGTTGAGTAAACGTGTATCCCGATTCCCGCATTTGTTTTATATAATTATTAACCCTCAGTAAATATAGAATATGGGGAGGGGCAAGTAGTGCCTTCACAAAAAAGTTTTAGCTTTTAAAATAAAATCTTGTATTTCATTGTTTTCCATGACTGTGATTGATTTATAATGATTTCAAAATATATTGTAAGATATATTTATTATACTATCAATCTTTTTTTAAATTTTATTTTCAGTGTCTTAAAACCCATTTTATTTTATTTCGTTATTTTCAGTGTCTAATGCTTGGGTATGGTATACTGTTGGTGGATGTGTGGGCGCTGTCCTCGTTTTGTTTGTGGTGTTTATCGTTCTAATATACTGGATGTGGAAGAGAAGAGAAATTATAGCCATGAAGATCGTCCATTTCTTTCAACCAATGGAAGACTCGGGTAAACTTTGGTTATATTAATTTTGTTTCTGGATATGTCTGCTACAAATTCTCGTTTTTTTTTTTTGGAAAGCTCATACAGCTAACAGTTTTTAATGTGTCAACCTTTATACGCCTGTTTCAGTTAACGCATTCACATAACCAATTTATGTTGCACTTTTATACGTTAAAGGAGCATTATGGGGGAGTTGACTGTTCTCGCTATAATTGTTAAAACAAATAGATAACGTAAATAGAATATGCTGAAAATTTCAGTCAAATTGCTTCACTCTGAACAGAGATATTAGCTTTTGAATTTTAGGCTAGCCTCGATCATCAACACTAACGTTGGTACGATAAAAAAAACAAAGTCTCGATTATCCATTTAATTATTTTTAAAAAAATGTATTCCAATCCGCTAAATATCGCAGGCTAGCGATGATATCGTAAGTTGAATATGATCTGGATAAGTTAATTATGTCTAATTAATAGTTTAGATAATCAGTTATAGCTCAGCAACTTAAAGGGTTTATTGTACTAAAAGCACATATTTTAATATTAATGTAATATGAATGTATATAAAGTGATTTATATTCAATTTTTAAATTCTTATTGTGATTTATAATAAGTTATGTCAGGTGAATTGTCCAAATTGAACGGCAGTCGTTTCAGCTTGCTTAGTCCATTCTACGCGGGTTTTTTGTTTTAAATAATTATTTTGTCGTTTTTGAACCACCCATTATTAATAATTACCTTCGCATTGCCTTGTAGGATATTTTTTCCTTTGTCCAGTGAAAATTGCACCCGAAACCACAGTGTACACGACTCGCGTACAGATTTTAAAATGTTCATTATGTCTTGAATATTGGATATTAGGATCCTGTGTTTTCACGGCAAGATTACAATATTAATATTGATAGAAATGGGCCCATATTGAATTCTAATTCTTTTTTTTTTAATTTCGAATATTATTGAAAATATTGAGTTGCGGGTTTGGCTCCTTTAAAAGTTAAACCATTTACATTTTTAACTTCCATTACTTTACAGATGGGATGTTGTTTGATGCCTTTATCTCCTACAAATCACATCCAGACGACGAAGAATTTGTTCTAAAAACATTATTACCAAAACTTGAAAAAGAAATGAAATTTAAACTTTGTCTTCATTTCCGAGATTTTGTAGTTGGTGAGAGTGAGTATAGTATATTTATTCATAATTTCTTCGTCATCTGCTACTTTTCTTAGCTCATTATAAGTGTCTTCATTCAGCTTTGTGTTCTACTCTGCTGTATTGTATCAAAACAGGGATTAAAAAATATCAAAGTATTCCCAATCCAATCATTGACCGGTTAGTCAATTTTAGATCTATTTGGTTATTCTGTAATTTTCAATAGCCTTTAAAAAACAGTAATTCAATATGCAGTTCATTAATATGTTGGCAATTAAATGATACCCACCCTGTACAATCTTTTCTGGCGCTTCTTTGTAGAATGAGGACTTGACAATTCACAGATTATCTATTTATTTCTTATCTTCAGCCATAGCCAACAATATTCTATGGGCAGTTCAAAATAGCAGACGCACGGTGCTGGTTATTTCTCCAAATTACCTAGGCAGTGAATTCGCGCGTTTTGAGTATCAGACGGCACAGGTTGAAACATTGAGATTACGTCAGAGGATCATACCCATTATGTTCCAGGATGTTCAGAGCAAAACAGACGAAATGGACAGAACACTAAAGAATATTCTAGAAACAATAACCTATATAAAATGGTCCCCAGAAACTAACGAGAAAGAAAACAGCAAATTTTGGAAACGGTTAGTCCTATCACTCCCAAAACGAAGTGATATGGAAGGAAGTTCTAAAAACGCTAAAACGCCCATCGTCTCTGTAATATCGACCAAGAATGATCCATACTATTCAAGCGTTCAACTCCCCTCGCACAAAAAAATGGATACGCTGGAAGCGGAATGGACCAATAAAATCGGAATGTTCGACGTCAACGCATAAGCTTCACCTTCATATTTACCAACCCATTTGACGTTTGCCTTGTTTTAGTTGGCGCTCAAGATTAGCATTACGTATAGTATTACTTGTATACTCTTGTATTTTTTCTTTCTTATTGGCTTAAATTTTAAAATGTACTTGCGATTGAGGTCAACATTACGTATAGTATTACTTGTATACTCTTGTATTTTTTCTTTCTTATTCGCTTAAATTTTAAATTGTACTTGCGATTGAGGTCAACAAGTACACGCTCACGCCTTATCTTTTCCAACAGAAGATATGAAAGGATGGATGTGAATGATGCGACAGATCAAAATGAAATAAAATGGGGTTATCGTCCTACTACTACTGGGCTAATAAAGACGGGCATACGCCATGCCGTATGCTATGAGGGAAATTTTGCCCAGACAGTGGTGCTACGGCCTATTCTTATTTCGAATTCCAACTGTCAGGGGTTCTTTTACGTGCACGCCAATGTGTACACGGGACCTCTTTTTTTCGTCGAACCTGAACTACTGTATGTTGTTCCCTACCAGGCTCTCTGTTATACACCACTGAAAGGGCCACACCGGAAAAACCCGATGGGCTTTCTCGGCCAATGCTTGGATCGAACACGGGACCTTCAGGTTAGCAAGCTAACGTCCAAATCGCTGAGCCACAGTGCCCCGTCCCGCCCCGCGACAGATAAAAGGAAACAGCAAGTCCATCCAAAAGTTTATTGGTTACACTACTTCATATAATTTCCATTTTTATTTCCCAATCTAGATCCATCCATGAAATGCATAAAAGAAGGTTACGATAAATCTGAAAGCCCATTTTGACGCTGTGCTATTTGTTGTAAAATAAGATTAATATGTATATTCTATTTCTGCATCTGGTTATGTATATATTTTTTTTATGTTCGTAAATACATTTTAGCGAGAAGTTTTTCTATTTTTGTTGGAGGCGTCATCTTAAAAGGACATCTCTTTAAATGGGCCGTTCGAGAAAAATTTTGTAAATCAAACAGGTCAGTTCTGTGCGGATGCCCTGAGAGCCACGGTGATTCGAAAAGTAAAGCACTAGAACACTAACCAGGGGGTCGGGTTTCGATCACGCAAAAGAACCTAGATTGTTGAAATTCGAAAAAAAGATTAGGTCGTGGTGCCACTGTCCGGGCACAATTTCACCCTTAGGACACTGTATGGCATACGCCCTTCTTCATCAGGCGAGTCAGTGCAAAAAAGTAAGACGTGTGTGGAAGACCGTTATTTTTGGCAGAAATGCAATCTTCCAGTTACAATATGATACCCCAACAAGTAGACATGTCTACTTAATTTCTTGTGGCAAATCTTTGGTACTTGTTTAAATTCAAATCTTAGAGTTCATAGAAGCAGAATAAAAAAAAGGCGATTTTTTATACTGTTAATTAGACCTGGATCCGCCACTGGCTGGCTTAATCAAGAAAGATACCCATGTATGCAGTGTGTCATGTGGGAAATTTTGAATTGACAGCAACTGCGCTTTGCCTTAACCGTATTTCGATTGCCAATTGTCAGAGTATTTTCAAGGTACTGCTAATGGTTTATGCATGAAATCTGACAGGGATCACCTGGTTTGTGAGTCGGCAACATGACTCGCCGAGCTACCGGGGCTCTGGTAAATACCAGCGAGCTTTCTCGGCCCAGGTGTTGACTCAGTGTGTAAGGCGATGTCTAACTAAACATGATGGTTGGTCATATATACTCTAGCTTGACAGAATTACGAATTTAATTTGCTTGCCTACCCTACATTGCATCAAAAAAATATGCGGAATATTTTGTCACGGGATTTTTTGTTGGGGGTGGGGGGAGGGAGGGGTGGAGAGAGAGGGAGAGGGAATTGGGGTTTAACGTACACTCGACACAAACTAGGTCATTTCGGGACTAAAATATTTCGATAATTCGCTTCCGCGTAGGGGTTCTTTAGCAGTGGCACGACCCGGAGAAAACCCACGAGGTTGGACAGGCGATTCTACTTTGTCACGTACAACCGGGGAATCGAAAACACGCAAGTTGACTCAATGACAGACCCTGGTCAAACCGAAAGATATAATCCCTTGCCGACAATGCTGGCGAAGAGAAAAAAGCGGGGAATTAAATTCATAATATAACCGTTCAGGTTATAGTAGTTATATGTTATAATTTAAATCTTGAATATTTAAGATAATGCATTATTAATTTTAAAAGTCAAAGACTCCATATTAAATTTATTTAAACTCTCGGGACAGAAATTATTCTATTTCTTTAAATCATTAATTGTATGTGTGCTATTAAAAGGTGACTAGCAAATGATAAAATGTTATGCTGATGACATGTTAATTTACTATAATCCTATTTTTATATAAAACTTTTATAGACAGAAAGTAACTGCTAATATAGCCGGTCTCGTGAACATGCCAATCGTATGAATAATCTATTAATAGTTTTATTTTCCATTGTTTTATTTCTTATATTATACATTATTACATTAATGCTTTTTTATGTCAACACTTGATCTAGCCAAGTGATTAGAAGTAATTCCAAATAAATATGTGATTGTAGTTGATACGTTAGTCTTTTAGGTCTATCCGACTTAGTAGCATTAGGTACTAGTCGGTTATCAGCGGTCCTGTAAGTGTATGTAGATAATTATTATTATAATTTTCTAGTATTAAAGATTTGAAGAACCATTCTAGACTCTTGTAATATCTGAAGGTCACGATAACTTTTCGGGTCTAACAAAACGGTTCGTTAGTTATGAATTAAATTATTGAGGGGGGAGCACTCCAGCTTGTATCTAACCACTACCCTACACAATCATACAAAGACCAGTTTTGAAATATCAGCGTCGAATTTCCGTGATAAGACTCAATGACATAAGGTTGTTCTATGTTGTCCATTATACTGAAATTATGCCTTTTCAACACACTACATTCTTGGGAAAGTTGGTTCGTTGTAGGTGCAGAAGAAATGAAGTGAAATGAAATGGGGTTTAACGTCCTACTGTTCTGCTCCTATACTGGGCTAATGAAGACGGGCACACGCCATACAGTGTGCTAGAAGGGAAATTTTGCCCGGACAGCGGCACTATCGCCTACTCTTATATCGAATTCCAACTGCCAAGGGATCTTTTACGTGCATTCCAATGTATACACGGGACCTCGGTTTTTCGTCTCATCCGAAGGACTAGACAACTGTCCTTGTCAGGCCCTCAGTTCTGCACCACTGACAAGGGGAAACCACGTCGGAAAATCCAGATGAACTTTCTCGGCCAATGCAGGGATCGAACACCCGACCTCCAGGCTAGCGAGCCAGCGTCTTAACCAACTAGCCACCGTGGCTCCAGGTGCAGAAGAAAGCACCATACCCACCCTCTTAGTCTTAACTCCCATAGACAAATAGTCCTGGTGCACAGAAATAGCCAAGCAACTGGAAAAAAGGAACTTCAAGCCAAGGTTTTGATAACACAACAGTAGCCATTTTTATACAATGAAATGTGTACATGTGTACATGTATATATAGCACTATATATTTACAATGATTTTACCCTGGAGAAAAAGTAACAAAAATGAAAAGTCAAAACAGGTGAAATTTAATAATGTGTATGTTTTAATAATAGTTGACTTCTGGCAAACGACTTGAGTATGGGGCGCTTTTATGGGACCTTTGATCATCCCAGGCTTCAGAATATCGTCTGCTTGCGTCATCTCGATATCTGTAATCCTCTTTACGTTTATTTCTTCGTATAAATAGACAGATTAATATAATAACAATAAGAATACTTAGTATAATCATCCAGACTATAAATCCTATCATAGTCATTCGACTTAATAATCCATTATCTGTTTCACAATTTACTTGGGCAGCTGAAAAAATAGATTCAGGAAAAGGTTTCAGCTTATATCGATTGGGCCTTGATTTTTTTTTTGGCATATATACAATATTTATTCAACAAAAACTCAGAATTCATAAAGTTAATCCACCAATTGCCTGTGCGTTCTAAGACTTAAAAAAACACGTATCAGTCAGGCCAGGAAATTCCCTTTTTTCAGAGCTGTTATGCAACTTATTGAAGAAGAAACTGACGCGGAAAGTCAAATAATAAAACATCTGATTGCAAAGAAGTTAACTAAGTTTGTGTACACTTGTACCTGCGGAAGCCTGAGCTCCTGTTAATAATACGAATTCTGCCACTTTGGGTATACATCGTCTGCTTCCTGGCGTATTAATACATTTCTGATCATCATCACACCCACCATCATCAGTTTTACATTCATCAATATCTGCCAAATAAATCATTCAATATTTACGTGGTACGCCATTAAATTTACATCGTTTGAATTCGGCACTAACTCCGTTAGGTTTAAATGAAATAAGGTTTAATGTCATACTATTTGCTCCGACTGTGCTAATGAAGACGGGCGTACGCCAAACAGTGTGCTATGTGTGAAATTTTGCCCGGACGGTGGCGTTACGGACGACTCTTATATTGAATTCCAACTGTCAAGGGATCTTTTACGGTTTTTTTTTTGTCGCATCCGAACGACTATACCTTGTCCCTTGCCAGGCCACCCGTCCTGCACCACTGACAAGGGAGAACCACACAGGGATGGAAGTTGGGTTTAAAACATAAGGGAATAATAAAACATGTTTATGAAATCCATCCTGGAAAAATAATTTGAATTTTGCTGATGATCGCGCATGTTTCTGGGTTGTCATTGATTTTATTGTTCTTACCAAGGCATGTTCTTCTGTCAGGTGCAACTTTATAACCAGTTATACATATACATTCATACGATCCTATATTATTCTTACAGGTATGTTGACATTCACCATTAAATACTCCACATTCATCTGTGTCTATATATAGCAAATATCATAATATTAAAGTATGTGTCTATAACCCGCAATAATCATTTTAAAATGAAATATGGTTTAACATCCAACATGTCTGCACCGAATGGATGGACATACGGTCATGCCGTAGTGCTAAGAGCGAAATTTTGCCCGGAGAGTAAATATTGCACACGGGATCTCGTTTTGTAGTTCCACCCAAACGACTAGACACTGTTCCTTGGCAGGCCCTCCGTCCTGCATCACTGACAAGGGGTAACCACACTGTTAAATCCAAGCGAACTATCTCGTCAAACAACGGAACGAATAGTTATTGAACTATCACCATACGCAGTGAACCATCGTCTCCTAAATCGAATTGAAATGAATGAAATGGGGTTTAACGTCCTACTGTTCTGCTCCTAACCTGGGCTAATGAAGACGGGCATACGCCATACAGTGTGCTATGAGGGAAATTTTGCCCGGACAGCGGCACTACGGCCTACTCTTATATCGAATTCCAACTGCCAAGGGATCTTTTACGTGCACGCCAATGTGTACACGGGGCCTCGGTTTTTCGTCCCATCCGAACGACTAGACAGCTTTCCTTGTCAGCCCCTCCGTCCTGCATCACTGACAAGGGAGAACCACGCCGGAAAATCTGGATGAACTTTCTCGGCCAATGCAGGGATCGAACACCCGACCTCCAGGCTAGCGAGCTAGCGTCTTACCCACTTAGCCACGTGATCCCCTCCTAAATCGATATTCAGTAGACTTTAATGCACTAAGCAGAATGAAACGGTGGTTATACTTACCTATACACGTTTTATTTTCAGGTTTTTTAAGAACATATCCACTATTGCATGTACAATAATAACTACCTAATGTATTAACACAGCCATGTGAACAACCCGAATTACTACATTCATTTACATCTGAAAATAAAATATACAATGCTGCAGGTCAATTTTAATCATAAACAATACTTACAGTTTGATTTCGATGGGCAAATAAGAAAATAAGAGAAAAATGGGGTTTAACGCCCAATTGACACATACTTGGTCATTTCGGCTCTAACGTTGTTCAATTTTATTTCAATAGACACACAAGGTACATGTGTAATAGTATAACATTTCACAGATTAAAGATATATTAAATACCTATGATTTTATACAAACCGTGAAGCTTAAAGATACATTCCCGGGTACAAACTGGGTGATTTGATGATATATTTGGACTAAAAACATATTCAAACTAATTAATTTATCATAATCTTGCTTAAAATCCTTCTCAAAACATTTAAATTACCAAGGAATACCCTGGCTATAAAAGAAATCAATCAAAAGAGGTCTTGTTTGTGTCACTGTCACTTGACTTACCACTCTCTCTCTCTCGGAGGAGGAGGAGAATTCATTGCATACACAAGACGATGTTGTCTTTAATCGCAGATTATTTATTACAAATATCGAAGCCTAATTAAATTCTCTGATTATCCACTGCCCGCGTCTTTTTCCGTGATTTTTATCTCCGAAAGTGTTGTACGTCTAACTCTTCATAAAGTTTATCAACATGTACATCAAGCGCCCAATCTTGGGCTGTCGATTAGGGAAACCCTTACATTTTCGTCCTGTATGCGCTCCATGAGTGTTTTTCAGGGAATCCGGTATTTTTCTAGTAAGATTGGATATTTCTACTTTCCATATATACCCAAATTTCCATACTTTTATTTGAAATAACCACCAGATAAATACTTTTCTGGGAACCTATCTTTAAAAGTTATCTGAAACATTGCCTATTGCACTCAATGAACGGATCATTGCCGAGAAAAATCTCCAAAAATGACACGGTTTGCGTGATAAATTTCTTGTAAATATTTAAGACACAGTTGGTGTGGTAAATGTCTGGTAAATATTTAATAATGACACAGTCGGCATGGTAAATTTCTGGTAAATATTTAAGTAGGACACATTTGGCATGGTAAATTCCGGGTAAATATTTAAGAACGACACTGGTAAATATGCAAGAATGACATTTGGCATAACTTCCCGGTAAATATTTAGAATGACGATTTACAAGGTTTATTGGAAGAATTCGTGTTATATTATTATAGTTCATGCTTAGATCAGACAGTAGAAGTCGCATTTTCTCATAATTGATAATGGATAGTCTTTACGGGAAAATAAGGGGTGCTCTAATGTCATAACAACTTAGAAACAGCATCGATTCATATTATAAAAATAGAAAATTTTTTTCCAAAAAGATTACCTGCAAACGCAGACCCTGTTGGTCCAGTAGGTCCCGTGAGTCCAGCAGGTCCAGTAACCCCGGTGTGACCCCTTGGTCCAACCACACCACGATCCCCTTTTATACCCCGTTCCCCTGTGGCACCAAAGGGTCCAGTATAACCTCTAAAACCTCTATCACCACGTGGTCCAACATCTCCCTTCAGACCAGGTTGGCCATCTTCACCACCTGGTCCTATACCACCTTGCGCACCTTTATCACCTTTTTCAGATCTAAAACAAAATATGAAATAAAATTGTATTTTATGTTTACTTTTGTCTAGTGCCAGGGTTAGCGAGATTATATGACATATATTTAACTCTCAGAAACAAAATCATTTAAATTTAAATAATCGTTAAACCAAATACCACATATTTCTTGACAACAGTAATGTCTTAATTATTATATCCACTTTTGTCATTATTTAGTACTTTAATTTATTGCAATATCTATTTATGAAATTCAAAATTTCTCAGCACATCAAGTTTTGTTGATAAATCGGCCATCTGTGCAAACAATGGGCACGGACTTGGCATGTAATGTGGATGTTGTGTGCCAACTCAAGACTTCTATGCACTCTTTTAGAGGCATTTGGTAACTGGATAGACTTATGGAAAAATAGCTACTTATTTATTTGGGCGACGTTTCAAAGCGTATACCAAATAAAGATAATACCAAACAAATAAGTAGCTGTTTTTCCATAGTTTATAACTTATATATCGTCGGTGAAGTGTCAAAACGGTGTATCTCGGGAAATTAGTCAAATACACGTTTTTGCATTTTTAAAATCTCCCTATTAAATGCACATTTCTGTCTAAGCTGTGTATCTCTACGCCAATTAGAACTGTTCTGGGTATCACGTGTCCAAATGTTGTATCTTGATTTGTGGAAATTTTGAAATGCAAAAGGTTCTATTTCTTAATCTTTAGATATTCTTAGATACATACTTTTGACACTTCACCGACGATATGTTATTCTAGTATATACCTGTATCCCTTTTCACCTCGGTCACCTTTGTATCCTCGGGGACCAGTTTCGCCAGTAAAACCATTATATCCTCTAGGTCCAGTTACTCCTATAGGACCCTGGATACCAACATCTCCCCTCGGTCCTGTTACACCAGTTATACCCCTCTCCCCTTTATTACCTTTATCACCCCTATCTCCCTGAAACAAAATACAAGTTCGTTTTGTTTAATTGTTTTCAATTGTTTACTACACTACACTGAAAACTAAATATCTAAAATGACCATGTTCTTCCTGGAAGCGGGCCATTTTATTACAGAAGGTTGTAACTTCAAAACCACTGCTAAACATTCCTATCAACGCTTGTCCATACAATAATTTGAATAGTCAAATTTTCGATCACCGAACGTTTTTTCGTCAATAGAGTCTAAAGCAGTGATACTCAACCAGTGTGCCGCGAGATCTTCCTTAGTGTGCCGCGAAATTTTGAACGGCACACTAAGAAAATGCGGAAAACCACGTGATCCCAATTTAGTATTCACCGTTGTTCATAGCTATGTTTTTCTTTATTTAGTTTGAGTCATGCTATCTGTCTATGATTAGTCTCTGTCTACAGTTGTATGCCGTCTTACTTACCATGTTTTTATTTTGCACAATTCCAATATTTTTCATATATATTTAGCCACGTGTGCCGCTATTTTTTCATGCATTCCAATGTGCGCAGTTGGCAAAAAAAGGTTTGAGAACCACTGGTCTAAAGTATTGCAAAAAGTGAGAGACACGGGAAGACATGTTATAGATATGCATATTCTGCACATAATATCCAAAATTCAAATGATTTCATAAATAAATAGAACAAATTATGGATGACAGAAATTGTTACAAAACGGTTTTACTAATCACTAACAAGGAGAGGTTTTTTTGGTCAATGTTTTTTTTTTGAAACCTTTTAAATTTTGGATGTGTAGAATGTACATATCTATAACATATCCTTCCTATTTTCAATATTTAGAGCCCTATTGACCTAAAAGATGCTTTTATCCAGATAAAAGAAATAATTTACCTGATCACCTCGTCCACCTCTCTCCCCTTTCGGTCCAATGGACCCTTTCTCACCCTTCTGTCCCAAAGGTCCTCTTTCTCCCGTGGCCCCCACGAGATCTCGGGGGTCTCTGATCACAATATTTCGTTTGGGTGTAGTAGTAGGTCGTGTAGTAGTTGTGGTACGTCTTGTAGTAGTTGTAGTTGGCAATGGTTGCGGCTGGTTACCTTTAAAAAAAATCTCTTGGCATGAGAATTTCAATATAAAGGGGATATTCGTAAAAATATGACGATTTACTACCGTGCGAAAACTTGGCGAACATCTTTGTGGTTAGGTTGGCAACTGTTTCATGCCCCATGCCACGTACAATTGTCGAAGTGACTTAACGGTTGTCGCATACGGCGGGTGGGCGGGTGTGTAGGGGGGGGGGGGGGGGCAACATATCATAGTCCGTCCCTGGTTAAAACGAAAATAAACGTACTTGGATTGATCACCACGGCCACGGCAAATGCTTCTGGTTGTTCAATTTTATTGAAGGTAACAGTCGAATTTATAGCAGGCATCATATTATAGTGTAGAAAACGGATCTCATAAGTAGAATTAGAATCTATCTTCCATGATAAACACATGTGACCTTCTTCATTTAAAATACCAAGTTTATCATCTCGTCTAGCTTGAATATATTCACTGGGGTCTAGAGGTATCTGAAATATAATTCGTGTAGCTACCATTAAAACTTTTCAAAGCAAATTAACCCCTAGGCAAAATATATATATATAGGCTAATAATATTAGTTTTATTATTATTATAACATTAACGATCCATAAATTAGTTTAGTATTTCTACGTCCAACACAAATCTGGTTGTATCGCTTTTTCAAATAAGTATCTTTGTTCCTCCGTGTGGGAGAGTTTCTTGAATATTACTTGCTATTTTTCCAATTGATACACGCCACCTGTGAGGTCCATGGCCCGCATCAGTCCAAGTACAAATTATAGACGACACTCGCAGAATACTTATACATTCAATGCATTAGAAAATTTCAAAATTACAACAAATCAAACACACCTCACGTGTTCCTTGAAAATCAGATGGTACGTCTGTTACTCGTTTCTCTCCTATTAAAGTATACTGTAATTTATTGTTTTGTGGTTCATGGCGGTAAATCTGAAGACGAAAGGTTGTTCTTCGTCCACGTTTAGTATCGTAATAAACCTAGAAATGAAACAAAATTACTGTCATGGAGTTATAAGAATTTAAACTTTGTTTAACTTTCTGAGTGATTTTATGAAAGCGGAACATGGCAAAAAGGAATTATATCGATAGTCTAGACCCTATTCAAAAGCATTGCTGAATGGGATTGATGATGCCCCGGAAAATTTAAATCATGCTGCTTTTCATAAACTGCATAGGTACATTGAGTTAACATATCGGTTTAAAGGGTAGTCTTGGTTACTTGACTTCTTTGTTTTTCAAATCATTCACTCTAACAAGCTTAAAATTGACCTTTATTTGCATTTCGGAATTTAAGGTGTTCAACTGGATGTACAGTATCTGATGTTTTGGTATTATCAATAGCACATTCCATTTCTCCACTCCATGGAAGGCCTAGGCTAATTTTCGGATGTTTAAACTGCCATTTTGAAATACTATTCACTCCAGTTATTGATGACAAAACTAACTATCGCTTTTTCTTTTCTTTTGTTCTTGGTATTATATAGCATAAATGTTCAACGTACTCACTTTCTTTGGTAGTTAAAATTAACTACCATGCCAGGAAGCGATATTCATAAGCATTCTGGTTGTTTAAGTACACGTGTATCATTTTATGTAATTAGATTGAATAAAATATTGTTTAAAAAACATAAATCAATGCAATGTTGAGATTTACCTTTGCTAGATTTTTCGTGTTGTATTGTTGGAACCGTGATACACAGAAAAAATGACAGTTATAGAATGTATCACAGATTTATGGCTGTCGGTATAGCTTATGCGTTGCGTAATATACTAAACAGCAAAAAAAAACGTCAGTACGATTTCAAAATCAGAGAGGAACTTTAATCAAATCATTCTAGAAAACGGCTTACTAAATGGATCAAAGCGAATTTTTGTGAACAATATATTGACACATTAGTGATTAATTCATCACAATTCCAAGACATTACGAGAGGGTTTAGAATCTGTACAGTCTATACATCAGTATCTGGTGTGTCCACCGCGAGTTTCAATAACAGCAGCGCAGCGTCTGTACATGGAGTGGACGAGACGATTGATGAACGACATTGGCACCTGGAACCACACTCTCAGAAAAGCCTGGCGCAATACATCGGTTGTGTTTGGTCTCGGTACAACGTTATTAAGTCTCTGAATTTTATCCCAGAGATTTCAATCGGGTTAAAGTCCGGGCTAAGGGCTGGCCAGTGCATAACGTTGACACCGTTCTGCTGTATATAGAAAGTCCCGAGTAACTCTGGCGGTGTGGGTACGGGCGTTGTCATGCTGGAAAACGTTGTTTCGATGACGTGCGAAATGTGGTATGACGTGGGGTCTGAGAGCTTGATCGATGTAGCGCACTGCTGTGATGCCGCCGCCTCTCTCTGGACCAAGATTTTAGAACACCACAGGACCCACTCTCTGGTTTAGACCGATTCTACCGCAAACCATTATGCTTTGACCTCCCCATGAGTCTCGTCTCATGACACATTGGTCAGAATACCGCTGGCACGTCGACGCCATATTCTGGTCCTGCCATCTGCAGTTACGCAATACCGAATCATCTGTGAACAGTATAGTTCTCCATTGCCTGTGTCGCCAGTTCTGGTGTTGTTGGGCAAACTGTAGACGTTACGTCGATGGCGAGGGGTGAGGATCGGTCCACGGTAAGGTTTACGGCAATGGATGTTCTCTCTGGTGAGACGTCGGCGCACTGTATCGGTAGTGATGGGTCTTCCGTGTGTTCCCACTGTCTGACGTGCTGTTTCAGATGCCTGTGTGAAGGGATTCTGCACGTGCTGTCACACAACATAGCGGTCTTGTCGCCTTGTGGTCACCCATGGTCTACCAGTTCGGGGCGATCATAATGTGGTGCTGGTGGCCCGAAAGCGTTGCTGAAGCCTGTAGATGGTCCGAACATTGACCTGGAAGTGATTGGCAACGGCTTGGGCTGTGTGGCCAGCGTCGAGGCTTCCAAGCGCCTGGTTCCTCTGAGCTGTCGCGAGTCGTCGCATGCTGCTGCCGTTGTAGTGTAAATGATTCAACCGGTTATGGGGGTGCATTTTATAGGGCTGGTCCCGGTGAACAGCACGTGCAGCATGAGTTACAAGAAAATCATGGAGAACACATTACCATCTCAGAGGTCAGGTTGTGTTTTTGAGAACATTTCCTGGGTTCAATTCTGTGTTTGGGAGGAGCCTTATTGCTCAGGTTAAGTTGGAGATATGGTCACAATATACAATAAAAACCTTTGGCAAGTTTTATGCAATGCGTCTATTCAGAGTAACATACCGACCTGACGTTTCTGTTGCTGCTTAGTATATATAGATAAGATGTGAACCGGATCGGTTATTGATTCTAGTGGCCTGAGATGTATTTTGATTTGATAGGTTTTAACTGTTAGTCTGCCAGAAGACGTCAGATTTCGTCGTTTCTGCACCCCTGATTTTCAAACATTTTCTCGGTGGAGGATCCCGGGGAAGGGGGGGGGTCCTTCTGCTCTTCGGACGTTCTGGTGCCCCTGGGTTGATTATGGACTTGTCATGCGAACAAAAAATGTCTAAATAATGTAACATCTGAAGCCAGAAAAAAGGAGCTGTGATAGGTAAACCTAGACCTTGCACCTTTCATTTGATAATTACTGTTTTCGTTGCCTAAATTATGATCCAAATTCAATTTCAAAACATTTAGCACAGTGTTATGTTAAATTATTAATTTATGTGTGTGTATGTATGTTGAATAGCGAACCCAAGACCTATTTTTACATGAAAACTTATTTAGGAAGGGCATATTAGGAAAACGAGCTTTATCGTTCTGGCTTCCCCTTTGGCCGACAGGGGAAATCCCAGGTTATAAAACAACGTTTGTGTGCAGAGCCGGTTTTTGGCACAGCTGACAAATTCATCCAATTGGGCACCGCAGCTCACCAACTTGAAACAATTTCCATACAATCTGGCAGCAGTAAAACTCCCATTAATACTTTAACTATATACATGTATTTATCAATTACTAATTGTGAAGTAAATCATAGCTGGCCTTTAATATAAATATAGGCCTAAACATTTGGTTAGTGAAGATTAGCAAGGCAGTACATACTTCTAATTCTATCTTACCTTAAAAGCGGTTACTTGACCGTCTGGTAATGGTATTCCATCAAGAATATATATTGATTTTGCCCCTGCAGAAAGTGGAGGCAATGGTCCTAGCTCTAAAGGAGTACCGTATGTATCTCCGTGTACCGTGTCTGTAACAAATAATGAGGTATAGTGGTCATATAATAACGGAAAATTGTATTTTGGGAGGTAGAGTTCGACGTCAACTGAACATAAACTATAGTGAAAATCCATGACGTTAGGCAGTATCATCGACACCAACTCCTTGTCACGTACAAGCATGGGATCGAAACTGCAACACTACGTTACACTACTCGGCCACCAACCGACAAATGCTTATCGAAATCTGCCATTGTCAGCGCCGAGGTTAACTGAAGAGAGGCCCTATGTTTTTTCACTTATGTGGCCCCGATTAATCACCCACCTCACTTCCATATACAGGAACATTAAAGTGTGTTCTAAACACAATTAAGGATGATGACGGATGTTTAAGACCACAAAGTGCGTGTAAGAAAGACGACGTTGTTAAACATATTATACACCTTGACCGGAGGCCTACTAGATCACAAGGCCCTAGGCTTCAGCCTGCCGAGCCTATAGGATAGTAAATAAGAAATCTCATCTCTCACCCTCCGTGTTTTAGGATAAAGAATGGTGCTATATAGTTCCATCTGACAAACCCCAACGGGGATCACATTGGGCCTCAGTAAGCAAAATTGACAAAAAATTTTATCAAAACGAGGATTGATTATTGTTGTTCGTTAACATTTCTGCCACATTCAACCACAATTAAGCATTTAATCCTACCTGGCACAGGTACAAATCATGTCTTTTTAAATCGAAGCCATAATAGCCTGGTTCTCCGACATTTTAAATTTGACATCTTTGACGTCATGAGGGCGGGGCGTCGTGTACAACAGCCAATCAAAGTACTAGCCTCAAATGGGTTGTGCAGGAATAATACACCGTAATATGAATTTCCGTATTAATTTTGATAAAAACAACAATCGATTTAATTTATTGACAATATTTGCAGATAAACCAAAGTTGTTTCACTAGAGTGGGCTGCGTTTAATAAATCTTAATGTATAAAATTAACTTATTTTCAAGATGTTACATGCGTTAAGGGCAAGGTAAAGTGACACCACCTTGTTACAATCTAGTCTCGATACCAACAAGGCTGTACATATTATTTTCCAACACAGAATAGTTGCCCTTGGATACAAAAGACCAAAAATAAACTATATTACTCACAATACACTATTTCACTGTCAATACCCCTTTAAATCGTACATCCGCGTGTTATCATGTAACGAACATTTCAATTCACTTTCTTGCCCAATCACGGTTACACCTACAGACAAAACGGTAAAAGTTGGGGACAGCTATTTCGCGGTTACACCTACAGACAAAACGGTAAAGGTTGGGGACAGCTATTATCTCTCTATTAATACTCTGGGCTATGTAGTACAGTTGTTGAGTCTTAGATTTTTGAGTTGCTTTCCTGTTTCCATGTAGTGTGAGAATTCCACGTCCTTGCTACCGTTGTTAGAGTCCGCCATTTTTTTTAATTTTTTTTATTCTTGAAAATGACCCTTAATGTCTTTATACGCGCGATGCGAATACTCGTTAAACTGAGAGCGTTGTTTACCTGAAACTTATATCGATATACACATAATTATTCCATTTAGTAATAAAACACTTTTTGACCTTCTGCTAATATCAATGAGCAAAGTGTTAATTTTAATTACAAATTTTTATATTTTGAATTTAAACAACTGCGGAGTAAGATAAATTCATATCTGAATACATATGAGGTGTCATTTACGTGATTTGATATTAAAAAAATATTATTCACGAACTTATTGTCGTAATCAGCACTTACGTTGAGCGGCAATTCAACACAGAAAGGTAAATACAGATGCAGTAAATACTTTTTGACTTATACTATTACAATTATCGATAAATCGGGTGTTAAATCGCAATATTATAGACTATTGACCATCATTTGCAAGAACTGTCACATCTTTTAAAGGAGCTCAATCGCTAATATTTGGGACCTAGAAATTGACACAAATGGGTCGCAACTCATATTAATGTAAAATGAAATGAAATGGGGTTTAACGTCCTACTGTTCTGCTCCTAACCTGAGCTAATGAAGACGGGCATACGCCATACAGTGTGCTATGAGGGAAATTTTGCCCGGGCAGCGTCGCTACGGCCTACTCTTATATCGAATTCCATCTGCCAAGGGATCCTTTACGTGCACGTCAATGTGCACACGGGACCTCGGTTTTTCGTCCCATCCGAACGACTAGACAGCTGTCCTTGTCAGGCCCTCCATCCTGCATCACTGACAAGGGGGAAACCACGCCGGAAAATCTGAATGAACTTTTTCGGCCAATGATATAATAATGTAATGTGAATGTATAGAAACTGATTTACATTCAACCCTTTCTGTTTTTACTGTAATTTCTAAACAGTTATGTTTGGCGAAATACGCCAGAAGTCTCAATTGAATGGCAATCTTTAGCGTCTGGTTATTCCAGTCTACACCGATGATATTTATTGCGCATGCTCCCCAGATAAGAATATAGCGTCACCATTAGACATGACTTGTGAAATATGTCTAGCCGCGTTCTTAAGGGTCCCTTGTTCCAAATTGCGCTGAAACGAATTATAGTACACGATTCGTGTACCAATGGTAAAATGTTTATTTTGTCTTGAATATTGGATATCAGATGCCCATCTTTTCCCTGTAAGATCACAAGACCAATGTTGATTTGAATTGACAAATAATTCGTGTTTCCAATGCCGAAGATTTTTGATGATATTGAGTTAGAGACTTGGCTACTTTAATATCAACATTTTCATATGGAGCGTTCTATAAATTGATGAGAACAGAAATGTCAAAATCTAAGCTATCATGGCTGCCGTTGTCAAGTGTTGGTAAATGTTAAAAGGCTTGTTTCTAAATCTTGGATAGATTAATATTTATTTATTGTAGAATAAGCATTTTGAGGGTTTGGTATAGAATTTGTTACCTAAATATAAGATTTGTATGGAAAATTATTTTCTATGGAGTACCATTTGCAACACATCATATGTTCCAATCAAACATTCAGCTAGACATTTCCACATTCAGTTGTGAACCATTAGCGTACAATTTAACAAAGATTAAACACTGCGATGAATGTGAATAAATATCGAATAAAATGTATTACAAAATATTTTAATGTAAAACTTAGTAAATATGTATATCCAATGTTTAATTGTCATTGTAAATTTATGCCTCCAGACAAAAAGTTTCCAAGGGTGAATTAAGAAGTCATGAAAGTGTTAGTAATTTGTATTCAATTAGGCCTAAAAAAACAAATACCGGACAACAAACGGAGACTGAAGGAAATTTTGATGCAGTATTTACTATTTACCATATAGACTCGAAATATTTTATCCAGATGATTTTTATGATGGTACTCCATACAAAAAGTCTGAAAGTAGTCCCTTAAAAAAATGGAGGATATTTGAAAAACAAAGTTTGATTATATGGACTAAACTTGTTGTGCTAAAACAAAGATAGTTTTCAAAATTTGAAGTCTTGATGGTTGTAGTGTATTCAGGCATTTATGTAAGACTGTGATTTTCTATGTTGTGTTGTTTACCCTCTACCTGCGCATTTGCTGAATGGTATATATATATATTTGCTTCATATTTTCCAAAGTTACAAATTCCAAAGTCATTATTTTTTATTTTCATCCATCTCAAGAACATTTAGATACCAAAATACAGACACTAAGCCTGTTGTGAATGATTGTTTTGGGACCCCTCATTTCAGATGATGTGGCAATTTTTGTCATTTTAACTTGCCCTTAATAATGAAATTAAGTTTGCCAGGTGAAAATAAAGGCACCCAATCGTAGCTAAAAACTATATTCCTTAAGCAATGGCCCGAGAAATCCCTCTCTGGCCATTGCTGGATTGACTTCTGATACTTGAGCTTTTGAGGGAGTACATCTCTTCTTCCCGTTTAATCAAATCTCCACTATAAGTGCGGAAACATGACAGCCCTTCGTTTAATCCGGGGTCTTCCCTGAAACTTTGGACAGTGATTTAAGGTATTAAAAACGGCGAAAGTAATGTTCGTCTCCAAGCAGTATTGTTTACATTGTAGCAGTTTTGATAGCCTCGTTTGTCACGCCATTAGTTTTTTCTGCAATATTCTATGCACTGGTTAATTGGGAGTAATAAATTTCATGAGTCATGGCGTAACGTTATGTAAACATATCCGGAGCTCTGTTTAAACCCAAATGATATTGTTAGGCAGTTAAGTATTGGCTGTTCATCGGACTATTTGACCAGTCATAATTTGGAAGAGAGAGGTGGGGTTTAACGTCCACTCGACACAAACTATGTCATTTTGGGACTAACACATGGTTCAATTTTTTATTTCAATCATTCGTTTGCGCGTAGGGGTCTTTAGCAGTGGGAGGAAACCGGAGGACCAGGAGAAAACCCACGAGGTTGGACAGGTGACACTACTCCTTGTCACGTACATCCGGGGAATCGAAACCCCGCCAGTTGATTCAATGACAGACCGTATGATACATTCGGCCACCCCCCCCCCACCCCCGCCCCCCTCTTTCCTAGCTAAAAGGATAGGTAAATTCGGCACTGGTCAAGATGCGTATATTACAATGCAAATAATATACAATATATTGAGTATAATTAGCAAGGTTATCAGTTCGCCGCTTTTATTTCTAGTGTTATTAATTTACTGTAGACCTATACTTACCATAATAGGAACAGATTACAATAGATATAGTCAAAAGGACACCGGTGTTCATGGTGTTCCCTGAAAAATTACATTTTACTTTTTCTAAATTTTTTTAAATTTCTTTCAAAACAATTAATATACATTTTTTCTCAGAGACAACTTTTCTTATATGGGCCCTACTTTATTTCAAAGACCATTTGTGGAGGACAATAAAACGACAGACATTTTGTCTACCCATATACATGTATTGGATTCCCAAAGTAAATTAATCTACGGTGATTGTAGAACACAAATTCTTATATTCTGATTAGAATAGCTGTTTTTCAACATCGAAGATTATAATACATATTATACGTATTTATGGTATATTGGTTAAATTAGGCTACAGATAATTAATTTTGCAAAGTCAATTGAGGGTAAAAGGGTACATTCAAATAGAAAGGCGCCTAAAACAACATTGCGTGTCCGTAATAATGTAAACACACCTATAGCTACCATATTTATAAAAGAACGGAATAAACCTTCAATTGAAGAGTACATTATATATCCCGTGTAATTACCAAACCATAAAAAATGTAATTGGAATAAGCTTACCTTGACGAATAGTCCTTCGATCTTTTTTCAGAGATCCAGCGCGGTGACAGACACAACTCAATTTTTAACGCACGTGCAATATTTTACACGTATCGAGTCTTAATCACGTGATTAATGGGGTCGAGGGAAGTAACTGAGAACAGTTCGCTTTGCTGAATCGGATACTTTTCATTACTGATTTTTTAAATAAATGCACAGAGAGGGGAGCAGGAGGGCGGTGGGTGTGGAACACACTACGGGGTATTTGGCTGTCTCGCTAATCTAACAACAATGCGCCCTAAGCCTTATGGATAAATGTGTGTGTAAAATGTATATAAATTTGAAATGAAATATTCGTTACAGAATAAAAGAAATGACAGATTGGTGATTTAATTGTGTTGAAACGGATTATAAAATTTTTGTAATGTGACAATATTCTTGTTAACTGTAAACATTGTCCTTGTGAATATTGTATTATGGACCTTCTTTAAGTTGTCGAAACCTTTTTTGGTTAGATACCACAAAGTGTCCACCGCTTCCGCATTACCTGTATTAAACATGAAGTGGACCTTATAATATCCATGAGTGACCACTGAACAGGGGTTAGAATTCAGGTTCATACAGGTGGACAAATTCTGTTATCAAACCCTAATTTAATATTGCATAATTGCGATTTTATCGACTGGAATCTCATTTGTAGTAGCCTATAGCTATATTGGACAAAATGGTAGCCTACATAAACATCTCATTTGTTGCTGGATAAAGCGTTTTCTTTTTGATAATTTTCTTGACTTACTCGGGTAATTGTTTATCGGCTAGTTTAACCTATTCTAAACTATTTCCGTTATAGCATTTCCATATTACTGTCATTTCTAGATTATCCGCCGTAAAATATTTATTTCACTCTCAGTATTCCGAAATTTCTCTGTTTTTACCACATTATTATACATTTTCTTAAAACTGAACTACTAATTATGATTGATACAGTTTTAACATATTCCTTTGGTTTGAAGTAAGAGTAATGTGAAAATAGAGGAAATCACACAACGCCTAAAATACCAATCGGTACTCCAAAGTTAAAAGAGTCGACCTTGATGGTAGTTGCATCGGCATGTTTAGAAAGCGCATTCCCCTGAATCAGCTAGCTTTCGTGTCGATATTGGGTATTCTTGGGGGTGTTTATATTTGGAAACCAGCATTTGATGAACAGACAAGAAAAAACGCACTGGAGATTGCCAATAAAAGTCAAAGCTATCGTGGCGAAAACAAGACTGAAGACTAAGACCGATTCCACTTAAAATCTTCTTGATTGAAGTCTTTACCTTTTAATTAACGACTCGAACGAAATAAAACATTATTGTAATTGTTAGCAACAATCAATTTTTAATCTTTGACTGTAGAGAGCCGGTATATTTCTAGTAACAATTGTCCAAGTTACTAACACTACAGTTTTCAGCCTGAAGATGGCTGCAGGTAGAAAATTGTCCCAGTTTACATGGTTAATGATAGGTATAACATCCACTGCCATGTTGTATATGACAGTAGGGAGGGCGTATGTGAATAGAAAAAAGCATACAATCATGGAAGCAGAAGTGTCAAGATTGTACAACAATAAACATTATTCAAGAGAAGCATCAGAAAATTAGAAGTTACTTTTTTTTTAGAAAACTGTGTGAAAAACGAAAGTATATCATATGTACCGTATGTGATGTGCAGTTACCAACTAACCATACCAGTATGTTGATTTAATGATGGAACTAAAAGTTGATAATATTTGAATTTATTGTGCGTAATGTGTAAGGTATAGAACATCTACTAAACAGAATAGACATCAATCAGATTCAAAATTGGAAAGAACTATCTAGATGACAGATGGCATTAATAAATGTTAATTGATTAAATTTTATGCTTCAGATATTTTCTCCAGAGGTTTTAGATGTATGGAGATTTCACGTACATGTACTACTGCTCAGTGATTAAAATAACATCCATCTTGCCTACTAAGGGTATTAATATGTAAATGTCAAGTTATGTGTTGTTATCCAATGGTGATACATGTGTGGAGGGGGATGTCTAAAATTGTCATGTTGATGCAAATGATGATAATCCTACAAACAAGTAAATCAGTGATTTCTAGCACTGTAAATAAATGTATAGATGCTCCTTGGACAAAGTATGTTGATTTACAGGGCATAGGGGGAGGGATTTAGAGGGTCCAAAAACCATGTGGTTCAAAATTGGTGTTTGAAAATTGCATTCTGCTATATTTTTCAGTATACATACTTAAAAATAATATATGTCTTAAGGGTGTTTTTTTGCATTTATCTCACAGGATGAGGTAACCAATTATCTGTCCCTCGCTGCCCCCCTCAGAAAAGACTGCTCTACTAGTAAAACTGGGTCTCATAGACTCTTCTCTAGGGTGGTGTTACCCCCCCCCCCCCCTTGATCCAAATGACTGTCATGATCGGTCACCGGTGTATGAATTGGTTGAGCACACTTAAACATACATTATGCAAGAGCTAAATCTGCCTATTGCATGTCCTTCTTTAGGCCTGAAATGTTATCTAAATTATTAATTACACATTAATTAACTTATCCAGACCACAATCAATCCTTGATGTCATCGCTAGCCTGCGATACTTACTGAATTTGAATCCGATTTGGTGCTCGACGCTCATTGATGATTTAATCCAAAAATGGATTATCGAGACTATGTTTTTTATCGTACCGACTTTAGTATTGATGATCGACGCTAGGCCTATAATACAAAAGCTAAAATCTTGGTTCAGAGTGGATCAATTTGGCTGAAATTTTCAGCAAATCCCTTTACATTATCTAGATTTTAACTATTATAGTGAGAACTGCCCCTTTAAATGTATTATGTTTGACAGAAAAGATTTTCCTGTGAAATATTAATTTTTCTTCTATACTGTTATTTAAGACAAGGCAATATTTATAGTGTTGGACTACATATTACCTGGACCAACATTGAAAATCGATAGCTCATCCTCTCACGACCAATTTATTCAGTTTATAAGTATTTTGACAAAGAGGAGATCATGCCAAACCAAACATCACAAAACGCCGAATATCGATAGGATTTGTCCTCCTTTGACTCCAATGCTTCACCCCAGAATTGGTGAAAATCTGTTAAAACTGTAGGCTCTATCGCACATTAAAAATGTTTTCAACAAAGGGGAGGTTACTTCGGAATGGAAGGTCATAAAGTGCTGGCAATTAATAGGAAACTGTTAAAAACTGTAGCTTCTACCGCAGTTACGGGGAGTGTAACTTGTTAAAGAAAGGTGACAGAGCACTGAAAATCGATAGGGTCCATTTTCTCTAGACCCCAATGCTTCATGCCATCAAAAACTCTAGCTTCTATCACGTTATCAAGAACGGAAAATTGAAGAAAGCTGAAAATCAACAGGGGTCAATTTCTCACAGTGCCTATGCTTCTACCATGTTTGGAAAAAATCCTTCAGAAACGCGTTAACAAGACATTTTTCTATCCGAAGGAAATGAAATGAAATGGTGTTCAATGCTCCGACTGGATACAGTGTGCTATAACGGAAATTTTGCCTGGACAGCGGCACTACAGCCTACTCTTGTATCAAATTCCAGCTGCCGATGGATCTTTTATGTGCACGTCAATGTGTACACGGGGCATTGGTTTTCTGTATCATTGTCGGGCCCTCTATCCTGCAGCACTGACAAGGGGAAACCCCGCCGGAAAATCCTGATGAACTTTCTCAGCTAACTACTAACACATTCGCCTATTTTTCTGTTGTTTCCACAGAAACCAGAGTTCCGCCATCTTGTTTACAGTAATTTTCAGCATTAACCAAGTTTAAAGGGGTTGCTAGCATTTTCAAATAGTAATTATTACCAGAGAACATTGTATAATTTCTTGCTTTAGAATCAGATCTGTCTGAAAAAGGCAGTAAAATAACATTAATAGAAATAACCTTTACACTAAGCGCATCAGCAAGGCACTGAAAACTGGAACCCCATATTTATCCAACTGAATGCTTATTATAGATAGGAATGTACTGGCATCAAGAAAAGAATGATGGGCATATATTTCAAAGCGGTAGCAAAAATCAGGATTTTTTTCGATTCTGAAATTAATCATGTCTTGGGTACTAACTACCAACACTCCTGATTTATGGGCGATTCATGAGGAACTAATTTCATTCCTTACCATCGATGTTATGGCACGGAAAGTGTACGCTTAAAAATTGTTTTCGTGAAAATCAAATGGTTAAGAATGTCTTGGTATCAAAAAAAGCGGTTGCTTAAATTAGAAAATTTGATTTGTATTCAGCCCCATTTTCCTGTGGATGTATTGTATCGTCGCCCCTTTCCGAGTGTTCGTTCACTGTTGGTTGTGACCATTCTATGTTTACCTGATTTTGATGAAACTTAACATGTAGGTTTGTATTCCAATGATCTCGGATGGGTTTGATTTTGGCAATTATAGCCCCCGATTGTACGATTGTACGAAAGATAAGATTGTGTTTATACCTTGTCTAGAGTTCATAATTTTTTTTTTTTATCCGATTTTGATGAAACTTAAAATTATGTTAATATTTTAAAGATCTTGGATGTATCGATTTTGTCACGTATCGGACCGTAAAATCGCGTATTTATCTTCTGAACCATCCATCGAGGTCACAATTTTTATTTCATTTTAATAAGCGTTCAAATATATCTTCGTTACACCATAATTACAGATAACGTCGAATTTCGTGAAAATCGGACCGATTTGAAACTTCAAAAGATCTCGGATTGGTTCGATTTCGGTGTGCATCGTATCCTCCGTTCTGGATTTAATGCCCATGCCTTTTACGCAAAATGTGAAATATGTACAAAGTTAATGGACTCTCTGGTGGTCACAATTTTTGTATGATTCAGATGAAATTTTTAATTTTAGTTTAAATTCTGGGTTATGAGAGGACGAACACTATCGATAATCAGCATTTCACGACGTTTCGTTCCAGAGTTATGCCCCCTTAGCTGAAACAGGCCTTTAAAATTTGGTAGGCCTATGAAGCATTGGGTTCATGAGATAATCAACGTCCCGCAATCTTCCGCTCTGGATTTATACCCCTTTGCCAAAAACA